GGATATTATTTATTGATGGGGATATGGCTGTTGTTAATCCAAATCATTCTTTATTTGAATATATTAATGGAGAACAAATTATTTTTATTGATAGAATATTCAATCATGAAGTAATGGCTGGAAGTTATTTAGTGAAGTAAGTTAATCTTTAATGTATCAGGGTTGTTAGATTGCCTAAAATATTTCACTCAAATTCCAACTTTTTCCTATTTTACAACCTACTGACTCTATAATGTGGTCAATTAAATTATCATTGGTTATTTATCAGTCGGCACTAAGGTTGACGGACAGTTGGAAATATTCGGATATCCGGATCCGATATCCGAAACCGAAAATTTCCGGATATCCGGCCTTTTTTCGGATCCTGATATCCCGATCCGCCAACCTTAGTCGGCACACACTAGCAGATAATTAGTAAGCTTAAGACGGGTTTCCCCAATCAGGATTGTAGTGTTAACTAGCCACTGCATGCCTCGGGCGTAGGCAGCTCAGCATAGATCGCGAACTGATCTTGATCTTTCCTTACTGAGCTGGATCGAGAAAATACCGACTAACTAATTCTAATATTCACAGAAACACAATTTATGGTCGAAATTTTCTTAAAGATTGGGCCAATTATTTTTACAAATTACCAAAAAGCTTTCATGGATCGGACAATGGAGCTATACATGTAAATAAATTTTTAAATATGTAAATACCTTTAAATTTTTAGGGGCTTTTTATGGAAAAATTTTCTTCACAGGAACACAGAAATAAATGTCAACATTTGTGGGAAACATCTAAGTACTTTAAATTAATTTCGAATAATTAATTGAAAATATTTTTAAAGAAATTTTGGAGATCTAAACACATTCACAGTTTGTGTTCGTCATTTTATTGAAAAACAAATGGTTAATCGAACATTTGATGAAGGAAAAGTTAGAGTTTTACCCAAAGCTGCAGGATGGGTAAGGGATGGCGGACATACTGAGACAAAATTTTCAACAAAAGATTTTATGTTTCATGGATGGAAAGCCTCGTAATAATTAAATATTAAATAATAAATATAAAATTAGAAATTAAAGCCCCTCCCCCTCCCTATTTAACAAAATTCGTTAAAAGAAATTTCTATTTTTTAATGAATGTTGTGAAATATGATGAACGAACTAAGGATAAGATTTTTGATTATCAGTCATATAAGAGGTAATTTAATATAATAATTGATTCGGGTACTTTCTAAAATTATTTTTATCACCGACATAAATGAAAATAACTCTACTTAATTTGTTACTTATACTAAAAAGGGGATTAAGTCAATCCAACCTGGAACAAAAATTCTGCATTATAAAGATAGAGTAAAGTCGACAATTTTACTTAAAATTAACTTAATTTTAGAAAAACTAATTTCAATTAAATATTTAAAATTTAACTAAAACTTTTCAGTACATTCAATAAAAGATCAGAATTTAATCCTTGGAAATATCCATTTAAATCAGAACAAAATTTTTTTGATGAAGAAAGGTTTTGTGGCAACGAATCAGAATGGATATATAATGAAAATTTTGTTGAACGTGAATATAAATTAAACGAAAAATTACAAGAAATTATAAATAAATCAAAAATTGAATATAACAAAATTGTACAAAACTTAAGACTAAGAAGATAAAATTAAATTTAAAAATATCGATTCGAAAAAAAATTTTTTTTAAAATTTCGCTAGCTATAGTTTGGATCCAGATGTACATATAAATTTTAAAAAAATTAAATAAATAAAAAATCTAAATTTGGCTTTAATTTAAAAATTTTTATTCTTTGACTTTTCTATTCTAAAAAAATATTAATACCAAAAATTATTAAATAAATTTTTTTAATTGAAAGGATGATTATTTACCTAGCATTATTTAAAAAGATTATTTCGCGGGAGATAGAATTTCTAATTTATTGCTTACGTATTAGATTTTTAAATTTTGCTAAAATTTTTTAAATTTTTACCAAACCAATCAAATTTAAATAGCAATTTATCAATTCTGTAATAGCGTATTTACTCATTATTTTTTTAAACCCTCTCTATTTAGGGTGAAAAATTGAAAAAAATATTTATAAATTTTGGTTTTATAAATTTTGTTTTTTACCTGGTTATATTTACGTAAAAATAAGTTCTGCTTAATTTTTTTCATTAATCTTTCTGGAAAACAAGCCTATATTATACATACCTGTCCGCAAAGAAAATGCGCATTTTTAATTTATTTTCTTGCATTTTTGCTTTAGCAGTGGCGCTTGTTTAATTTTTCCTTTCCTGCTTTTCTTTCAAGCCTTTTGGCGCTTGGAAGGGAAGGTAGTGGAAGGGTATGCACTTGGAAGGGTAGGTAATAATTTCGAATAAAAAAATTATTGTCAAAATCTACAGAAATTTGTCTTTGAATTGAGTTTAAATTCTTTATGCTAAAAATTTAAATCACAATTTTACTTCTGAGGTGACAGTCGAATTTTAGTGAGATGGTTAATAAATAAAATTTTATTTGAAGGAAGCCGTCCAAATTTTATGATTTTTATTCTCGATTACTTAACACTAAATATATTTTAACTTAAGTAGAGGTGAAACCCCCGGAATAAGATATTACCAATGCGGTGGACCCAAACCCCAGATAATGGAATACGGGAGGGAATATGCACGGGACTTCCTAGGATGAACCCAAGGGTTGATCAGGCCCTCTGTTGATCCCCTTCACCACTCTTAATGATTAATTAATTAATTAATTAAAAAATATTTTTTTGCCCTTTTTTCCAAATGCCAAAAGACTTGGAAGAATAGCAGAAAAGGAAAATGAGCGTTCCCCACTCCTAAAGGAAAAATACAAGAAAATGAATGAAAAATGCCCATTCTCTTTGCGGACAGGTAGATCGCAAACAGGGCATTTACCACGGATTCGGTGTTTAATTCCAAAAAACTCTGTTTTATCTCAAAAATTTTTAAGAAAATTTTATCTTTAAAAAATTTAAATTCCGTTTTATCTTGATTATAAAAATTGCTTTTTTTTTTAATTAAAAACCTCTTTATTCGATTATTAAATTACTAAGCTATTTTTATTTTGTCATAAATTTTTGTCAAAGGTTCTTATAATTACAATTGATAGCAATGCGTTCATTGTTGATATAATGACGATTGATGGGGGTATCCCTTGGGGTTCCTTTCTGTAAATAATAAAAGATGTTTATTAAATAGAAGCCACGAATTTAACAAAAAACACCTTACTAAACGTGGCCTAGGCTAAATTTAAGAATGTTATTAATAATAATTTAGTGTTTGTTTATTATTTACATTTATAATTTTAGTGTTTGTTTATTGTAAAATTATTTTAAACAAATTTTACAATTTTGATAAACAGTTTAGAAAATCCAAAATCTTTTGGGTATCATTAACTAAGTTTTAATTGGTTCCGAATTTTACCTTTCAGGAAAACAGGCTGAAATGGAAAAACTCATTCTTACCTCGAGGACGCCGTTATCTGAATCAAACGGAGAATAATTTGTTTTAATCCTCTCCCCATTTATTTAAACCTCTTCTCCCACATTCACAACTTTTCCAGCTTTTAGTTGCTATATGTTAATAAAACATAGGTAGTAACCTACTACCAGTGTTTGGAAGCTCATACCAAAATTCGTATTTGTACTTGTGTACGAAGTACGAGGCCAAAAATAGGGCTGGTACGAATAAAACGAGTACGAGTTAAAAATAAGGCATGTGCGAAAGTACAAGTTAAGCAAATTTCAAAATTCCAATTCAAAATTCCACTACTCGAAACCAAAATTGTAAGTCGAAAAGATTTTTAAACCACAATTTTTGGCCTTAATTTCTTTACTCATTTTTGGGGTGAAAGATTTGATTATACAAACGCTTATTTAAAAAGATTTTTTTCCAATTTGGAGAAAGACTATATGCTATACTTTATTAAAAACTAACTGTAATTTAATACATTTTTAAGATAAAATGTTAAAAAGATTATACAATAAAAATTCATATTTACTAATAAAAAGTTCTTTGACTTCAATATTAATGCTTTTTATATTAGCTTTATTTTTTTATTTTATTATTTTTAATTCGAATCAATTTATTTCGTCAACAATACGTTTAAAGTAATTCTAAAAATTATGAAAAATTTCCGAATCTTGAACAATAAATTTATAAAAATGGGGGCAGTCACACTTCTTTGTTTTCCAGAACCTGAACTTCCGTCTAAACACTAACACCCATACCATTCTTGCAAAAGCTCTTATTGATATAATTATTAAAACATAAAGTCTTGACTAAATTCAAACATAGATTTTGCAATTAAATTTACTCGAAAATTTTAAAAAAATATGATTGAATAATTGAATCTAAAGAAGGGTAATAACGACTACACATATTTACAAACTATCAAATAGATTTTAAGTTAACTATGGTGTTTGTTTTTATGCTTTGGTGATTAGTTTCTGGGATTCTATCCCTTTTTAAGAATTATTTTAAAATAAATTTCAGTCATTTCTCTGTAAACAACAATAAAATGATAAACAAACCCAAAATTGCAATTATAACTGTATTCGATAAATCTGATCATTTAAATGAATTTGGTTTGGCATTAAGTACAGTTCGTTGTTATGCTCAACGCTCTCAAGAATGTTCTCATTTTGTTCTAATTTCACCTAATATACCAGAAAGTAATGCAAATAACTCTTTAGATGAGAATAATAAATGCAGACAAAATGACGTGAGAATTTACTAAAAGATTTTTTCAAGTTCCCAATATAAAAAATAATTCTGAGAACAAATTTTTAATAAAAATTTTTGACTCAATCTATTATTACCGTGTTTACTCAATTAATTAGCCTAGATAATTATTAATTATCTCGAACTTTCGCTGGAGGATTTTTTATTAGAAATTTTGTGATATCGTTCGCAGGCAATTAGGCAATAGAGCAAACAGGCTTAAAACGGATTTATAATGTTCGCCTTCTATTCAAAATTCCTAGAATTTTAGTTCATGTTTCGTCGCCATTGTGTAGTTGTCGAGTGGATGTCTCAACATTCTGAATTTGAGTGGATATTATTTATTGATGGGGATATGGCTGTTGTTAATCCAAATCATTCTTTATTTGAATATATTAATGGAGAACAAATTATTTTTATTGATAGAATATTCAATCATGAAATAATGGCAGGCAGTTATTTAGTGAAGTACGTTAATCTTTAATATATCAGGGTTATTAGATTGGCTAGAAATTCTATCCGAAGTTTCTACTTTTTGGACGTATACAGAGTTTGACCGCCCTACACGGTGTGTGGCAGTCTAAATGATTCCATCGGACCTGGGTAACCTAGCAGAAGCCAAGAAATGACAAGGATCTTCTTACTCTATTGACGGAGACCTTCAACCCTCAGAGAAAGTACCAATTAACATTTACAGAAACACAATTTATGGTCGAAATTTTCTTAATACTTGGGTCAATTATTTTTACAAATTACCAAAAAGCTTTCACGGAACTGACAATGGAGCTATACATGTAAATAAATTTTTAAATATGTAAATACCTTTAAATTTTTAGGGACTTTTTATGGAAAAATTTTCTTCACAAGAACACAGAAATAAATGTCAACATCTGTGGGAAATATCTAAGTACTTTAATTTCGAATAATTAATTAAAAATATTTTTAAAGAAATTTTGGAGATCTAAACACATTCACAGTTTGTGTTCGTCATTTTCTTGAAAAACAAATGGTAAATCGAACATTTGATGAAGGAAAAGTTAAAGTTTTCCCTAAAGCTGCAGGATGGGCAAGGGATGGCGGACATACTGGGACAAAATTTTCAACAAAAGATTTTATTTTTCATGGATGGAAAGCCTCGTAATAATTAGTAGATATTAAATAATAAATCAAAAATTAGAAACGAAAGGCCAAATTTAAAAAATTAAGCAAAATTCGTTAAAAGAATTTTTTAATGAATGTTGTGAAATATGATGAACTAACTTATTGTATATGTACGTATTTTTTCAGTAGCCTGCACAGAAATGGAGAATTAAATCCTTGGAAATATCCATTTAAAGCAGAACAAAATTTTTATGACGACAAGTTTTATTGTAATAAATCAGAATGGGTATATAATGAAGATTTTGTTGAAGAAGAAGATAAAATAGATGAAACATTAAAAAGAATTATTAATGGAATTAAAGTAGAATATGATAAAACTGTACAAAACTTAAAACTAACATAAATATGTACATATATATTTTTAAAATGAGAATATAAAATGCAAGTTGGGAAAGACAATTTAAAAAATTAATTTAAATGAGAAATAATTGCTACAATACAAAGATAACACGAGATTTCATTTTAGTAGCCTGGCTGTGTTCGAGGAAATAATAAACATAGAATTTTAATCAAAAATAAAAGACACAATTTAATAAAATAACGATTTCCCTTCTTCCAATTAAAAAGTAGAGTTAGGCCAAACACTTATATTAATCATAACTAGAGCCCGGATTTTTATGCATTAAAAAATGCAAAATATGCACTATAATATGCATAAAAAATTGCCAAAATATGCACAAAAATATGCAAGTAAACCAAAATATACACGCATATATGCATGAAAAATACCATTTATACCTAAAAATTTTACATATTTTTAGTCAAAATGATTTAAAATACATTTTTTATTAAGATTTCTCCTATTTTAAATGTATAGTTCGACAAATTGAGCATTTTTACGGTGTTGGGCATTTTGAGATGAGGCATTTTGGTGGTGGGACATTTTGGGGTGCGACGTTTTGGGGCTGAGACATTGTGGGGGTGGGCCATTTTCTGGCGAAACCAATAAACACAAAAATTTTTTTGCAAAATTTGTAATTTTTACAAATTTTTTCCTAAATTTTCACTAAATTTTCACTTTTTGGCAGGATTTTAGGCAATTTTCGCAATATTTTCCCCAAAAACCTCAAAATATGCAGTAAAATATGCATTATGCAACAAAGTCCGGAATATGCAAAAATATGCATTATATGCAAATAGAAACCCCCTCTAAAGTTTTCAAAACTTGCGGAAACAGTGTTTTTTGTGCATAACACATCATGAAAAGTTTGCAAAAAAAATATGCATTTGCATAAAAATCCGGGCTCTAATCATAACATAGCGGTACATCTATGCCTCGGCAAGCCTGAGGACCTGATTAACCCTCAAAGCTTCAGCTGTTAGGACATGGCTTCAATTGTCGTGCTGTTTTTCTACTATAATGATTTACATATTGCTTGTGAATTAAATTTATTTTCAAAATTTTATAAATCAATCAAATTTAGTAGCCTTTAGGCAAGTTAATTTGATCATTTCTTTCCTGATTTTTAAAAAATCGTAACTCGGGATGGTTCGTTCTCTGGTATGGGTAAAGGTGGTTTCGGCCATATATTTGTAAAATAATTTATATATCTATATGTCCGCAAATGGCTGTCTGCACTTTTTGTCTTTTCCTTCTGGTTCCGTGACTTTTGCGACATTTTTACACCATGATACCCTCTCAAAAATATCACACAGTGATATGAAAATGAATATTCACAAGGAACATTGAAAAAAAGTGAAATTCTGCCTATTATAGGCAGAAATATCAATAAAAATAATGCAACAAAAGTGAAAAATGAAAAAAAAAATAAAAAAATTCCACAAAATTTAATTCCAAAAAATTTAAAATACTTAAATCTTCAATTTCGTCAACGACAATATTAGCTTTATTAGAAGGTGATTCTTAATTTTTCAATTTACTTTTTAATATAATACACATAGTTCATTTAAGGTACCGACTAGCTTAAGGAATAATTGCTTTATACGGATATAATCCGTTCAGTAACGGATTCGGTGTGAAACTCTACATACATATTTATTACCTTGAACTCTTCCTATTTTCATTACAAAAATTGTTTTTTATTAAATAATTATTTTATTTATAATCAATTTTATTTTTTTCTTAAATTTTTGTCAAAAGTTTTTATAAATGAAATTTAACAGTTGATAGCTTTGCTTTCCTTGTTGATATATGTAATGTCGTTTGATGGAGGTATTAATTTGGGTTTCTTTCTGCAAATAAAGGAGGTTATTGAATAAAAGCCACGAATTAAGCAAAAAACACCTTACAAAACGTGGCTTGTTGTTGGCTAAATTATAAATGTTAACACATTTAATTTTTTATATTTACACCTCGAAGTTTGTTTATTTGTAAAATCATTTTAAATAATTTTTACAATTTTGATAAACAGTTTAGAAACATCCAAAACCTTTTGGGTGTCATTAAATAGTTTTAAATGATTCCGAATTACACATTTCCGGAAAACAGGCCGGGATGGAAAAACTTATTCTTACACCGAGGACGCCGTTATCTGAATCAAGCGGTGATGCTAAAAAGAAATAGAGTCCTCTCCCCATTTACATTCTCCCACATTCACAAGTTTTCCAGCTTTTAATTATTATTTAATAAAACATAGTAACGTACTTCATGAATAAATTTTTAAGACAAAATGTTAAAAAGATTATACAATAAAAATTCCTTTTTACTAATAAAAAGTTCTTTGGCTTCAATACTAATGCTTTTTATATTAGCTTTATTCTTTTATTTTATTGTTTTTAATTCGGATCAATCTATTTCGTCAACAATACGTTTAAAGTAATTCTTAAAATTATTCAAATTCTTTTTGCAAATAATGGAGGTTATTGAATAAAATGATAGGAACAAGAAATTCTGGAACAAGGGTTTTACAAAAATGGGGCGGGCACACTTCTCCTTTGTTTTCCGGAACCTGAACTTCCGGCGAAACACTGACACCCATAAATTCTTGCAAAAGCTAATTCTCTTATTGGTATAATTATCAAACAATAGTGACTAAGGTCAAACATGTTAACTTTGGTGTTGGTTTTTATGCTTTGGTGATTAGTTGAATATATGGGATTCCATCCTTTTTTAAGAGTTTTTACAACAATTTCAGTAAGTTCTCTGACAACAAAAATATGAGAGGAGAAGTAAACAAACCCAAAATTGCAATTATAACTGTACTTGACAAATCTGATCTTTTAAATGAATTTGGTTTGGCATTAAGTACAGTTCGTTGTTATGCTCAACGCTCTCAAGAATGTTCTCATTTTGTTTTAATTACACCTAATATACCAAAAAATAATGTAAATAATTCTTTAAATGAAAACAAATGCAGACAAAATGACGTGAGGATTTACTAAAAGATTTTTTCAAGTTCCCAATCTTATAGTAGAAAAAAATTCTGTGAACAAATTTTAAATAAAAATTTTCCTCTCAATCTATTATTACTGTGTTTACTCAATTAATTAGCCTAAATAATTATTAATTATCTCAAACTTTCGCTGGAGGGTTAATTACCTATTAGAAATTTTGTGATTATCGTTCGAAGGCAATTAGGCAAACCGGCTTAAAACGGATTTATAATTCAAAATGCGATTCATTTTAGTTTATGTTTCGTCGCCATTGTGTAGTTGTCGAGTGGATGTCTCAACACTCTGAATTTGAATGGATATTATTTATTGATGGGGATATGGCTGTTGTTAATCCAAATCATTCTTTATTTGAATATATTAATGGAGAACAAATTATCTTTTATGATAGAATATTCGGGTGAGGGGTAAAACGAGGAATTCCAAAACACGGAACAGACCGAACACGGAACTACCAAAATACGGACCATACTAAAACGAGGAATAGACAGAACACGGACACTTTAACTGACCGTTCCGTCTTTTGGTAAGACCGCCTTTTGTCTGTTCCTCGTTTTGGTATGGTCCGTATTTTGGTCGTTCCGTGTTTTGGTAATTCCTCGTTTTGTCGTTCCGTGTTCTGTCGTTCCGTGTTTTGTCCGTTCCGCGTTTTAGCCCGACACGGAATATTCAGTAATGAAATAATGGCAGGCAGTTATTTAGTTAAGTAAGTTAATCTTTAATATATCAAGGTTATTAGATTGACTAGGAATTCTATCCGAAGTTTCTTGACCGCCCTCCACGGTGTGTGGCAGTTGACATAACTGACAATTAGATGTTTAGTAAGTTACCACTGCCTGTCTGACTCGGGCAAATCTGATGAATGTCTACAACCTTGGGCCTATTCCACCAAGCAAAATTGTCACAACGTTTGGCGATCCTTGAAGTCTAACTATCTAAGTTTAACTGATTCCATCGTACCTGGGTAACCTAAGCAGAAGAATATCCATTGGATCTTCTTCCTCTATGGACGAAGACCTACAACTCTCAGAGAAAATACCAGCTAATTTTAATATTTACAGAAACACAATTTATGGTCGAAATTTTCTTAAAGATTGGGCCAATTATTTTTACAAATTACCAAAAAGCTTTCATGGAACGGACAATGGAGCTATACATGTAAATAAATTTTTTAAATATGTAAATATTTTTAAATTTTTAGGGATTTTTTATGGAAAAATTTTCTTCACAAGAACACAGAAATAAATGTCAACATCTGTGGGAAATATCTAAGTACTTTAATTTCGAATAATTAATTAAAAATATTTTTAAAGAAATTTTGGAGATCTAAACACATTCACAGTTTGTGTTCGTCATTTTCTTGAAAAACAAATGGTAAATCGAACATTTGATGAAGGAAAAGTTAAAGTTTTCCCTAAAGCTGCAGGATGGGCAAGGGATGGCGGACATACTGGGACAAAATTTTCAACAAAAGATTTTATTTTTCATGGATGGAAAGCCTCGTAATAATTAGTAGATATTAAATAATAAATCAAAAATTAGAAACGAAAGGCCAAATTTAAAAAATTAAGCAAAATTCGTTAAAAGAATTTTTTAATGAATGTTGTGAAATATGATGAACTAACTTATTGTATATGTACGTATTTTTTCAGTAGCCTGCACAGAAATGGAGAATTAAATCCTTGGAAATATCCATTTAAAGCAGAACAAAATTTTTATGACGACAAGTTTTATTGTAATAAATCAGAATGGGTATATAATGAAGATTTTGTTGAAGAAGAAGATAAAATAGATGAAACATTAAAAAGAATTATTAATGGAATTAAAGTAGAATATGATAAAACTGTACAAAACTTAAAACTAACATAAATATGTACATATATATTTTTAAAATGAGAATATAAAATGCAAGTTGGGAAAGACAATTTAAAAAATTAATTTAAATGAGAAATAATTGCTACAATACAAAGATAACACGAGATTTCATTTTAGTAGCCTGGCTGTGTTCGAGGAAATAATAAACATAGAATTTTAATCAAAAATAAAAGACACAATTTAATAAAATAGCGATTTCCCTTCTTCCAATTAAAAAGTAGAGTTAGGCCAAACACTTATATTAATCATAACATAGCGGTACATCTATGCCTCGGCGAGCCTGAGGACCTGATTAACCCTCAAAGCTTCAGCTTTGAGGGTTGTTGGCTCCAATTGTCGTGCTGTTTTTCTATAATGATTTACATATTGCTTGTGAATTAAATTTATTTTCAAAATTTTATACCAATCAAATTTAGTAGCCTTTAGACAAGTTAATTTGATCATTTCTTTCCTGATTTTTAAAAAAATCGTAGCACGGGATGGTTCGTTCTCTGGTATGGGTAAAGGTGGTTTCGGCCATATATTTGTAAAATAATTTATATATCTATATGTCCGCAAATGGCTGTCCGCACTTTGTTTTTTCCTTCTGGTTCCGTGACTTTTGCGACATTTTTACACCATGATACCCTCTCAAAAATATCACACAGTGATAGGAAAATGAATATTCACAAAGAACATTGAAAAAAAGTGAAATTCTGCCTATTATAGGCAGAAATATCAATAAAAATAATGCAACAAAAGTGAAAAATGAAAAAAAAATAAAAAAAATTCCACAAAAATATCAAAAAATATTTAAAATCTTTAAATCTTCAATTTCGACAACGACAATATTAGCTTTATTAGAAGGTGATTCTTAATTTTTCAATTCACTTTTTAATATAACACTAGCTCATTTAAGGGAACGACTGCTTCATAAATAGGGATATAATCCGTTAAGTAAGGGATCGGTGTGAAACTCTAGATATGTACATATTTTTGCCTTGAACTCTTCCTATTTTCATTACAAAAATTGTTTTTTATTAAATAATTATTTTATTTATAATTAATTTTATTTTTGTCTTAAATTTTTGTCAAAAGTTTTTATAATTACAGTTGATAGCTTTGCTTTCCTTGCTGATATAATGTGGTTTGATGGGGGCATTAATTGTGGTTTCTTTCTGTAAATAAAGGATGTTATTGAATAAAAGCCACGAATTAAACAAAAAAACAACTTACAAAACGTGGCTTACTGTTGGCTAAATTTTAAATGTTAACATTTATTTAGTTTTTTATATTTACACCTCGAAGTTTTATTTATTTTAAAATCATTTTAAATAATTTTTACAATTATTGTAAATCCATTCTGATAAACAGTATAGAAAGCAACAATCACTCTTGAGCAGCATAAATATATTTTAAATATTTGAGCATAAAAGAAGGGAGATTGGCGAAATAAAAAATTTTTTTAATTTAAACGAAATAAAATAGATATAAAAAAATATTTTCCTTATTTTTAACCTCTATTAATATTTTAATCTCCATTAAAATTATAAATATGCCCGGAATACCTAGATTCGTGACAGACTTATCTTAGAACGATTATATGTCCGCAGGCGAAAATATTAATTCTGGAAGGCTTTAATCCATATATCTTTCCTACGCCCATTGGGTCTGGAACCGTTCCTTAACCTATTCCTCGAAATTTCTGAAAGTTATAGCCCATTTTTAAAAATTTCGGAAAAACGATTTTAACTTTCAGAAATTTCGAGGGATAGGGTAAGGAATGGTCCCAGACCCATTGGGCTTATGTTCCGAACATGAAAAATGCTTTGGAACCATACTTCAACTTTGCAACACCAAGAAAAATCCAATTTTTTGTTGATGGGACGCCTATACTTTAATGTGACGCATAAAAGTTCATGGGACACATGTCCTAAGAGCCAAACCTTTTTCCACTTAGGTTCACTTCGGGCCTTTGGCCCTCGTCTCCCCCCCCCTTCCCACCGTTGGGACTCATTCTTCCATTTAGTTTTCCAGCTTTTAATTATTATGTTAATAAAACATAGTAACGTACTTCATTAATAAATTTTTAAGACAAAATGTTAAAAACATCATACAATAAAAATTCATATTTACTAAAAAAAAGTTCTTTGACTTCAATATTTATGCTTTTTATTTTAGCTTTATTTTTTTATTTTATTGTTTTTAATCCGGATCAACTTATTTCGCCAGCAATACGTTTAAAGTAATTCTTAAAATTATGAAAAATGTCCGAATCTGGAACAAGAGCTATACAAAAATGGGGCGGGCACACTTCTCCTTTGTTTTCCAGAACCTGAACTTCCGGCGAAACACTAACACTCATACCATTCTTGCGAAAGCTCATTCTCTTATTGATATAATTATCAAACATAAGGTCGTGACTGGTTCAAACATAGATTTTACAATTAAATTTACTCGAAAATTAAGAAAGAGATATGATAGAATAATTGAATTTAAATAAGGGTAATCATGTCTCATCGACATATTTGCAAAAACATTTACTCTCTAAAATATCAACTAGATTTTAAGTTCACTTTGGTCTTGGTCTATGCTTTGGTGATTAGTCTCATATATGGGATTCTATCCCTTTTTGAGAATTATTTTAACTAAATTTCAGTCATTTCTCTGTTAACAACAATAAAATGATAAACAAACCCAAAATTGCGATTATAACTGTATTCGATAAATCTGATCTTTTAAATGAATTTGGTTTGGCATTAAGTACAGTTCGTTGTTATGCTCAACGCTCTCAAGAATGTTCTCATTTTGTTTTAATTTCACCTAATATACCCGAAAATAATGTAAATAATTCTTTAACGGTGAATAAAAACAAATGTAGACAAAACGACGTGAGGATTTACTAAAAGATTTTTTCAAGTTCCCAATATAAAAATTAATTATGAGAACAAATTTTTAATAAAAATTTTTTACTCAATCTATGTATTATTAACGTGTTTACTCAATTAATTAGCCTAGATAATTATTAATTATTTCAAACTTTCGCGGGAGGGTTAATTATTAAAAATTTGATGATTATCGTTCGAAGACAATTAGTTAAAACGGATTTATAATGTCCGCCTTCTATTCAAAAAAATTTTAGTTCATGTTTCGTCGCCATTGTGTAGTTGTCGAGTGGATGTCTCAACATTCTGAATTTGAGTGGATATTATTTATTGATGGGGATATGGCTGTTGTTAATCCAAATCATTCTTTATTTGAATATATTAATGGAGAACAAATTATCTTTTATGATAGAATATTCAATAATGAAATAATGGCAGGCAGTTATTTAGTGAAGTACGTTAATCTTTAATATATGAGGGTTGTTAGATTACCTATGAATTCTATCCGAAGCTTCTTAACCGCCCTCCACGGTGTGTGGTAGTTGATGTAACTGACAATTAGATGTTCAGTAAGTTACCTGCCTTGCCTGTCTGACTCGGGCAAATCTGATAAATGCCTACAAACTTGGGCCTATTCCACAAAGCGAAATTGACATTAAATGTCGCGACATTCGGCGATCCCTTGAAGTCTAACTATCTAAGTCTAACTGATTCGATCGTACCTGGGTAACCTGAGCAGAAAAAAATCCATTGGATCTTCTTCCTCTATAAACGAAGACCTACAACTCTCAGAGAAAATACCAACTAATTTCAATATTTACAGAAACACAATTTATGGTCGAAATTTTCTTAATACTTGGGCCAATTATTTTTACAAATTACCAAAAAGTTTTCACGGAACGGACAATGGAGCTATACATGTAAATAAATTTTTAAATATGTAAATACTATAAAATTTTTAGGGACTTTTTATGGAAAAATTTTCTTCACAAGAAGACAGAAATAAATGTCAACATTTGTGGGAAATTTCGAAGTACTTTAATTTCGAATAATTAATTAAAAATATTTTTAAAGAAATTTTGGGGATCTAAACACATTCACAGTGTGTGTTCGTCATTTTCTTGAAAAACAAATGGTTAATCGAACTTTTGATGAAGGGAAGGTTAAAGTTTTCCCTAAAGCTGCAGGATGGGCAAGGGATGGCGGACATACTGGCACAAAATTTTCAACAAAAGATTTTATTTTTCATGGATGGAAAGCCTCGTAATAATTAGATATTATATAGTAAATATAAAATTAAAAATGATAGGCCCACCTCCCAATTTAACAAAATGAAGTAAAATTCGTTAAAAGAAATTTCTATTTTTTAATAAATGAACTTACAGTATATTTATTTTATTTTTTTCAGTAGCCTGCACAGAAACGGAGAATTAAATCCTTGGAAATATCCATTTAAAGCCGAACAAAATTTTTATGACGACAAGTTTTATTGTAACGAATCAGAATGGGGATATAATGAAGATTTTGTTGAACAAGAAGATAAAATAGATGAAACATTAAAAAGAATTATTAATGGAATTAAAGTAGAATATGATAAAACTGTACAAAACTTAAAACTAACATAAATATATTTTGATAAATTTTTTTTGTTATCATGGCAAAAATTAAACATTCTTATGTGAAAAGACGAGAAAGGCAATTTAAAAATTAATTTAAATAAGGAATCGCTTATATTAATCATAATTAGAGACCGGATTTTTATGCAAATGCATATTTTTTTGCAAACTTGTCATGATGTATATTAGTGATGTTCGGGAGAAGAAAATTTACCACCAAAATTTCTCATCTCAAAAGGTCGAGCAGCGTAAAAATACTCAATTTGTCGAACTATACATTTAAATTGAGAGTAATCTTAATAAAAATAGGCGTTTGAATTTTTTGACTTAAAAAAGTTAAAATTTGTAGGTTTAAATTGTATTTTTCTTGATATTTGTGTGGATATTTTGGGTTTCTTACATATTTTCGTGCATATTTGAGCAATTTTTTATGCATATTACATATAATGCATATTTTGCATTTTTTAATGCATAAAAATCCGGTCTCTAATCATAATGTAATATTATTCAAATAAAGGTAAAATAAAGGCGCTTAGCAACATAGCGGTAAAATCTTTGCGGTAAAATCTTTGCGGTAAAATCTTTGCCTCGGTAAGCCTAAGGACCTGATTAACCCTCAAAGCCTGTTAAGGACAAAGGTATCCCGAACTTAAGTCTTATCAAATACCACAAATGTAGCACAATGGTATAGGTGTGTAAAGGTGGTTTCGTCTATACGGGTTCGGTGTGAAACTCTACATACATATTAGTTGCCTTGGTCTAAATGAGTTAATTGCTACAAAAATCATTACAAAAATTGTTTTTTATTAAAAAATTTATTCGACGTACAGAATTATTTATACTCAATTTAATTTTTGTCTTAAATGTTTGTCAAAAGTTTTTATAATTAGCTGACAGCATTACTTTCACTGTTGATACATATGTATAATGACGCCTATTCATTCGAGTTTATTTCCGTAAATAAAAAGGAGGATGTTAAATAAAAGCCACGAATTAAACAAAAAAACACCTTACAAGACGTGGCTTATTGTTTGCTAAATTTTAGATGTTAACATTTATTTAGTTTTTAATATTTACACCTTCAAGTTTATTTATTGTAAAATCATTTTAAATAATTTTTATAATTATGTATAGGCCCGAATTTTTAGATTATAACCTATTTTTTCTGCAAAATAGTTATGATAAATTGAACTCAAATCCGTTGTTATTTTTCGAATATCACCTATTATCACCTATTCAACCCTATTTTAGGTTTTTGCAACTTAAAATAGGTTGCAACCTATTTTGAAGTTTTTGTGATTTTTGTTTTTCGAATTGAGGCGAAATAAAATAGAAATTAAAAAATATTTACCTATTTTTCAATCTCTATTAATCGCCATTAAAATGATAAATATCCCTGGAATACCTAGATTCATGACAGACTTATCTTAGAACCAGAAATTATCTGCAGTCGAAAATGTTAAGAATTCTGGAAGGGCTTGAATCCATATTACGAAAATTTTGAGAAAAAATATAGCCGCATAGGGCTTTATTTACAAATACGGTACTATATTAATTAATAAATTACTATATCTCTAAATCGAGGATAATAAATATATACAATAGGAGGGATTTTAAATTAAATTTATAGACAAATCTCAATTAGTTATCGACTATAATTTAATAAAACTTTTAAGATAGAATGTTAAAAACACCAAATTCATTGGCTTTAATATTAATTATTTCTATATTAGCTATATTTTTTTATATTAGTATTTTTAATTCCGATCAGTTTATTCCTTCAACATCTTTAAAGTAATTTTTATATTAATTAAAAAATCTTAAAACTCAATTTTGTTGAATAATTTAATTATTTGACCAGTAGTAGACCAGGAAAAGCTTATGTCCCCTATAGCCAAAGTAAACTGCAATGTGAAAATATCATGAAAATATTAGGTATCGAAAATTCTTGGGATTAAGAGACTTTGAGGGGATATCGTGAATCCTTCTTCTTATTCCACTTCTTTACAGATACCCTAGTATCTTTTAATATCTAATAGCACTTTTAAGCCCCACAAATCCTCCGCTATAAATCTTAATCCTTTAAAATCCTTTACAAGCATCTTTACCTAGTCACAGAGGCCCGAAACCTAAAACCCTATGAGATTTTCCCCCATGAAAATTTTAAAACTATTTTAGTGAGTTTTCTGACAACAATAATAAGAGAAAAATAAACAAACCCAAAATTGCAATTATAACTGTAATCGACAAATCTGATCGTTTAAATGAATATGGTTTGGCATTAAGTACAGTTCGTTGTTATGCTCAACGCTCTCAAGAATGTTCTCATTTTGTTTTAATTACACCAAATATAACAGAAAATAATATACAGACAGTAAATAAAAACAACAAATGCAAACAAGACGATGTGAGGATTTAATAAAAGATTTTTTAACTTTCCCAATTTTAAAATAAATAAAAAATAATACTGAAAAAATTTTAATAAAATGTTTTTAATAACTCAATGTTACCGTATGTACTAATTAATTAGCCTAGGTAATTATTATCTAGGGTTGCACCCCGAACGCTCGGGGGCAGGTGTGTCGGGGTACGGGGTTTTCGAATTGTTTCGGGGCGGGGTCGTGGAACGGTGGTATAATGGAAAAATTTTTTAAAGAAAAAATGCTCTAAAAATAAGCCGTTTTCGGTCTATTTTCGTTAATTTATTCAAAAATTAATGAGAATAAGGTGAGATTAAATGGTTGTGATGTTGAAGGATTGGGGATTTGAAGGGATTACAAGGATATCAGGGATTGTCGGATAGGCTTTGTCAGATAGTATTACCCAAAATTCTTCTGATTTTAGTTCATGTTTCGTCGCCATTGTGTAGTTGTCGAGTGGATGTCTAAACATTCTGAATTTGAATGGATATTATTTATTGATGGAGATGTAGCTGTTATTAATCCAAATCATTCTTTATTTGAATATATTAATGGAGAACAAATTATCTTTTATGATAGAATATATAATCATGAAATAATGGCTGGAAGTTATTTAGTTAAGTGAGTAATATATTACATTAGAGTTGTAAGATTTCCTAGAAATTTTCTCTGAATTTCCTGCTTTTTGTCGTATACAGTAGTGATGTTCGGGAGTTAAAAAAAACGAGAGTCGAGATCAGAGTTATAAGATTGATATCCCTCATAATCACCAAAAGTCCCTTTATATCCTTCATAATCCCCCAAAATCCCTTGAATCCCTACATCCACAATAAATCTCTTACTCCCTCTAAATCTCTCGATATCCATCTTAATCCACTGATATTCAGATTAATCGCTTAGAATCCCCTTATATCCCTTCAAATCGAATGATATATTTTTGATCCCTCGATGCCACGCACAAGTCCTAGATATTTACTTTAAAGTTTAAACCATAACTGATCTGGATTATCCTCTACGGATGCGAGAAAGTACCAATTAATTATAATATTTATAGAAACACAATTTATGGTCGAAATTTTCTTAGAGATTGGGCCGATTATTTTTACAAAGTACCGAAAAGCTTTCACGGAACGGATAATGGAGCTATACATGTAAATAAATTATTTAGAATACCTTTAACTATTTTTAAGTTTAGGGACTTTTCATGGAAAAATTTTTAGCACAACAACACAGAAATAATTGTCAACATTTGTGGGAAATATCTAAGTACTTTAATTTATTTTTAATATATGACGGATTTTAAATACATATTTGAATACAATTTAACCAAAAAAATTAAAAATTAAATAAAGTATAAATAAATAAAAATATATTTAAAGAGATTGGGACGGTCTTTGGAGGTTCTTAGCGTGTGCTCGTTATTTTATTAATAAACAAATGGTAAATCAGACATTTGATCAAGGAAAAGTTAGAGTTTTCCCTAAAGCTGCAGGATGGGCAAGGGATGGTACACTAACTGATACAAAGTTTTCAACAAAGGATTTTATGTTTCATGGATGGAAAGCCTCGTAATAATTAAATAATAAATATAAAATTTTAATTGGAAATACAATAAAATAGGTAAAATACCATAGAGATTTGAAAAAAAGTTGTCGAACGGAGCGATTAAATTTTCATTTCACATAGCTTATCGGAGATACTTCTAGTACATTGTTATTTCTAGCTTAGAAAGTCATTCCTAAATCAGAGTTGGTCATCAAATATCAGAAATCGAAAGATCAGACCGACCCAACTCTGACCCCCAAATGAGAACAATTTCCTGTATTCTTGATGAACTTAACTCTAAATATTATTTATGTATGTAGGTACAAGGGTTGCCGTCCGAAACCCGTACCCGAAGATTTTTTGTACCCACGGCAACCCTGGTAGGTACAATAAACATATCAATATATATTTCTTTTTTCAGTACCTTAGATAATACTGAAGACCGATTATATCATTGGAAATATCCATTTAAGGCAGAACTAAATTTTTACGACGACAAGCTTTATTGTAATAATAAATCAGAATGGGAATATAATGAAGATTTTTTTGAAGAAGAAGATAAAATAAATGAAATATTGAAAAAAGTTATTAATGAAAAGGAAATAGAATATAAAAATATTCTAAAGGAATTAAAATTAACATAAATATGTAAAGCTGTTAAAGTTTATATGTATAAATGTTGGTAACAAAAGTCTTTTAATTGTACATATAAACGGAGTGGGATTCTGCGGAATTCGATCCATAAACATTTTTTGATTTGTGGGAATTCAGTAAAATAATTTTTCCGGTACCTAGTTATGAAACAATTTGAATTTAGGCAAAACGCTAATTTTGGATATTTTGTCTGTTTTTGTCGAAATGGTAAAATTGTTTTGATATTTTGCAAAAATGGTCAAAAATTTTTTCCGTTATATTCAATTTGTCCTATCCGGGACACGTCCAAAACGGCGCACGGCCGCAAAGACGCAAAGCCATAACCTGCTTCAAAATTTCCTAATCTCAACAAATTTAGTATTATACGATTCCGCTCGTCGAACTAAAGAGCTTGATACCAAAATTGAAAACGGTCATACAATTTCCTGCAAGTTATAACTTTGCGCCTTTATGGCCGCGCGCCGTTTTGGGCTGTACCCGTTCTATCCTTGTCTAAAAACATTTTTCCATTAAATTTTCCTAAACTTTTATATTTTTTTATTTTTTTTTGATAATCGTTTTATTTTTAGTAGATATAAAAATGCTTTGTAATAAACAATTAAATCATATCGAAAAATCATTAAATACTAAAAATAAAATTGACGACCCTTCTTTAAACAAATCTTTATTTAAAACTTCTATAGTAATTCCTTCAGCTGTTCAATCAACTTTAATTGGAAATAAAGGGTTAAATATTAAAAAATTACAGGTTTATTTATTTTATTTAAATTTTTAAAAATAATTTTTAGACAGAATTTGGAGTGAAAATGCGTTTGCTTGGAGATAATTGGTTGGATTATCCAAAGGGGAGAACTTTACAAATTTTGGGGGATTCTGAAGAGAAAGTTATTAAAGCTAGGAAATATATAGATGAAGAATATATTCTTAAAAAATGCGAGGTAAATTTGAAAATTAGTTTTTTAAAAAAATTTTTTATGAAAACAATTTTTAAAAATAATATTATAATTAAACGAACTTATAAAAAAATCAAGCCCTATTCCAAAGAAGGGTGGAATCGTTTTTTTTCATTACCTGCAAGGAAAGGAAAAATGGACACGGACAGACAAAATCCGGACGGACACTTCGTGTTTTGTTTGCCCGATTCCGTCTGGGTTTCGTCTGTCCATGTCAATCCGTCTCTATTTTCCCTTTCCTTGCAGGTAATGAAAAAAAGCGACTCCGCCTTTCTTTTGGAATAGGAAAATCATTTTTTCCAAAAAGCCGTAAATAGGGAAGTATTTTATTTTCTTCCTTTTTTATCTTATTATTTTGTTCCTGATTTTTTCTTTCATTTAACGACGTTATTTTTTATAATATTTTATTACAAAATTTTAAAGAATTAATATTTCTTAATGCATCATTTTTTGGTTTCTTCTATTAAAAACAAGAGAATCTAAACAATAAAATTTTAGAAATAATACAAGCATTTCTTTTTATTCTTCAAGGCTTTAAATATTGGACAGAAATTTCTCGGGACTCTTGACGATGAACAAAAATTTGTTTGTAAGGAAATTTTAATTCCTAGAATATTGACCACTCAAAGTGAGGAAGATATGGCTAAAATGCAGGTTTAATTTAACTTTTTAAATTTTTTTGATTCTTTTTAAGATTTATTTTTCGGATATTTCCTTTAATTAATTTTCTCTATTTTTTAACTTCAATTTAATTTTCAAATATTATTTTTTCTTTTTTAGAAGACTTCTGGTATAGTCGAATATCTTTATAGAGATTCAAAACAAGTCGGAATGAGGACTATTATTTTGCGTGGAACAAATGATTCTGTTGTTAAAGCAGAAAAAGAGTTGGAAATAATGGCCGCAAAAATTAAAAGAAAATCAAATTCAGTTAGCTCTGTAAGTTAATTATAATTAAATAAATAGTAATTTTGAGACACCCACCAATATGATAAAAAAATCGGCCCGACTTGATAAAAACAAGCCCGAAAAAAATTGCCTAGACCGTCGGCCCGACTCGAAAACGGCAACTCTACCTTTAATGTCTAAAAATTTAAAAAAATTGTGAAAAATCTTTAACACAATTTTAAATTTTTTACAGTTTGGCGAAACAATTGATATAAGCAATAGACCCCCTCCTGCTTTTTCTCAACAAAATCAAACAAATAACTTCAAAGCATTCCCAAAATTTAATCAAAAATTAATTAATACTACAACAAATTTTCAAAAACAAAGAAATATTCAAAATTCATTATCTCCATATTCCCCACCTTTATTGGCAAAATCTTTCATTAATGAAACAAAAAATGCCGAAAATAATGATATTTCTGTTTCTGCCTTCTCAGTCCAATCATCAAAACATCCAGGTATTTTTTAATTTAAAAACGATCTTATAGGGATTTTTTGTTGTAAAGTCAAAAATGTTTTTGAAAACATTTTTAAGAAAGCCACGAAATAGCAGCTCGATTTGCCATTTTTGGAAAACCTTTTTTCTTTCAATTTCGGTTCTCATTTTTTATTTTGTTAAACAGCTCTTTTTTAACTAATTGTGAACCATGAGAGCTAAATAATTCTAAAACTCATAACTAGAGACCGGACTCGAGTGACGTTCGATAATATCGATATTTTCCATCGATATATCGTATCGATCCGGTCTCTACTCATAACCATATATTTTTTATTTTTTTAGCAAAGAATTTTATTTCAACAGAATATCCCAACAACATTGACAAAAATAAGCCTATTTTTGATTCAGTAATCGATATTGACTTTAATCAGCACCGGAAAAATGAATATAATATTCATCGTAATTCAAAATTTAATAATTCAAATAAATGCAGCATAACTTCTGTAGGTATTTTTGAATAATTTAAATTAATTTATAATTTTTTATTTATCAGTAATTTTAATTTGTTTTTTTGTCCCACACCGACAAGGCTGTATGCAATCTATCAAGCTTTTAAGCAACTCGCGTTTTATTTTAGAAAAGTCTGTTACCGTTATCCTTTTTCGTAATTTTACTCAATTTGCATCCGACCTTAAGCCCCCAACAATCTTAATCCCGGAATCCAATTTTATTTTTAAAATCCTTGAGCTTGGTTCACCCAAATAAGTAATATCTTTTTAATGCTTTTTTGTTAATATTTTATTTTTTTTAGGAAGAGAGATCTGAAGCTGAAATACGAGAATTACGTTCTGAGAATGAAAAACTTGTAAGAAAAATTTTTTGAAATTGAAAAAATTAAAAAATAGAAAAGACAAGTAGCACTGAAAGATCGTGAATTGGTTCGTTTAAACGCTGTCCGATCATGTTTTGGTTGTAATTCTTCGCAAGTAAAATTGATAAAAAAAATTTTAAAAATCTTATATTTTTAATTTTCAGCGTTCTGTAATTTTCTTACCCTGTGCTCACTTTCTTTTTTGTGTAAAATGTGCTGATCGGAACGAGAAGTGTCAGATTTGTAATGTGCCTAGGACAAAGAGATTAGTTAAATATGAGTAGAATATTTTGAAGAAATATTTGTTTTTTCTTAGATTTGTAGACAAGGGAAAGAGGAGAAAATCCCCTTCTCTTTTTAAGAAAAATTTTTTCAACTTAAATTTGTTTAGATCGCATTCCTGACATTTATTAACAACCGTCTTGTCTACAGGTCGACTCTTTCCTTTCCTTAATATTAGTAATTTGGTAACTTCCATTTCTATACATATGTATTACCCATTTTATTATTTTCACATTGTATTTTTATTTATTATTTCGAATTATTTGATCATTTATTTTACCTAATTTATTATTTGAATTTAATATATTTTTTAATTATAAATGTTGAATTTATTTGTTTTTGAAAAATCTAGGAATTCTAAATTTAAAAGACAATTATCGATTATCCCCTGAAAAGATTGTTCAAACATTTAAGTTTTAGGATTACTTTTATTGTAAGGACGGCGATCTTTCCTCCTATTTTCAAAAAATACTCTAGCCTAGTTGATAAAAAAATGAAAACTCCGGGCTAATCATTTGCTTTTTTTGAAAAATTCCAAATTTCCTTGTAGTAAATAATCAAAGATATCTCTCATCACAAAATTCACAGGCCGGAAACAAAAAAACAAAGAATCTGTGGTTGTTGAACTAAAATATTTACTGAGAATTTTTTTGAAAAGAAATGAAGAGCAAACAAATATTTGTCTCTTTAAGTGGGTTAATGACTAAGAGTTAATTTTTTAAAAGATAAACATAAAATATAAAGATTTATAAACGAACAAAAATACCTAAATTATTATAAAAATATAAAGCTTAACATAATGTATATACAAAGATTGTTTATATTTATTTGTTTTATTGTGGTTATGATTCAAGCATTGCCGGTTCGTTTAAAATTCAATTGTTTTCTGGGACATTAGAAATATGCGGATTTTTTACTAAATGAAAACAGGGATAGATTTTGGTTAGCCTAGTTTAGAAATAGGAAAGGCTTGGTAAAAATTAGAATTTTCTGATAATAATTTCTAAATAAATTTTTGATAATAACTTTATTTAGAGAGAGAAGCGTAATCCGTTTAGTGATACAACTAAAGATGAAAATGAGAATACTAATATTCCAAAACACGTTTCTCCATTTGCTGTGTTCGATTCTAATGGTAAATTTTAAATAAATAAATTATTCCTTTATTTTAGATTCAATAGAAAATAATTTAAATATTACAACAACAACTCAATCCCCAGATGGAGATTTATTATCAAAAATGTTAGTAAATGATATGGATGAATCAGTCAGACAAATGGAGATGTGAATAAAATTAAATTGAAATTTTGGAAGAAAATCCTGTCTTTTAACGACCATTATAATTTTATCGTTATTTTCACCCTCATTTTTCTCTTTAAAAATTCACAATTAATGAAGAATTGAAGAATGTACATCCTTCATAAGAGAATCAAATTCAATAAGATTAAATATTGTGCTTATCTGAACTCTTTCATTAACCTCAGATTTTAAAGTTGAAATAATTGAGGACATAGCTAAAATAGAGGCCATTCTCTCGAATGCATTATTTACCAATCCTTTTGTTCCAGTTTCTTCATTTGTATGATCAATTTTCTTGTCACGAATATATCTTTAAAATCGATTTGTTGATTGTTTGCCCGAAAAAATTTTTTAAAGTTATCTCTAGTTGGGATATAATCTCCCAGTTTTTTTTACAATTAAATCATTTTTCAAATAATTTTTATTTACCGTATCAAATAATTTACCTTATGCTACGCTTACATAAAAATCGCGCGCGACACGCGACAGAAAAGATAATGGAAAAAGAGGAGAGAAAAGTCGCCGGCGATTTTGTCGCTTTTTTTGCGTGCTTACATAAAAAGCGACTTCCGCCGGCGACATGTCGCGCGCGACTTTGTCGCTTTTTTGAGTGCTTACATAAACCGCGACTTCCGCCGGCGACATGTCGCGCGCGATTTTGTCGCTTTTTCGTGTGCTTACATAAAATGCGATTTCCGCCGGCGACATGTCGCCGGCGACACTTTTTTTGATTCAAACATGTTTGAATTTTTGGCGACACTTTTTTGCGACATGCTATTTCTCGATCAATTCTGATCCGATTTTCAAAATTTAAAAAGATTCTGAAAGTTCAGTTTATTCTCTATCGATCAATATAAATTTTATATTTTTAAAGTTAAATCTTATGGGTCAAAATTGATTTTGAAAAAGGTATACTTTTTGCAAAAAATATTCTTTTTTCGATATTTTTGAGATTTTCAGTATGCTATCGAGTATTTTTATCATAACTTTTTATCAATCGGTCAATAATTTTGATTTTTTATATGTTGTAGAGCTTTTGATTCTCTATCAAATGATACCAAAAACATGAAAAAGTGACCATTTCTTGATGAGTAGGGCTCGTCCCATAAAGTTATGGACAAAAAATTTTGGGGAAAATCAAGGCATTTAAGGGATTAAGAGGGTCCATATCCGCGGGCCATATCTGTCCATAGCCCGGATACCTTCGATCTCCTGATATTATCCGTATCGATAATCATGCCTGGTTTAAAACATTAAAAAAAAATAAATTTGCAAATTTAAAATCAAAATCAAAATCAAAGTTTAAAGATATTTATTTTTGAAAAGAAAATTTTCTCAGTCCCACTTCCTACATGGATTCGAACCCCATCCCTATCAAGATAACTAGATGAGTGAAGTCAGTCAACATAACCACTCAACCATCGACCAATTAAAGAAAATAGTGGAAATTATAAATATTCCTTTCCCTTTTCCTTCAAAAATTTAATATCAAAGTACGGTTTCCCGGTGACCGGGTCCGGGAAACCGTGAAAACCCGTTCAAAAAAACGGGAAAAAGGACCCGGAAACGGGTCCGGACCCGTTCCTAACTCTAATATCAATGGAAAAATTTTAAAAAACCCACAATATAAAAGCCATAATAAAATAGTGGCAACGAACTGTCCTATACATTACAGTACTCTGACTTTCACCAACGTGAAAAATAGAGATAAATAAATAAAGAAAATATAGAAGAAAAAGATAGAAAAATCTAATAATTTTGTGCTTACATAAAAATCGCGCGCGATTTGCGACGTCGCTAGGCGACATGTCGCCTAGCGACGTCGCTGCTTTGTGCTTACATAAAAATAGCGTTTTGTCGCTTTGCGACAGTCGCTTTTGCGGAAATCGCCGATTTTATGTAAGCACACAACTTGCGATTGTCGCCGGCGACATGTCGCCTAGCGACTGTCGCGTGTCGCGCGCGATTTTTATGTAAGCGTAGCATTAGGTAACTATTATTTTAATTCCTCATTAGAAGGGTAAATAACGGGAAGTAACTAACAATTTGCTCAATACTGAAGGAATTTGTAAATTAATTTTAAAAACCCCCAATTTTATCCAAATAAAAAATCTAAAAAAACTTGCTTAAATAGAGCACGCAAATATAAACTTCGAGCATTTTTAACTTGTTCAAGTGCTTGTGGACTTAGTCCAACCTATTTAAATTCTGGCTATATTTAAATATAAAATTTATTTATTTTACTTCTTCACGAAATAAAAGAATAGCTTTCAATAAAACATATTCAGCAAAATCCAAATTTAATTGTCGGAGTGGCTCAAATAAAAAATGGACAAGAATTGATAGTTGTTGACCAAAAAAATTAACAATTCTAATTAAAAATTTAAATTTTATTTATTTTGTTGTTTAATTACTAGGGAGTGGCAAAATATGCACGGAAAATCCCAAAATATGCGCATATATATGCACCGAAAAAGCCCAAAATATGCACCAAAATAAGCCAAATTTGCCGAAATATGCATTAAATATGCAGCGACAATCAGTGATGCGGAAATTACAAAATGTGCCCGGTTCCGGTTCCGGTTCTGGAACCGCTCTTTCAATTTTGCCCGGTTCCGGTTCCGGTTCTGGAACCGATTTTTTAATTTTGGCGGTTCCGGTTCCGGTTCTGGAACCGCTTTTTTAATTTTGCCCGGTTCCGGTTCCGGTTCTGGAACCGGTTCCAAACCGGTTCCGGTTCCGAAAAATTTTGGCTTTAACTTAGTATAGGTCCACTGAGATCCAAACTGTAAGTATATATCATTCAATTCGTCTCTTCGAGCTGAGTTCAAATATGCAAGAATTTCTTGCAGGAGACGAAAACTCGCAGAGATATAGGCCTCCGAAAATCGAAATCGAAAAAGGGACCAAACATTTTTGGGTGACTCGAAAATTTCGGATCCGGGTCAGGGTGGACGCAATTGAACAACAACAATTAAACGGAAAACGGGGTTTAAACGCCGCAGGCGAGAATTTGTTAAATTTGGAAGGACAAGTCACCAGATTTCTTCCCTTTTCTGCGCCGCAGGCGAAAATTTTAAGGATTTTGGAAGGCCAAGCACTAGATTTCTGCCCTTTTTAAGCGCCGCAGGCGAAAATTTTGAGAATTTTGGAAGATCCTTAAACCAAAAATCTTCATTTATTGCGCCGCAGGCGAAATTTTTGAAAATTTAAAAGTCATAGCAAAAAAAATTCATGTATTTAAAAATATGACAAAATTTTTTGTTATAAATAAGTTCATAATAATCTATTTCCTGAAGAAAAACAATTATTTTGTCATTCATTAAGTTCGGTTCGAACCTCACACAATGATAATTCCTCAAAACTATGAACCTAACACAATATCCATTCAACCACACATCTTTTGAATGAAAAATAAAGATAATCTTTTTCACTCGTCTCAATTTTCCCTTCCTTTTCTTCTCACTACTCCCATCTTTTGCCCATTTCTCTGATTTTACCCATCATTAGGGGTGTATCTTTGGAACCGGTTCTGGAACCGGTTCTAAACCGGTTCCGGACCTTTACCGGTTCCACGGTTCCGGTTCCAAACCGGTTCCGGGCCTTTACCGGTTCCACGGTTCCGGTTCCAAACCGGTTCCGGACTTTTACCGGTTCCACGGTTCCACTTCCGGAACCGGAACCGCACCGGTTCCGGAACCGGAACCGGAACCCCCGCATCACTGGCGACAATAATGAAAATGTGCTTTAAAATTCAATATTTCAAGTAAAAAATACAAATTTAGCATTTAAATTGCAGTTTAAGATCACTTCTTAAAGATTTTATTCACTTTTATTCAACCAAAGAAATTTTTTTGAAAAAAATTTTTCCCGAAAAATTTTTCGAAAAAATTTTTTCAACAAATTTTTATCAAAAAATTTTTTGCTCAAATAATTCCAAAATTTTGAAAGTTTTGCTCGATTTTTACTGAAATTTATCAAAAAATGCCAAAATATGCACAAATTTTGGCAAAAATATGCAAAATTTCCTAGAATATGCATCGATATGCAAATATGCACTGAAGTACCGAAATATGCAAAAATATGCTATAGGAACCCGGTCCCTAATGTTCGTACCGACGTAAAAACACAATTTTTGAGCGTTTCAGCTCATGGCATATCCGCATACAAAATATGCCTTTGCATGTTTTGCCACTCCCTATTAATTACCTAGAATGTTGGTCATCTTCATTTTTTGTTGACTCGTCTAATGAATTATCATTTTTGGCAGTATCAGGATGATAAAAAGCCCCATTAGCAAAACATATTGCTCCGGCTCCTTTTAATTGTGAATTGTAGGCATGGACTAACCACCCAACGTGAATAATTCTTTGTTTGGCTAGAAGTATCTTTAAATTGTTAGAATGAAATATGTAATTAGTATGAATATTTGGATTTTCCCATAAATAAATTTCAGTTTCCTAAAATTATTCATACATTCGCTAAAGGTTTATTATCCTTCAGTTTCCCTGTGATAAGACAACGTATTTTAAATTATGTTAAAACTTCCGAACTCAAACCAAAACCCCAATCTCTTTCTTCAGACCGCTTTTAAACTACCAACGCTCCTTATATTTAATAACCAACTTCAAATAAACTTTTTAATTAAAAAACCCCTCCCTACTTGATCATTAAAAGACATTCTTTGGAATGGCTCTAATTGATGTACCCAATCACTAAAATATGTAAAATGTCGTTTCCACCCATCAATATAAAGAAAAGGTGTTAGAGGTTGATCAGCTCGATTAAACATTAGCTTCATCGAAAAATAAATAAATTTTCTGTCAAAATTTTAATTAAATTAATTACCAACCGGGTAACGTCCACATATTAATGTTGGATTTTTAAATGCTTCTTCAAAAGGAATATCTTTTTGTATTTGATTATTGGAGGAATGAACTTCGGAGTTTGTAGTTATTTTTGGTTTTAAAAGTGAACAACTTGTGTCTACCAAATCCCAAACCTTTTTTCAAAAAAAATAAAGGTAGACTTGGAATTTATAAAAGAGTGAATTATAAAGGGTGATTTATTAAAGGGTGATCCAAAAGTAACCGACTACCGATTATTTTCTACAGCTTTACTCAAAATTGAGATAAGGAGGTTAAATAAAGATTTTGTTAGAAATTCTACTAAATTCTACTAGTACATATTGACTCCTATGAATTTAATCCGCAAAACCCCACAATCCTAGCAATCCCTATTTAAAAACAAGGTTTTAAAGAGATATTATACAGAATGATCCAAGAGGGAGGGAGACTAATAAAGTGAAATTTGGTGACTTTTTACCAGAAAATCCCCTCCCCTTTTCATTACCTGTTTTTCAATTAATACAAGTTTAATAGTTATTTCCTCATCGTCTACTACATTATTTTTGTTAGGCAAAGGTGAAGGTAATTCCTCTGCAAAATTACTTTCCTCAAATTCTGTCTATTTAATCAAAAATAAATTTTTAAAAAATTAATTAGTTTGCCTGAGTTGTTTTTTCTTGTTTTGCCTTTTTTCTCAAATCATTTTCCTCAATATCCTTTTCATATTTTACTGCTTCAAAAATATTTTATTAAAATAAATTAGAAATTTTAGTTAAAATAAAATCTAGCCCATATATATATTTATTCCTGGGCAATAATTTTTTGTTCAACCCTTTAATTAAACCTCTCAATAAAAAAGAGGGAGAGTAATAATGAATTCTGTTAACGGAATATGAAATCTCTAATTTTCCCATTCTTCCAAGAATTCTTTTTTTGCAGTATATAATTATTTTAATAATTACCCTCCGGATTCATTCCTGCTTCAAAACATTTTTTTAATCTACAGGCGCGGCAAGCATTTCTTTGTTCTAAATTAAAATATTTAGTATCTCTGTAGCAGAATTTAATTTGCTAAGGAGAAACGCAACAAGGAGTTACACCCAACTAAACTTTGGAAGGAAACGGGAAAGGAATGGAACAGTGTTCTCCTGTACTAAAAAATTGAACGACTTCATGGTTTCGGAGTGATTCCAACTTTTTGACTGTTCACATGCCTCCACTTCCAAATATCTTTAATTCCTTATAAAATTAAAAAACACCTTTAACAATAGGACATGTTGATCCATAACGACATATATAGCTACGTCTATTACAAATTGAACGGCGAAAAAAGCCTTTTACGAAAAGATTTTTTCAAAATTTAATTAAAATATCACCTCACCTTTACAACCTAAAATTAAAACAAATAATTCAGCAATAATAAAAAATATATTTTCTACCATTACAAGCAGTTACCCCATAATGTTTTCCAAATGGGACATCACCACAAACCTCACAAGATTTTTCCATTAAATTATTTTAGGTATTTTGGATATATTTTTTTTCAAAAATTACAGAAATTAAATTCTTTTAATTTAAAAATTAATATTTAAGTCAATATATATTTTGTTGCTATGGGAATATAGAGGAATTTAAAAAAAGGTTTAAAATAACTACTAGGTTAATAAAAAGCTAATGAAAATTTAAATAGTCAATTTCAACTCTGTTCATTAGAATTATGTAGTTAAAGGGGGGGGGATAATTAAAACCAAAAAATTAAAAATTAGGAACGAGGAAATTTTTTAATAAAAAATAACCAATATTCTGGGGGGATGAGCTAAAGGAAAATATTTTTAATGACCGAGAAAAATTGTGAAATTATTTGAAACTAAAACTGAGCAGGTTATCTTTAGACTAAAATTAAAGAAAAAATGAATCTGGCAAAACAGAACTCGAATTTGGGAAAAGAGTCGATTTTTTGGAATTAATATAGAAACCTTGATTAAAATCTCAACAACACCTACTGTCTAAATTATATGCAAATAATTTACAAAAAAATCAAAATTTTAATTAAAGACAAATTCTAAACAAAAATAAAAACTAAAACAAAAAATCACCATTCTAAAAAACCTCTATCCAAAAAATTTCGTTTAAATCGAAAATATCTAATCCACATTCGATCAACAAAATTAGACAATTTCCATCCTTTTTGTTGAACTTTCAATAGAGATTCTTCGTCTTTGAAGTAATCAACAATGTAATTAACCTAGTAAAAAAGAAAATTATTTAATTTAAAAATAATTTTAATCAGTCAAAAAATAAATATACACTTAAACATAAAATATAGACACTTGAAAGAATAGCATTATTGCACAATTCGATCCGGGGGTGTTTTAATGAGATTACTCCATAAAGACTTAATCTGTTTCAATTTTACTAATTTATTTCATATTTTTCCCATTCAGTGACAATCAAATTTAGGAAAAGTAATATCGAAAATAATCCTTTTTATTTGATTGCAGGCAAAAATTAGAAATGCAATTTGGATGGGAGAAAGGAAAAAGTCTGACCATTTTGTAAAAAAAATTGAGGAGGAAAAAAGGGGGTCTGTCCGGTTCAATAATACCGGGAAAACTAACAAAAATTATTTCGATTAATTTTATCCCGAAAATATCCTTCTTAAGCTTTCTTAAAACTAAAATATTTTTTAAAATAATTTTCCCACAAACCTCTTGTCCACTTCTGTCAACCACGCAATTGTAACGTCTTAACGGTCGCTATAAATTAATTCAAAAAATTAATTTTAAAAAATATTTTTTACCCAAGCACCAACAAAAATTCGTAAATGAGAAATTGGAGGAGCTAATTCATTAAGTTTTTTAACAAAAGTATCCCCACATTCCCTTAAAAAATAAATAAAATTTAAAAAAATAATTAAAATAATTTACGGGTGTAATTGCTTTTCTAAAATAATAATTTCATTTTTAACACGATTGTCTAATTTATGAATGTCCATTTTCTGAAAAAAAGAGAAAAGTTTGAGTAGACAATAACGAGAATCTGAATATTAAAAAAATTCTAAAATTTTTTAATAAAAAATTAAAAGAAATGAAAATATTTATTAAGAAAATATGTATTTTAAAAAAATGTAAAAAGACATTTAAATTTATTTTGTGAATAAATTAGAGACTAAAATAAAAATATAATAACAGCATGGCAAACATAGAAAAAAATTTCTCAAATGGTCGCTAAGGGCAAAATTCATTAAAAGATCGTCACAACTCTAAAATACAAAATACCGACACGGATAAAATATATCAAAACGTCGAGTTGTGCGAATAATTGTTCATGACATGATTAATCTGATCACAATGTCATTGGGATTAACTTTCCTTTACTAGAACCTCTCTCTTCTTAACCTCTCTCTCTCTTCAATTACAAATTTATAAATTTTTTCTTCTTAACTTTTTATTCTAATTATTTTGGTTAAAGTTTTATTGAAAAAAAGAAAGTTTTACTTTGATAAATTTTTATTTTTATCATGGCAAAAATTAAACATTCTGATGTGAATGTATAAATAAAAATATTTTTAAAATAAGAATATATGTATAATACAAGTTGAGAAAGTTAATTTAAATGAGGAATAATTGCTACAATACAAAGATGACCCGAGATTTCATTTTAGTAGCCTGGCTGTGTTCGAGGAGGAGGGCAGTGATCACAAATGCCTCCTTTGCCAGAAGGTCCATCATTGCCTTTCGGGCCAGGAGCTCCAGGGTTTCCTGGTGGTCCTGGCGGTCCTAAAAATTGTTTTTCAAATTAATACTTGAATATAATTGAGAGAGCTTACCAGCATCTCCGGGGGGACCAGGTGGTCCAGGTTGAGGATTTGACTGTTTATTATAATATTTTGTTAAATTTAATGCAAGTATAATAAAACTTACAGCTTGTCCTGGCTGACCAGCAGAGCCTGGTGGTCCCACCGGTCCTGGAGGACCAGGAGGTCCGGGAAGATTGCCTAAAAATTGTGTATAAGTACATTAAAATGAATATAAGTTAACTTACTCTCTTGGATCTGTCCGGGTGGGCCTGGAGGACCAGCTTGTCCATTTCCTCCTGGAGGACCTGGGGGACCTTAAAACGACAATTTTAATTTTAACTAGATGTGGGTAGCTAACCTGGAGGTCCTGGTGGACCCGGTTGAGCTGCACCACCACTGTAATTATTTAAAATAAGTTTAAGCTTAGCTTCATTAGCCAATTTATTTTAACTTACTATCCACTATCAGGTGATGATCCATCTGTTCCTCGATTGCCTGATGGTCCTTTTGTGCCCGGAGGACCTGGTGGTCCGGGTGGTCCAGGCGGGCATGTCTGACAACTGCTTGTTTTCGGTGCTGGAGGTGCAACTCCATCTTCTCCGGGAGACCCATTTTCGCCAGCCGTTCCGTCTTGTCCTGGCGACCCATTACCTCCTGGTTGTCCAGGAGGGCCTGGTGGACCAGTTGTACAAGCACATTGCTGCCTTGTTACTGTTGCAGTTTGTGTTTGTCCTCGATAACTAACACCAGTATTTTTCTGTGCATATCCTCCGCCACCACCACCTCCACCACCACCAGCAGAATATCCTCCGCTGGCTGTAAAACCATAAATATATTTATAAATTTTCGGTCTAATCACATTTCTGTGCATATCCTCCACCACCACCACCTCCTCCTCCTCCTCCTCGAGAATAACCTCCACCTCCTCCACCACCATGACCTCCTCCACTAGAATATCCCCCACCACCACCACCACCGCTCCTTGCATAACCACTAGATGGTCCTGTCGAATAACCCTTACTTACTCCACTTGAATACTGCGGTGGAGCAGAATGATAACCGCCTTGACGTTTAATACGAGCAGGTGTTCCAGTTATATGTTGAACCTGAGTAAATTTTGATCTTTGAAGATAGCGGAGTATATAGATACTTTAACATATTCCTCCCATAAGCCTTCAGTGCGATGATGACAAAACGCAAGTTCTTCTTGCAATGAGGACTGAACATACTGCATATAATTATAAAGCATAGGCACTGCTATTACTAAACAAAAGAATTTGAATTTTACAAATATCTAATTTATATTTGACATACCGGCTGTTAAAACTGCTGCTGTTCCAATCATTACACTAATAAAAGCGCTTCGCCTTAACTGTTCTGCCTCCCTTAATAACGTCTGTTTTGGATCATCATCAATTTCATTATTTTCTCTTCCTATCCTTCTATCCGGAATATTCATTTTACAACCAGCTAAAAATTAGGGAAGGAAAATATAAAAAATAATTGTGCTAAAATGTCTAATACTATGAACTTAATTGCACAAGTATTTTGGGGAAAAAGCGCTTAATGGGTTGCGCGTAAACGTGGAGAGGTAATTGTTCTTAAAGGAAAAACATTCATTCCCGCACTTTACTTTTCAATAAAATTTTATTTGAAAACTTTCAGACTTAACTGCTGTCTAAAATTATGTTCAAAATTTTCTTTTTCCTCGTCTTTACATACTTGTTTTGTGTAAACCAAGAACTCAAAAACCATTAATTTTAAAGCCCGTCCCATATTTCATGGCTAGTTGCTCTTCCTTTTTTACGCAAATTTTTGTCGTTCGTTTACCATTGTTCTTTTTCGAACAGCGCTATTTTATTAGGTTACGAAAAAATGTTTAAAAAAAGTTGAAAGTCGCGCAATGAGTTATTAACCAGCCGTCCTTGTTTTATATTTTATTCTCTTCCTCCTCTTTCAATCATTTTTAAAAAATATTTGTTTTAACTTCCTTTTTCTTTTCTTAATAATTTACAAGTTCCACTATAATTTTTTAAATTTATTTGATTGAGCATAGAGGCCGAATTTTTTTTATTGGCAAAGGAATTTAAATGTTTAATTGTAAACAGTTAATTTTTATGGAGGTCATTAAACTAACTAGACGACAAATTAATTTTTTTCGCGCTTTTTGTTTCAAACACTAACAAAAGATAATATTTTAATGATCATGTTTACTGATGGAGAAAAGTATCAAAAAAAGTTGATAAAAAATTGATGGCCATGCCGCGGGGAAAATTGTTTTTTAAACAAATTTTTTTTGAAAAAATTCTTTTTAAAAACTAAATTTGATTGATTATTTAGATCAAGAATTAAATATATGTATGTCTGAAGAAAAGCTAAACGAAATCTTTAGAGTTTTTGTGAATTATTTTTAAGAAAATTTTCGTGACTACAGATTCCTTCAATAGATAGCCGGATGCAAATACTAAAAAGAAAAAACGTAACCGTCTTTTAAATGACCCTTTTGCTTTTTAATATTGAAGAAAAGTAAGTACATTTCCGTCTGGAGTTCGAATGATCAATCCTTTTTATGTTATGAAAACTGTTCCCGCCTGATATGGATATTATTTTACTGCTTAAACAAAAGAAATTCGTCATTCTTTGACTATTACTTGCCCAGTTTTTCTGGTTCATAATAAATTTTTTTTAGTTATTTCTGGGTTTTGTAAAATTCAAATAATAATTCAAAACAGTCTTATTTGCTCATTATTAATAGCTTTTGTTTTAATAGCTTTTTTTAGTTTTTAAAAAAATAATAGCTAAATTTATGCCCCTATTCAGGACACTATGAGTTAATTCAGTTAGATGTGAGTTAATTCAGCCATTTTTTATTTTTGAGCATTTTATCAAGTATAATTTTTATATTTACATAGGTATCTTGTTTTAATAGTCTCTAACTGCATATTACAATATTATAAGAAAACCAGATTTGACCCAACTATACAAAAACAATTTTATCCAGTTGTTATATAACGATAAAAAATAAAATTAGTAAAATTTTTCGCTTAATCGCTTTCTTTCAAGAAATATTTGCAAATGGGTCACTAAAAATGAGAGAGACTGGATGGATTTAAACGAACTGATCAGCAATCAAAGAATAAAATCCACACCATTATTAGAATAGGCGTTCGTCTTTCCTATATAATCCTTATATAAAATTTAAAATTAAACTGCACAATCTCATCGTTATTATTTTTAAAAATATAAATTAACATGACTGATAAATTAACATCCACTGTAATTTTAATATGCGGTGTGGCATTGTTATTTTGCATGTACGGAATAGTCTCGATCTACAACGAAATTCAGAGCATCTGGAATGAGTTGGATATTGAAATAAATGAATTGAACATTGAGGCATTTTATTTATAATTTTATATAAATTAAAAAATATGGAAGTGAAATCTAAAAAAATAAATCAAAATGTTCTGAGAAATTAATTTACAGACTAGCATCCTTTGGGAAAGCATGATTTCAATGGGTGCAGGTTCTACATCGAACCGTTTACGACGCCAATTGTATGGTGGTTATAATGCAGCAGGATTGCAACCCCCGATACAAGTAACGACTGGACCTCCTCTATTGCAGTTTCCAGCAGGAATTGCCGTACATTCAATTGGTCAGCCTCCGCACCTTAGCCTTGGAGGCAGTTCATCAACCTTCCATGGTTCTGCTGAGTGTGTATGCAAAGAGGTGAACAAATGTCCAGCGGGACCACAAGGGCCAGCTGGTGATGTTGGACAGCCTGGTAAACCTGGAATAAAGGTTGCTATTCACTACATGAATAAATTTATATAATTTCAATTTGTGTATTAAAATTTCAGGGTAAACCTGGAATTCCAGGGTTTGACGCGCCTGACTTCAAAAATGCTGGTTTAAAAGGATGCTTTGTAAGTTTAGTGATAAAAATAAAATTAAAAAACATTTATTGAGTTATAGTAGATAACTATTGTAGTATAGTAGATGTATAGTAGATGACTCAGTAAAAGATTAATACTATTAATAATTCTATTTAAAAGTACTGCCCTATCGGACCCCAAGGATCTCTTGGAAAGGCAGGCCGTCCAGGTATAAGAGGTATGCGGGGACCTAAAGGCAGCCCAGGAATTCCTGGACGCGACGGGATTCCTGGAATTTCTGGAGAAAGGTCAGTATTTGTTATAAATAATTATAATATAAATAAATTAAAGTGGTCAGCCTGGGACGCCAGGAGAAGACGGACATACTGGAATAACAGGAGAAAAAGGCGGCGATTATGAAAAACCTATAGGTCGTAAGGGACCTCGAGGCTAGTTAATGAATTTTTTAAAAGGTATTTTCAACGTCACAAATATTTAGGGTCGCCAGGAGAACAAGGGTCGCAAGGCACAGTCGGTGGTACGTTTTTTGTATATTCTATAATATCAATTATACATATAATGCCAAAAATTTTTGTATTTAGACCCAGGTGAAGATGCTCCACCTGGAAAACAAGGGCCCCCCGGACCACAAGGTTCTGCTGGAATACAAGGAGCACCAGGCGGAGAAGGCGAGGAGGGCAAAGATGGGCCTGTAGGTAGACATGGAGCTGATGCTGAATATTGGTACTTGAGCATTTTTGTTGATAATTTTATCTAAATATTCAGTCCATGTCCAAACCGGAATAGCTTAAGAAGAGGCAGAAAAAGCATCGACAGAGAAGGCACTGGAGTTATTTTTCGTAAACGTAAAATTCGCGGATGATAAAAAGATGTTAATTAAAATATAATTATTACTCATTATTCAGTAACTTTAGGAGAAAAATACTAACATTATAAATGACAACATTTTTTTAAATAAATTTTTAATAATTTTTTTTAATTTCGATAATCCTTTAAATCTACTATAACCATATGAATAGTCTGGGAATAATAAAATAAATTTTTTATGTTATGTATAATCTTATTTTTTATATTTATTGTTCTTCTTTAATTGCTTCCATAAACGGGCTTTTAGAAATATTACTCCAGGTTTTATGTTCCTTTTGAGTAAACTGATTCTTTAGTCAGATAAAGATATAAAGATATACGTGAATGGATTATTGCAATCCAGAAAATAAAATATTTTATTAATTCGACATACTAAAAATATTTTGGTGTTTTTAAAAGACACAAAAATATTAATTTAATTATCTAAATTAAATATTTTACTTAAAAATTTCCATTGAATTTATATTTAAATGAAAGATAATCTGATATGCTTTGCAATCACAATCAGCGTAACCACCATTATTATGTGTATTGCCGGAATCATTTGCCTGAATATTCAATTACAATCAATGTGGGATGAATTAGGCCTCGAAATAAAACAATTTAATATTAAAGTATTGGATATACAAATATCCCCATTATATTTTTTATTTTTCCAAATCCAGACAGATAATATATGGGAAGGGATGCTTTCAATGGGTGCTGGTACTCCATCAAACCGGCAAAGACGACAACTTTATGGAGGATACGGAGTACAGCAGCAACAACACCAGACACACAATTTATTTACGGCAAAAGTTGCCACTGGGCCGCTGAAGGTTACATTAGGCAGCTCCTGCAGTAAGTTTCATTAAACAGTTTCTTTTCAAAAATGTGTCTTGAATTAGATTGTATTTCCCAAAATGATTGTCCTGCTGGCCCTCCTGGATTTCCAGGCGTGGTAGGTCCTCCAGGGGAACGGGGAATTGGTGGTGTACCAGGAATTCCCGGACATGATGCAATGGATGTACATAGTTCAATCTCCAAAGGCTGCTTTGTAAGTCAGTTTTAATTAAGGTTTATAATTAATAAATTCAAAGAACTGCCCTGTTGGACCTCAAGGAACTCCTGGAAAAGAAGGCAATCCGGGCATAAGAGGACCAAGGGGACCTAATGGAATTCCAGGTTTTTAATTTTGAAGTTTTAATATTCATTTTATGTTCGATTATTTGTTAATTTAGGAATTTCTGGACGTGATGGCGTTCCAGGGTTGACAGGCGAGGTTGGACCAGCAGGCGCTCTTGGTTCAATATAATTTTAAGACATATTTGTAAATAATTAAATAGGCGAGATAGGGAAGCCTGGAAAGGCTGGAGACGTTGGTAAGGATGCGGAAAAATTAATAGGACGTAAAGGAGTGCGTGGAACTGCTGGACCTGAAGGACCTCCAGGCCAAATAGGCGAAAAAGGACTAGATGGAGTGCAAGGCAAACAAGGGGCGAAAGGTCCACCAGGAACTCCTGGATCACAAGTAATTTTAATTATTTCTTAAATTTAAGTATATTTATTTCGAAAGGGTCCGCCAGGCCCTGATGGTGAAGAAGGAGGCCGAGGCGTAGTAGGCAAGCATGGCCAAGACGCAGAGTATTGGTGAGTTTAAAAATATAAAGTATATCCGGAATATTATGGTATAATTTAACAAAAAATGAAATTATCAGTATTTTAACTTTATAAATAAATAGTCCTTGTCCTACTCGTGATGGTTCATTTGGAAAAAGAAGTATAAGAGGTTAAGCTTTGATTCAATTTGGCATGGAAGAAATTTAATGTTGATTTGGAATTTAAAGTCAAGATTTTTTTGAAATATGTAGTACACATCATTTATTTTCAAGTTTGCGAATAAAAGCTTTATTAAATTTTTTGCTTCCGCCTCTGCTTCCCAACTGCCGTTTTTTTATTTTGTACCGGTTTCTTCCTTTTAACTCAGTTTTCCGTCCGTATTTTTTTGTGTGGGCACAACAGATCGGGCCAATTATGAAAAGGTCTTCACTACACGATGGCTTGCTCCGCTGCGGTGGTGCTCGCGGCGTTTTTATCCGTTATTAACTTAGTGGGACGATTGGAAGGATTTTGCACCGTGGGACGAATTTAGAGGAAACGAATTGTGGGTTTCTGTTCAGTGGGACGAATTGTGGGTGGGACGAATAAATTAATTTATTTTCTATCGTTAATTTAAAATTTCTATCGTTAATTTATTTAATTATTTACTCACAATCAAAATTTTTATTTGTTTATTTAATTTGTTTTTTTACTTTTAATTTTTCTACTTACCTGTTTTTTAATTTGAAAAAAAATATTAGTTTTATTTTCTCGGATAAACATTTAATTTTCCTTTATTAATATTTAGAAGATATATTTAAATATACTTTTTTACATAATAAAATTAACCTAAAATTTTTTTTCAATTTTTCAAAATTTATAAATTAGTAATTTCAAATGAAAAATTCAAAAAGGAAAAAATTAGACGATTGTGATGAGAATTCTTTACAAAATGAATTTACTAAACTTCAGGAGGCTTATAAATTTGTTGAAAGGCGTGAAGTAACAGGTTTTTAGTTAGTTATGATATTTTTATTATTTTTTAAATTTTAGTTAAAAATGTAGATGATCTTAAGCAGTTGGGGGCAATTTATTCATCACAAATGTTAAATTGTTCTAAAAGATCAGATCCCTTCCCAGAATTTAATGAAAGCGAAGAAGAAAGTAGTCGAAGGTCAAAACGTCCAAGATTGTTAAAATTACCTTCAGATGGAAGTATTTTTAATGATGGAATACCCTTTCATCATTTTGCATTAACACAATTAAAAGATAGACATATTAATCGTTTAAAAGCAAATGGTATGTTTTGAATTTTATTTTTTTTTCAATTAAATTTTAAGGAATTGAGATTAAGGAAAGGCAATTTTCGAAGGCAGAGAATAAACAAATTTGTATGTTTTTTTATTTAATAAAAATATTTTATTCATACTTTTTTTAATTAAAAATTTTTTTTGTAAAAGACAGACTTTTCGTGAAATTTTTTAAGATTATTAAAATGGTAATATTGAAGCGGACAGACTTCCTTTTTTCCCTTGTCTGGCTAAAACGCGGAACAGACAAAACACGGACTTGCCAAAACCTTCCCAAATTTTTCTCCTATATTTTCCTCCTTTTACAAAAATTAGAAATGCTACTATATTTGGATGAAAGAAAGGAAAATGTCTGACCATTTTTCAGAAATATAGGGGAAAAATTGTGTAGGAAAAAAACGGGTCTGTCCGGTTCAATATTACCATTAAAATATATAAACATTTCATAAAAATTTTTTTGTATTGTCTTAATGCAGATTTTGTCCTGTCCTTTTACAAAAAACCTATATTAAAAATTCCTAATTTAAAACATCAATTTAATAAATCGTTTGTTTAAAATTATCTTCATTTTGAAATCTATCTAATAACAAGGGCGTATCCAGGGGGTCGGTTTCGGGGGGGGGGGGGGCTAACACTGGGTGGGCGCAAAAATTTTTGGCGTTTACCTTGGCGTTCCTACGCCAAATTTTTTTGTACATAACTTTTTATATTTTCAGCGCCGCAGGCGAAAATTTTTTTAATTTTAGATGGCCGTAGGCCAAAAAAATTCAGTTTTTTGCGCCGCAGGCGAAAATTTTTTTAAATTCGAAGGCCGTAGGCCAAAAAATTTCACTTTTTCAGCGCCGCAGGCGAAAATTTTTTGAATTTGGAGGGCCGTAGGCCAAAAAAGTTCACTTTTTAGCGCCGCAGGCGAAAATTTTGAGGATTTTGGAGCTCAAGCAGCCAGATTTCTTTCATTTTTTGCGCCGCAGGCGAAAATTTTTTTAAATTTGAGGGTTGTAGGCGAAAAAATTTCACTTTTTCGACCATCCTTCTCCTAATTTTTTCCCCCTTTCCCCCATTTCGGGGGGGGGCTCTAGCCCCCCCCCAGCCCCCCCCTGGATACGCCCTTGTCTAATAATATTCAATTTTTTATTTCAGCAGAAAATTGGCGTTCATTTGCTGCAGCTCATGAAATCCCTGAAGACGAAGCCCATATGTATAAAATTTTTTAATAATTATTTTCAGATTTATTCGATTTTTAGTTATATGAGTGCCGCTACAGCAACTGAAACTCCAGAAAAACATCGAGAAAGGATCAATTTTACAAATCAAACATTTCTCAGGCCGTGGCTGTGTATTTTAAATTTTATTTAATTAAATTTTAAATTTTAGGTTCAAAATTATTAAATCGGACAGCAATTCAAGTGTTTCGTCGGTGTTATCATATTTTTCGTGTTTCCAGCTGTGATGGGGAAGATTTGAGGTTTGAAAATTATTTAGTTTTAAATTATTGTAAATTTTGTTATTTTTATTTTTTGTTCACGATTGTACTATTTAAAAATATTTCTACATGAGGACTCCTCCAAAAAATTACAAATAGCCGTTTTTTATCTTCTACAACCATTTTTAAACGGTCTCGATTTTAGTCCTTTTTAGGGTTGCCAAAATTTCCCGACTCGGACCGAAGTATCGAGTCGGCCCGAAAATGACTCGACTGTCTGCCCGACTTGAGAACGGCAACCCTAGTTTTTTTATGACGACCTAAGTATTTATTCCTTACCAAAAATAGAAAAATTTTCACTTTTAAAGCTAAACAAGATCAGCATTAATACTTACCTAATAAGGTTTTTATTATGAAATTTGATTTTTTTGACGGGTATATTAACCTTTTTGTAAATAACAAAAATTATTGAAATTAACAGTTTCATCTCTGAATAGAATCAAATATAAAAATTATTTTTGACAAAATTTAATAAATTATTTAAAGAAAATGGACACCTGAAGACGATAGAAGATTATTAGAGCTTTACAAAGAAGTTGGAAATTGTTGGGAATATATTGGAAATGAATTAATGCATCCTCGATATGCTTGTTATCTTCGTTATTATAAATTAATTGGAAGAGAAAATTTTGATGGAAATTGTGGTTTTTGTTTATTTTTTAATATTTTAAATAATTTTTATTTTTTTTGAACAGAATCTTCATCAGAGTGGTCAAAGGTTGAAATTGCTCGTCTTTATAGTTTGGTTTTTTAAAAATTTTTTATTGTGAATTTTTAAAGTTTTTTAATTTTGAAATTAAAATAAATTCTTTAATTTGTTAAAAAAATTTAATTTCCTTTTAAACAGATTATTTGGCTGATCATTTAACTCGAAATCCAGTTTTGGTCGCAATTCTCCCAAAATATTCAAATCTTGATGAAAATGTTAATTGGGATGATAAAGAAATAAATTTGACTTCTAGATCGCCTTCTCAAATTAAAGAAAAATGGTAAATTTAATTTCAAATTTTTTCAGCTAAATTAATGTTTTCTTAGTTATTTTAAAGTTATTTTTATATCTCTACAATTTTTAAGAACAAGTTAAACATTCATTTTCTTAGAGAAATTTACCACCTATTAGCCTCCTCTACCTCTCTTCAATTAATAAATTTTCTTAATTTTTTTATTTAAAAAGGGAAAAACTTAAAAACGAATTTCGAGCAGTAAAAGAACGTACTCAAGCTGAAACTATAAGAGAAATATTAAGAGAAGTAATACTTGAGGATACATGTCTTCTTTCAAAAGCAAAAATTTATAAAACGAAAGGGAAAGGGAATAAAGATTTTGAATCTCCACAACAATTGTCTGAATTTATTTTAATTTTAAAAGATTTTTTGGAAAAACAACAAATTGATAAAATTCGAAATATTGATGGAGAACAAATTAAAGAAAAGTAAATTTATTTAAAAAATAATAGATTATTTTTCCATAATTTTTATAGATTTGATGAAGAGGATAAACCCTTTAGAGTTCCAATCAAAAGATTTCTGCGGTGTGCTAGATATTTACAATTTATTGGACGTAGACTTGGTCTATTTAAAATGTTGCCTCTTGAACAGGACCTGATTTGTGGTATGAAAATATATAAATTTAACTAAATTTAATCTTGATGAATAAAAACAAAAAAACACTAAAAATGCTTATTTATTTGTGATCGAAGATAAGACTGATCATTAACTATTTCCTTATTTTCCTGTACCCAAACTAAGTGGGTTAGATCAGGATTCAGAACCAAACGAATTTTTCCAAAACTTACTAACCTTGGCAAAAATTTTCCTGAGAATCATAAGTTGGTCGGAACAGTTAGAGGTGTCGGAAATCGGAACTGGCTCAAAAAGTCGAAATCAGTAAGCAAAATTTTTTTCGGAAATCGAAATTCCGACCTACCTCTGCTGGGATACAAATATCTTATTTTTATTTTACTAATTTTTAATTTTTAGTACGCCTTGAACTAATTGCATTTATTCTAAAAAAGATTGATAAATTTATCGTTAAGAAGAAAGTTTTACGTAAATATACAAAAAGATTTTTAAGAAAAAAAGGCTGGGAAATAAGAGAACAATTAGTATTTGTTGATAGAAATTTGGAGAATTATGAGGATTATGAAGAACCGATTGGAAAATTATTAAATATTTTGTCATTAAATAAAATTAGAAGTGTAGAAAATAAACGTTCTAAAAATTTCAAAAATTAATTTTTTTAAATTTATTATTGAAATTCTTAATTTTTTGTTAATTTATTTTGGGTAAATGTCCGGTTGGTGTCCTACATGTCCGCAAAGAGAATGTGCATTTTTCCTTCCTTCCCTTGCATTTTTTCCTGCAAGGAGTGGCGCCCATTCTTCCCTTATGTATGGTATGCCTTTTGGAACGTGGAAGAAAAGAGGCTGATTTTTTCAGTCTTCAAAAGCCTTGTAGATATTCAATAATTAACATTTGGGATTTTTTCTTTGATTCAATATCGAGTTCTCTATCGACGAAAATTGGAATCCACAAATTTTCTCCTGAGGAATTATTTGTGGGGGAATTATTAGTAAAATAAAATATTTATTTGTACTTTATTAGTAATAAATTTTAATTATTTTTCCTCTTTTCTTCCACGTTCCAAAAGGCATACCATACATAAGTGAAAAATGGGCGCCACTCCTTGCAGGAAAAAATGCAAGAGAAGGAAGGAAAAATGCGCATTCTCTTTGCGGACATGTAGGACACCAACCGGACATTTACCTTATTTTGTTATTTTTTATAAAAGATTTTATTCTTAATTTGTGTTGAAAAACAAAACTGCCTTGATTTTTTAGTTAAGGCTTTAAAAATTTTTTTGAAATTTTGGCAATATTAAGTATATTAGGTGTTAGTTTTTTCTTTGATTTTATCTTGTTTTTTCTCAAAAATTTGAAAATTAAGGTTTTGTTTATCCATATTCGAATCTGGACTAAGATTTTAATTACATTCTTGCTTTCTAATAATATAAAATATCACTAGTTAATTAAAGATTTTCTATAGCTAATGTTTTTTACTCTTCGAAAATTTTCAAGAAACCGTCATTTTAAAAACTGAAAATGAGAGTACATATTAATTGACGTTGAGTAAGGGGAAGGAAGACTAATTATTCTTCCGTAATCCTGAAGGAGAATTTACAAAAAATATAAACTATCTGCATAAATTCTCTTATATTTTTACTTTTTCAAAGAAGGAAACCCGAGATTGAAAGTGCTTACGGAAAGTATTACGAAGACATTTTAAGTTTTTTTGTATATAGTTTTTTTATAAAATAACCTCATCGTTCCTTAGTAAATCTTTTTCAAGCAAATACATGAGTAAAATATTCTTTTTGATTTTTTAAACTAAAAATCATTAATAATTAATTCTTATGTTATTTTAAAGTTTTGATAGTTAGAAGATTTTTAACGTTTTGAACAGCACTAATTTATATTATTATGTTATTATCAGAAACTCCAAGATTTAGATTTAAGGAAATGTTAGGCATACAGGTAACTTAACACAATTAAATACCTATATAGTCGTGCTTCATTCTTCTATACTTCCCAAATTATCTCAAAATGAAGAGTAATTTATTCCAGTGGTATCTAAAAATATGAATCATACGTAGGACACCAAATTTTTAATCTCGTTAGTCACTTAGGGAGGGAGGGATTCATAAACATATCCCTTATTTACAACATATCATAGGTCTAATTTTTCAGCCCCACTCTAAAAGTACTTTTAGATTAGAATTTAAAATATTTTAGAGCACAATCTTGGCTGCAGTAATTTTGTTTATTTTATTTCTTTCGTCTTCATTCCTTCCAGGAAGGGCGTGTGTGTCTACAGTTCCTGGTGGACAACCAATAAGTATTTAAATTTAAATTCAAAATTATTTAAAATATAAGCTTGTTGTCCACTTCTTTCCCAAACAATTTCAAATAGTACCCAATTTGCTGATGGAATTTTGACTTTTACTTATGATAATATTAATTGTCCAACTAATGTTGTGATGAATTGCTCGTTTGTTTATTTTAATTAAAATAATTTTTATATAATTTATTTAAGAGAACCAGACCCAACATTACAATTAAATGCAGCAATTGTTGCAAATTCAGTTAATTTCTTAACTGTTGGTTCTTTAAGTACAACATTCCCTGGTACATGTAATGCACAGGGACAATGGGTTGTTGGAACTCCCCCTCTTATTGTTACCGATTTAGAATGTCTTCTTACAAATCCTACTTAAATTGTTTCAATATATATTTTAATTAATTTTTGAGGGGAATTTATAAAAAGATTTTATTTGGAAGAGAAATTTGGAGTTTTTGGGTTTTAAATTAAATGAGGCTAAAGCTAAAATAAAGCCCCAATCTAGATCACAACTCTTTAGAGGGTATTCAAAAAGAAAGCTTATATTGCTTTATTTCAGTAAACATTAATTAGAAAAGTCGAGAAAGAGTTTTTAAAATAATTTATTTTTTACAAATAATTTAAAGATTTAAATACTCCTTTAACTACTACATATGTAAATATTAATTCCTTCGAATTCCTTCTAAATTAATTACGTCTAACAAGAGAATTAAATAATTCAATATCTGACGGAGTTTCATTACGGCTAAATAAAAATTCACAACGAATTGTAAATGTAATTTGTGAATGGCGGCATCTAAAATTAAATTTATTAAAATAATTGCAAAAAAGGAAAGGAAATAAATAATATATTTTTAACACTTTCACTCTTTTCCTTTCTAATTAATTAGGCAGTCCTTTGTTCCTTAAATCTCCTATTTTAAAGTTAAATTTATCTCCCTCCATTTCTAAATAAGAAATTTCTTCAGGTCTTTATTCAATTATGGGCAACGTAATTTCTATTAATATTTCCTCATCAGACCTTATTTTCAACTCACTGAACCTTAAGGCCCAAATTGGGCGTACTACTCATCTTTTCTAATCCTTCTTTTAATAATAGGCTTAATAATTTATATAGTATTTAAATAATTAAACACAAACTTGTCTTGACGCCATAAAAACCAATTATTGCCGCGACGTTCCAATTTGTGAGTGTAAAATACAAAACAGAAACGATGTACTTGAGGATCTCTTTTTATTAGATAAACAGTATCCGCATTAGGACATAAAACGTCGCAATAAGTTCTTGTTGTCCCATTAACTATTTCCTTTAAATTTTTTTGGAAAAATAAAATAGTATTTATTTTTATTTTACATCAAAACATCCAGCGCCTTTTGGAGCTAAACGACGGTTTGTGTCTCTTTCCTTTTCTCTTAATCCAATAGTGCATTCTGCTGGTTTTTCTGATATTTTGTCACCAGGAAGTTCTTAAATAATTAAAAATAATTTAATTTTAAATTTGTTTGTCTCGTAATGTGATTAAACTGACATTTTTAGTCCCTCATTGTTAACAAGTGAGATAAATTTTGGAAAAAAACACAATTTATTCTTCACAAAAAAATGAAGAAAAAAGATTGTCCAGCAAAATAAAGACTTTCATCACGGAAAGTAAAAAGAAATTAAGATTACACACTTAACCAATACATATTTATAGTGAACTTCCAAAACAGATAAGGAAGACAATCTACAAATATATAAAAACCTTTACCTTTATCTCCTGTTTTGCAAACGAGATCACGCCATTCCCAATGTACTATTGGTATATCTCCTAATGTCTGATCCGCAAAGATTACCAAAAGAATTGGTAAATAAAATATTAGAATGTTCATTTTTATAAAAATAAATTTTAAATTAAATTTAAAAATTATTTACTTAAACTTAGGAAGTTTTCGAAAAAATAGGGATTTTTTTAAATTGTAAATTTAATTTTAAACTAAAAAATTTTAAATTTTTATATTTGTTTATTCTGTTTAAGATAATGTCTTTATCTTAGAACCTTCGAAGATATTAAAGGAATGAGAGAATAAATTTGGCCAAGAAACATACTTTTTATTTTGGATAATATAAAAATTTATAAAATAAAATAATTTGTTAATTAAACACGAAATAAATGTTAGCATTTATAGCAAAGAAAAAAATATTTTTTGTGATAATTAAAAACAAGAAATGTTAGAAAATCTTGTTTCAGTATATTATTCAATAATAAATATTTTGGATTAAAAAAGTTTTTTTGTGAATAGTCGGGGGTTTTTGTAAAGATTTTATATAAAAAATAGGTTTAATTTAGTCTAGTTACCTAATTAATTAATTATTTATTTAAAATATAAAGAAAAATATTTTCTTGGTGGACATAATAATAACGAGATTTTATTTATATCAACTAAATATGATAATATAATAATTTAGCAATCAACAGATGTATGTACATATTTATTTAGAAATAAAGAATAAATAGAAATCAAAATTTAGTCTAATTTTTAAATTTTTGGCAAAAATTTTTGTTTTATTTTTAATTTAAATTAAATAAAAGTCTTTTAAAATCTTATACTCTTTATAAAACATACATATGCAAAAGCTATTAAATAAAAATCAGTGTAAATATCACAGAAAAACTTCTTGTAGAAAAATTATTATTGTGTAAAGTATACATACATAATTCTGGAATTTAAATAATATTTTTGTAACTGACTTTATAAATTATTCAGGACACTAAAACTTTTCGATAAAAATTAAAAATATTGCTTGAAAGTTTTTTATTTTTAAAATTTTTCTATTACCCCCACTTACTAGAGTGAAAATAGGAATGCTAAATATTAAAATAGAAACAGATTTATGCAAAAAATTGATCAAATAAGTACAAGAATGTTGTTGGAATATAAACAATTTTCTCATCCAAAATATTTTGTAAATTAAGTAAATAATTCTGTAAATAATTTTATTTTGGTGAACAAACTTGATGAACAAATTTAACTTTGAACATGATTTTGAAACAACTTTGCATGAGCCCAGAGAACAAATTGGAGTTTGGTAAAATTATAAAAAAGATTTTTGATTTAAAGAAATTCGGTATGATACAAATAATCATTTGGTACTTTAACTAAAATGTTAAAAACTCAGGGTGACCAATATTGAAATAAAAAAAGTTATCATGAGTCGAATACTTTTGAATTTAAATTTTCTAAATTTAAAATTCTTGTCAACCTGTAATTAAAACTCTATCAATAATTTTTTAAATTTAATTAAAATTATTATTAAAAAATCTTTTATTATATTTAATAATTTTCCAATAATAATTTTAATGAAAATAAATTATATTATTTTGATCAACATTTTCCCTAACGAGTCAATTAATTTTTTATTGACTTCATAAAAAATCAAAAAATTTGGTTTTTATTTCCAGGCCTTAAAAAGACAAGTAATCTTTGCATTCCTTCCATATACTACTAATATTATTTACAAAATCTTGTATATTTAATTCTTTATTCGTTTTTTTTTTTTAAATTCTTTAAATTAAATATTTATTAATAAGTGCCAATTAAGATATTTTTGTGTATATTTGTAAGTGTCTCTTCTTTTTTATTCACTTAATTTCTTTAGTGTCCGTCCGTCACACCTTGAAAACAAAAAAAGATTAAGCCGGTTTTATTGTGAGAAAATGAGGATGATTTTTAAAAAGATTTTTTATAACTAACATTGGAGGGAAAAATCATTTTTCTATTATTTGTGCAATATTATTTTAATAATTAATATACTATTTTCTAAATTTAGTTAATATTTTTCGATTTGAAAGTATAACAAATAAATAAAAATAATTTGCTAATATATTTTTATTTAAATGAAAATTATTGAAAATCGCTTAATTCGTAATAAAAATAATTTAATTTAAAAATTGTTTTTTATACCGTTCTAACAAGCCCAACAAAGGTCCAAAGGTTTCAGTTTGATTTAGTAACTTTAGAGTTCAGATTTTATAACTTCATTAATTATTTAAAAAAAACATTAAAATTTAAATGAAATTCCAACAATTAATATCTGCAAATAATGCCGGAATTTTGGCAATAATTAGCTCTATATGTTCTATAGCAACACTTTGCCTCTATATGCCAATATTAATTTCAAAGATTGTCCAAATTAATGAACAATTAAGAATTGATTCTGAAGAATTTCGTGTTTTGGCTGATTCTGGATGGAATAAATTACAACATGTAAAAGCAGCTTTACCTTCTGCACATTTACTGTTTAGAGAACGTAGACAAGCTTATGAACAAGGGGGAGGAGGAGAATTACCTAAAGCATATCCTTTACATAATACTTATGCCAAACAAGATGCTTATGTTCAGGGACCAACTTGTGGTACTTTTACTTGAACAAAACTTTTGGAAAATTCTAAATAAAGTTTGTAATGCACTCAATTTATGTCCGCCAGGACCTCCTGGTCCAGCTGGAAAACCAGGCGAAGATGGATTTCCAGGAGCTAGAGGCCAACCTGGAGCACCTGGATTACCTGGAGTAGCTCCTCCAGTAACTATTGATACTGTTAGTTTTTAGGTTATTATATACAACTGATACTTGATTACTTTAAGAGCGCTGGATGTAGAGTCTGTCCTCATGGACCAACTGGACCTCCTGGTAAGTTTGAATTATGATCAATTTAATGAATATTTTGTTCTTCGAGGATTACCTGGCGAGACTGGGGTACCAGGAACTGACGGACTACCTGGACCGCCTGGCCGAAAGGGTGAAGATGGAAGGGCTGGTTATCCTGGAAATCCAGGAATTCCTGGTGAGTACTTAGCTAAATAGCTTATTTTGATGATTACTACTTATTTGGTAAAACTAAGGTGAGGCAGGCAAACCTGGAAAATTGGGCGATGTTGGGCCGCCAGGTCGTGATGGAATCAGAGGGCAAAAGGGGCCTCCAGGACCTAAAGGTGAACTTGGCCCAAGTGGTCCGAAAGGACCTGATGGCTACCCAGGAACAGATGGACAACGTGGAAATGATGGTACTCGCAAGAGGATTCGTTTTGGATATTTATTTACCTTTAAGGTCCACCTGGAGAAAGTGGTTCTCCTGGATCAATTGGTGCCCCAGGAGCAGATGGACAACCTGGACAACAAGGAGCAACAGGAGAACCAGGAGAGGATGCTCAGGTAGTTAAATAACTAAATATTTTATAATAATCTAAGTATTGTCCATGCCCTCCTCGCACTCATGGACCTTCAGCTACTCGTCCATCTGCTGGAGTGCAAAAAGCTTATGAGGTGAGCCAACCAAAGCTTGCTCCGCCTCAATACGAAGCACCTCCACAACCATCAAAACAATCAACACCTTCCCCCTCATATGAAAATGCTCCTCCACCTGCCCCAACATATGAAAAAGCACCTCCACTTTCGCCTCTTTATGAAGGGCAAAAACCTCCAGGAAATGAAAATTCAGGTGCACAAATGCAACCCTTCAAAGCTGGACCGCCAAATGTAGATTTTGGAGCAGGTAGAATTTTATCATAAATTTATTTTATAAAAATAAACAGATTTGGCAATTCATCGACCAGCCACACCTCCTGGACGAGCACCCCCTTCAGAAGAGAGGAAAATCCCCTCAAATCCTTATAGACGTTTGGTTACTTGAGAATTTACTAAAAATATTCAGAATTGAAGCTTGATTTAGTTAATTGTACAGTAAATTCTTATGTCAAACTTTAAAAAAATTATGTACAAATTTTTCAAATTTTACCTACTATGTAATTTAAATAAATTTTTATTTAAAATTTAAATAAAAATATAGTTAACGATCGGCTTATATTTAATTGTTCAGTAAAACAAAGAAAATAAAATTTTACAATAGTTGCCTACGCCAAAACTGTTGCGTCAAAGTGGACCTGTCTGTTCTTTCATAAATTTTTTTATCAAAAATTTGTATAAATTTTAAGGGATAAATTCTCTTCCAACAACGATTTGAATTAATTTTAGATTAAATTTCAATGTTAAAGTTAATTGCTTCAAATAATTTTCTTAAATGTTATTGTCAACAAACAAAAATCTTCCGATTTACTTCTTTATTTTTCAAATTTTGTCGTTATAATGGCAATCCCGGAGAATTGGGGTCCCTGCGGAAAAAAATCTTAAAAATAAGAAAAAGGATTTTTCTCGGGTAAAAAAATATGCTGATTACGAATCCGAGCTCAGTTTTTGAAAAAGTCGAATCCCGAACCCGAACCAAATTTCGAACCTGAACCCAAATTTCGAATATGCAAATGATAGCTCATTCGAAAGAGCTCGTCGAGCTGCATCGAATGACACCAAAACCAACGCGATCTGACCTGTTTCGACAAAGTTATGACATAAAGTAAACCTCTGGGAGTACTGTAAGCGTCGGCGACTTATGTTATAACTTTGTCTAAACTTGATCAATCACTGTAATTTTGGTGTCATTCGACTCAGCACGACGAGCTCTTTCGAATGAGCTATCATTTGTAAAACTTTTTTTTGCTCCAAAAAATCACCCCTGTGGTTTTTCAATATTTAGGGGTCTGTATCTCGGTTCAATCCGGTTGGATTTCATTGATTTTGGTGTCATTCGACTCAGCTCGATGAGTTCTAGATTCTTTTGGAAGACTGGCCATTTGTACAATGTCCGACAATGTTCGGGGTCAAAAATCCTGTTCGGGGGCAAAAGTCCGAATTCGGGTTCGGGATTCGACTTTTTCAAAATCCGAGCTCGGATTCGTAATCAGTGTATTTTTTTACCCTAGAAAAATTCTTTTTCTTATTTTTAAGATTTTTTTCCGCAGGGACCCCAATTCTCCGGGATTGCCGTTATAATGAAAGGCTTGTTTTGCCTCTTTACAAGGTTTTTAACAAAGATTTTTTTTAAAAATAATAAATATTTTTTTGGCTAATTTTAAGCAAAAAAATTTTCAAAATAAATTCTTTATTTAAAAAAATATGAAATTTTTTTCAGAAATATTCTCCTAATAATTTAACTTCAAATCTATCAATTATTACAAATAAATTGTGTGAAAAATGTTTTTTGGAGAAATATTTCCTTTATGGTATCATTTAGATTTAATTTTTAAAATTACTTTTAAATAGCTCGAAGAGTTCCTCATCCAAAATCTTCTAGGCCTGTTAGAAGTTATGAACCTTCGAATAGGTCTGAAAATCAAATAAATGAAAATCAAGACAAAGGTTTGTTAAAAAGGGATTTTTTGGTTAAAATAAAAATTGGTTTTTTTGAAGATAAAGAAAATGGGAAAGAAAACGATTTTGAAAAGGCTAAGGCTGAAATTGATAAAAATAGGAAAGATGCGGAAAAAGAATTTAAACAAAGAATGGAAAAGTTGGTTGGAAAAGAAATGGCAAATAAAATGTTTAATGAAGTTGATAAGGTTTTTTGTTTAAATTTTTTAAAGAAAATTAATTAAACTTAATTTATTTCTGATTACGAATAGATTTCCGTACTTTCGAAATATCAAAAAAAGACAATCCGGAGTTTAATTTTTCCATCTTCTGGGAATTCATCAACTTTTTTCTTCAACGGTTTATCCGTTATAAAAATTATTTTTATTACAATAAATTAGAGATCGATTTGGGAATGTCCGTTACGAGAATCGAGATCTCGAAAAATTTTCGATCTCGTTAACCGAGATTTTTATGAGTCTGGTTCGGTCACTTCAATATTAGAAACCTTTTTAGACAAAATTTTTTTAGCCCAGCCACTTTCCCCATTTTTGTTTAGGAGATGGGCGCGCTCTTGTTTCGGATTAAGTTTTCTCCATTAATACTTTTTTCAAATAAAAATTTTATAAATTTATTTTTTAGCTGTTTGATCAATTTAAATTTGTGCCATTTATTCAATTTTCTGCTCTTATCCTTTTGATTATTTATGTTTTAAAGTAATTAATTTTTTCTAATTTTGGTTAATTTATATATTTAAGCAAAATTAAAAACTTTTTGAATCACACAACTAATTCATATTTAATGGATATGGATCAATTTATGAGAAGATTAAGTTCTGGACAAGTATGTTTTTTAGAAATATTTTAATATAAATTTGGATAGATGACAAGGGCGTATCCAGGGACTAGAGCCCCCCCCCCCCCCGAAATGGGGGAAAACGGGAAAATTAGGAAAAAAAGTTTCGCCCACACCTCCTAAATTTAAAAAATTTTTGCCTGTGGCGCTTTAAAAATTAAAAATATAGTTAAAAAAATTTGCGCCCGGAACGCCGAGGTAAACACCCAATGTTAGCTCCCCGAAACCGGACCCCTGGATACGCCTTTAATAAAATCTGTTCCCTTATTTATTTAAAAATTTAAAGGTGTCTAACATTCTTCTAGTGCCAAAGTATTATTCAAAATCAAATAAACAATCAAAACCTGAAATTGGAAGAGCATTTGTTTATCCAGTTTCTTTCTCTGAAACTCATGTTTGTTTATTTTTAGAAAAATTATTTTTTTAAAGAATACCAGTATTTTATTAATATCTCGCTACCACCCCTATTTGAGTATCAGATTAATTTCCCATTTTATTTTTCCTGCCTCGGAATGGTAAATTTTTTAATTATAAATGTTAATTCTTGCCGTTGCCGTCTATTTTTTCATTCCCCACACTTGCCTTTTACCTGTGTGTGAAGAAAAAAGTGAATGACACTAACACCTAAAAAAGGAAAATTAATCTGAGACCCAAATAGAGATGGTTAGCGGGATATTTATTTTAAGATCCAGAATACCCAAGTTGGCGTTCTTCATGTTCCCGATCTACGCAAATTTACCGAACAGTTGAGAAATAAAGAAATTGAGTTAAATATACCTCCAGAACGTTGGGTGGATATTTCTTTTTATAAGCCTAGTGCTTTTTCTTATTTGTAAGTGTTTTTTTTAATTTTTAAATAGTTTTTTTTGAATGTTTATTTTTAAGGAATGAGTCGATTAAGGGCTATTTTATATTATTTAAGTTTAATATGCTAGTTTAAAGATCGGTGAGAAAAAGAGCGTATCCAAGAATTATTTTAGAAGGAGGGGTTGGATTTTTACCTTGGTGTTCCGCGGATATTTCTTTTTATTTCATCTTTCAATTATTTTATATTGGGGAATTTCTTTTAATTTTCAAGACTTCTTCTAATTTTTAGAATACCTATCATTTTGTTTGGTATTATGATCAGTGTGCCACTTTTCCTTACATTTCGCTTATCAAGAAAGATTGACATAAAAGAGATGGTAAGGATATAAAATAAATGGGATTGGAAATATAAAATGGGAAAAATATTTTGCTTTTCCTATTACTAAAATTTTTTCATCTCTCCTTTAAAATTCCTTTGTTTGGACCAAAATATTATTTTTTCCTATTATTTTTCTCTTTTCGAATTGTTTATCTAATGCAAGACTAAAAAATTTAACCAGTTCTCAATTGGTCAACGTATCCGTATTGTCGACCCGGCATCTAAAGAAGGGAAGAAAAACCTCAAAATTAAATTCCGAGATGTTGCTGGCTTACATGAGGCAAAGCGTGAAGTTATGGAAATTGTTGATTATCTTCGTAAACCACAAAAATATGTTCAACTTGGGGCTAGATTGCCTAAAGGTTTTTTAACATTTTTTAAAAATAATTTTATTTTTAGGCGCTTTACTCACTGGACCGCCTGGATGTGGAAAAACTTTACTTGCAAAAGCATTAGCTGCAGAATCTAGTGTTCCTTTTATTAAGTATTTCATTTGAAATGTTTTTTTATCAAAAATTATTTTTAGTGTAAATGGAACAGAATTTGTAGAAATGATTGGGGGATTAGGCGCTTCTCGAGTCAGACAACTTTTTAAGAAGGCAAAATCAAGTGCACCATGTATAATGTGAGATATTTTATAATCTGGGTTTTTCAATATTTATTTTAAATTATTTTTTATTTTAAGTTATATTGATGAAATTGATGCACTCGGAAGGAAGCGTCAGAACCAGTTTGTTTTCTTACATTTTCTTATCTTTAATATTTTTTTAGAAGTTCTGGTAATGACGAAATGGAACAAACATTAAATCAATTACTTGTGGAAATGGATGGAATGGATTCAAATAAAGGTGTTGTAGTTGTTGGAAGTACAAATAGAGTGGATATGTTGGATAAGGTATAATCTTTCCTAGGAAATAGACTAGAATTAAGACTTTGGGGAAGACTCACTCTTCAGTTTTTTATGGATCGAGGCCAAAACCATTTAATCGACTCCCTTCTTGAAGGATTTTACTTATTTTGTAAATTTATTGCTTCAAAAATTCAGGCACTTCTTCGCCCAGGCAGATTTGACAGACACATAACCATTGATTTACCGACATTACTTGAAAGAAAGGAATTATTCGATTTATATTTACAAAAAATTAAAAAAGAAAATTTATTAACTGGTGTAAGCCAACGTTTAGCACAAATGACACCTGGCTTTAGTGGTAAATATTTTAATAATTTTTAAATTTTAAATAAATTTTTGTAGGTGCTGACATTAAAAATGTTGTAAATGAAGCAGCAATTCATGCAGCGACGGCACAAAAGAAAATGGTAAAAATTGCTGACATTGATTTTGCTTTACAGAAAATTGTTGCAGGTTTTTGAAAATTTATTCGACATTTTTTAATATTTTAATAAAAAATTTTATAGGACCAGAAAAAAGAAGTCGAGTTTTAATTAAAGAAGAACGCGAAATTGTTGCATTTCACGAATCAGGACATGCTTTGGTTGGTTGGCTTTTGGAACACACTGAAGCACTTTTGAGAGTAAACACAATATTTTTGTTAGTTTTAAATAAATTTTTAAGGTAACAATAATTCCGAGAACGAGTGCAGCTCTGGGTTTTGCTCAATATTCTCCAAAGGATCGAAAATTGTTTACTAAAGAAGAGGTTTTTTAAATGTTTTATTAATTCAGCTCATTTTTTTCCATTTAAATTAATTTAAAAATGAAAAACTGGAATTTTTGGGGAGGGGAAAGCTATAATTTAATTATTAAATTTTATTTAATTTTAAAGTTATTCGATCGAATGTGTATGATGCTTGGTGGTAGGGTAGCAGAAAATGTTATTTTTGGTAAAATAACAACTGGAGCACAAAATGATTTGGAAAAAGTTACTAGACAGGTAAAGAAAATATTTTTATTTTTGAAATTTTAATTTATTTTTAAGGCTCAAGCAATGATTAAATGGTATGGAATGAGTGAATTAATTGGCCCGATAAGTTTCTTTCCTGGTGCAGATGCTGACCTTCGAAGTGCTGATTTTACTGAAAAGCCTTATAGTAAAAAATTGGGAAATTTGATTGATCAGGTTGTTAAAAATTGAAATTTAATTGAATTAAATTAAAACTCCTTTAAAAATTTTTCGAATAATTATAGCGCTTAGGCTCTATTTCTCACAAGACAATATATTGTTCTTTCATTAATAAAACTCCAAAATTGATCAAAATCAAAATTGATCCCCTATTTTATAAAAATAAAAAATTTCTTTTTAGGAGATTGGTAAATTAGTTGCAGATGCTTATTACTCAACAGAAAATCTTTTAAGAGAAAACAAAGACAAATTAGAAGCGGTATGCAAATTTTAATTTTTTTTTAATTGTATTAAATATTTTTTCAGATAGCAAAGGCTCTTTTAGAACGTGAAACTTTGAATTATGAAGATGGTAATTTTATATTTAATTTTTTTGTAATTTTTTAATTTAAGTAAAAAGGTTAATAGGACCGCCAAAATTTGGAAATAAACAAGTTGTCGATTTGCCTGAAGATGTGCTTCCAGATTTACCAAATAATATAGAATCTGGGACAGAAAAAAATAAATATTAGTAATTTAAATTGTTTTTGATTTTGTTTATTTTTTGAAAAAAATTAGGATTAAAAAATTAGAATTTAAATGTTTTTAATTTTGATTGATTATTAAAAATATGCAAACTTAACAAACTTAAAATTAATTTACTTGAAATTACCAATTATAGAAAAAAAAACATTTTTCAAATTTTCCTAACGTCCTTTACACAAATCAAAAATTCAAATTAATTAAAGAAAGATTTTCATTTTTCTTTCCCTTTTTAAGTATTTGGTGGGTGCACGTGAAATTAATATTGTTTCTTTTAAATTAAAGTCGATTGATGGTCTGATATTTGCAAGAAAATGAGAAGGGGGAATTTTCTAACATTTAAATTTAAAAAAACTTTCATTTTTATGTAAGAGTTTTAAATATTTATTTTTACTACAAGGAAACAATTTTGGTGATTTTAAACATTGTAATAATTAATTTTAGTTACTACGAGTCTTTGAAGGATTTTTGCTCCTTTCTGTCAATCATTTGAATAATTTATTGATCTTTTATGAGTTTAGATCGTTCGATTTTATTATCACCCTAATTTAGAAAAATATTTTCTAATTAAAAAAGGCAACATTTATATAATTACATTTATTTATTACTGATCTAAAATTACACTTGAATTTAAAAAATTATTAAGGTTTTTTTAAAAATAATTCAAAATTCCTACTTGACGTTACTAATTGACCTTTTAATATAAAAAATATTTCTTTGTATTTTTATGGATACTTTAATGCATCAAACGTTGATTGATGTTAAAAACAACCATACTGATATTAAAATTGCTGAAGTACTTTTTTCGCCTGCATGGGATTTGGAGAGGACTACAAAATTTATGCAGTGAGAGAATATTTTATTGGGAAGGGCATATTTGGGCGGAACCTTTGAGAATAATTTAAAAAATATTAAGCACATCTCTGAGCTTAATTGTACTATAAACGAAAGTCTACTATGCAAATTTTCATTGTTATTATTTTTCCTATTTTAACGCCCAGATATTTTCTTTAGAAATTTTTTAAATTAAAATATTTATATAAAATATTTAGAAACATTTGGGTACCTTTTGCCTACAAATTAACTCTTGTATATTTATGTATTGTTTATTTTGGTCAAAAATGGATGGCTACAAGGAGAGCCGTTGATAATGGAACGATGAATGTTGTTTTAGCCCTCTGGAATTTTGGATTTTCTTTTTTTAGTGGTTATGCTGCTTGGTGTTTACTGCCTGAATTATTACATGTTATTGAACGTCGAGGATTTATTGGTGGGAATTTATAAAAATTATTTTGTTTTCGTGGGAATGATCCCAAAAACTTTCTTAATATCTCACGTATGTAGCATCCACTAAAATCCCATATGGGATTTATTCTCACGCCAGACACTGTCTAGGCTTGAATCTAGCTTTGAACTAATAATATTAATGTTGTTCATATGAATTTAGGGTTATCAATATATGGTCATATAAGGGTGTCGCTATATAGGGGGTAATTTGATGGGCAAATTTATTAATTTATAATAAAAAATTAATTGATAATTAAAAGGTTCTTATTGTGATAATGCTAATTATTATACTGATCCAATTACTGGATTTTGGGGATGGATGTTTGTAATGAGTAAAGCACCTGAATTGGGTGATACACTTTTCTTGGTTGGTTTATTTAAATTTTTTAAATTCCAAAAAATATTTTTTTAAAGATTCTACGTAAAAGGCCAGTAATTTTTCTTCATTGGTATCACCATGCACTTACTTTTATTTATGCAACAATTACTTATGCAGAAAGACAGGCTTGGTGTCGTTGGAGTTTAGCATTAAATTTAACTGTGCATACAATTATGTATTTGTGAGTTTCTTTTAATATTATAAATATTCAAAAAAAATTTTTTTCAAAGTTATTTTGGCCTTCAAGCCTTAAAAGTAAAAACACCCCGACTTTTTGCAAAGTTTATTACAAGCATACAAATATTGCAATTTGTTATCTCTTGCTATATTTTTGTTCAATTACTGAAAATTAAATCAGCTAATAATATACGTTGTGATGCTAGGTAGAAAAAATATTAATTAAAAAAAATTAAATTTATTTTTAGTTGGAATGTCCTTACATTGGGTGCTTTAATGTATTTATCTTATTTATATTTATTTGGACAATTCTTTTATAATGCTTACATTTCGCCTAAAGACAAAAATTACAAAAAGAGGATAATTGTAGATCCAATTATATCTAATGGAAATTTAAAGATTGGAAAGAATAATATAATTAATAAAAAAGATAAATAAAAATTTAAAAGAAAAAGCAAAATAATAATTAAAAATGTGTTGAATTTTTACATTTTTTTAAATTTTTAAATTGAAAAAAGTGGCAATTTCAAATAAACTGAGTGTATTTAATTAAATTGGAAATTTGTTTGAATGTGTATAAATTTAAAATTAAACGAAAATGAGTATTTCATTGATGAGAGCTGGATTTTTCAAAAAATTTTGGTAATAATTTGGACGAGCCTCCCCCATTTTCCCTTTGTATTTTTTCATTTTTTATCTGTCAAATTATATATCCGAAAGAGCTCTTTGAGCTGAGGTTGATCCCACTAAGATCATTGAAATCTAACTTAAATCAACATAGGTATGATCGTTTGTTCTAATAACTTGCAGCGACACAAATAGTTTTTCAAGCGAGGATTCACCTTCAAAATTCAATTCAGCTTCCCACGCAATTCAGCTTCTCGCGTCGATACTAGAGGTCGGCGCGGGACGGGATCCCGCGCGGGATTTTGCGGGATCCCGTCCCGCAATCCCGCACTTTTTTCGATTTGCGGGAATGCGGGATTTTGCGGGATTTATCCCGCGGGATCCCGTCCCGCAAAGGTTTTTAAAAAATTTTTATCCCGCGGGATCCCGCAAAATATTTTGAATTTTGCGGGATTTTTGGAAAATGGAGGATTTTGGCTCCTAACCTTCTAAATTCAAAAAATTTTCGCCTGCGGCGCTAAAAAAAGGAGAATTTTGACTCGCTAGCCTTCTAAAATCTCGAAATTTTTGCCTGCGGCGCTGAAAACGTTAGGAATTTGGATACTTGGCCTCCCAAAATTTTTGCCTGCCGCCATGGAATCATCTCTATTTCATCAAAACAAAATTGCCCAACTTGTTTTATCACGATGGTTGATCCCATATGTTTCAGCTCAAGCTATTCTAATTCGTATACTTGAATTTTCCTACCAATATGTATGAGCTTGCCCCTTATGATTTTTTGATAATTGGGGACCTGGGGTAAGTACCTAGTGTTTGTACCAACTTGTACTCGTAATTTGGTACAAAGTACGATACATTAAGAACCCGTTAGAGCCCGTTAAATCGATTTTTTCAACAGATATTGATAATTTTAACGATTTTTGGAAAATCCCGCAATCCCGCGCGGGATCCCGCAAATTTAAAATGCGGGATTTTGCGGGAATGCGGGATTTTGCGGGATTTATCCCGCGGGATCCCGTCCCGCAAAGATTTTTAAAAAAATTTTATCCCGCGGGATCCTGCAAACACGATTTTGCCGACCTCTAGTCGATACCAACTCGGCACCGAAAGGAAAAAATAATAACTTTAAATTTTTAAAAACACTATGCCAATTTCCAAAGAAATTCAATAATTTTTGACTTTTTTGTCATTAGGTGAATTTTTTAGAATAGTTTTTGAGATTTTTTTATATTAAATTTAAAATAAAAATTATTTATTTATAGACAAAATTCACAAAATTATTTTAAAAATTAAAATGAGTAACCAATTTACTGCTACAACTAATGAAAATGACTTAAATAAAGATAAAATCCTCAAAGAATTTTCTTCCAAATTTATTTCGACAATTAGTGCTTCAAGTGATGACTACAAAAATGTGAATTTTAATATTTTTTAAATTTAATTTTTCTTAATTTTACAGGGAGGGTCCAAAAAAGGTTGGCTGCTGTCTGAAGCAATCAAACAATTCGAGTAAGTTTGTATTTAAAATTTAAAAACCGAGAATGAGTTTTTAATAACTATTTATCGAAAATCGATCAGTGCCTGCTTACATAAAAATCGCTATCGTCTTGCGACAGAAAAGATAATGGAAAAAGGGTAGGTAAATCACGCGCGATTTTGTCTCTCCTTAGTTTGAGTGCAAAAAAACAAGATTTTTGTCGCAAAATTTTCTTACGCAAAATGCAAAGCGACTTTTATGTAAGCACAGCAGTAATAAAATCTATCAAAAATTTTAATTTTTTATTTTTCAAGCAAAGACTGGTGTCACAATTATTCGTATTATATGGAGAAACTTGAATGTAAAAATTCTTTAGAATTGGCTGAGAAACTGGGTTCTCGAGTTCGCGTTTTCTTGGATGGGTATAATGGTTGGAGAGTTGCCCCAATGAAGACTTTAAAAAATAGTTTTGCTTTGAATCAAATTGATAGTGACATTGAAAAAAGGTAGAGGGGTAGGGGGATTTAAAAGAAATTTTATTTTAAAGGAATCGAATACATAGATGCCCAGTTAATATTGAAACAAAAAATGAACCAAAAATCTTTAAAGACACCAATAACAACAATTTTGGCAACATTAATAATAATAATATATTTTCAAATTCGGCAGCGTTCCCAAGAAAAGTTAATTTGTAAGCAAATGATGGGCCTATTAGGGAAAGAGGAAGGAGGAAAAAATATTTAAAATTAAAAATACTTTCTATAGAGTTATCCAAATAGAAAAGTATTTTATGCCCCCAAGATTTTTAGAGGATTGATTAAGGACTTACTTCAAAGCTCTGCATGATTAACAAAGGAGAGTGTTTTGGAAGAAATAGGGTATGCTCTACATATATACCAAATTTCATCCCGAAGTCCCACGGACACCCAAAACACTCTCCTTTGTAAGTATAAATAGAATAAGTTGGTATCCGAGAATGAAGAGAAAGGCCGAGCTTTTCTGGAGTTAAAAACTAAGTCTCAAGCTAGTCCCAGACTTTCAAAACTTGAATGCCCCCTACCTCTCCTATCCTACTTTAAGTAATCTCCTTTTAACATCAAAACATTTCCTTTCCCTAATTTGGCTCGTTATTTATTTTTTTTTAATAAATTAAATATTAATTTTAAAATAATTTTTAAGGAAAAAACGGGTGAGGTTTGCCGTCGTTCCTTGCACTGAGGATATTTCGATTTTATGTGAAAGAATGAAAAGATTGACAATAACTAAGGAATTGATGAATTTTTATGGGGATAATAATATTGAGGAATAAAAATAAAAATTATTTTGTTATTTTTTAAGAAAATTATTTTTGGACTTTTTAAATTTTCTCTACAATTTTACAAATAAAAAAGATTAAAATGTAAATTGTTTCAAGTTTTGTTTAATTTTAGTTTGCGGAGAGGAGTAGGGTGATTGTTGTGAGGGAAGTGAAAATAGGTTCTTTTGAGATATGGTAATTGTTTAGGCAAATAAAGTTTAATTGATTTTGGATTTTATCGTGTTTTAGCATGAGCTTATTTAAGCTTATTTTCTACATTTACATTTGTTGCGACATATCAGTATGTAAAAGGAATTATGGGATTTTTGTCATGAAACTAAAGAACAAAATTTTTCTATTTCTGAATTAGATTTGTTCACAACCGGTTGATTCTTGCTGTGGCTGATTTTTGCCTTTTGGGCCGCCAAAGTTAAAAATTAACCGGTCATGAATAGCCTAGTCTGAATCAATCTTTTTAGACTAGTCAGGGAAAATAAATTTCAAATATAATTTATTTTTAATAAAATTGAAGAAAAACGAATTAAAGTTTGTCAACTAAAGGCTTACTTTGACAAATAAATTTTTAGGGAAGCTAGGTCCCAAGAGTTATTGAATAAAGTGAATTTAAATAAAATATTTATCTTTAAAATTAAAAATACAATTAAATATTTTTGTAAAGAATTAATGGAAAATTGAAAACTGAAGATGATAGGGAAGATCTGCCTATTGTTTATATAGGGGATTTAATGGACAATAGGCAGAGATTTACACAATAATGAATAGAGAAGTGATATGAAAAATAGTATTAACGAGGGGTGAAAAGACAATAGTTTCCGGAAAAAAGAAGAGAGAATAAAGGGTCAAAGTGGCAGCTTATGGGAAAATAATTTATGACATTGTCTGTCGTGGACAGGTGGAATAAAGGGAAAATTAGAAAGAAATATTTAAATTTATTAATAATTATAATTTCGTGTTCCTTACACGACACTGGCGGCCGCGCGAAGACGTATTTCCTCGCTTCTTTCTTCTTCGTCTTTCTTCTCATCTTTAATTTTCCTCATTATTGTGTTCATGATTATTTCTTCTGTTTTTTCTGATTCGGGTGTTTTTCCTATCATTATTAATACCTGTGCCAAGAATCTTCCAATTCTAGTATTTTTTATATATTTAAGTAGAAAAGGGAGAATATTATCGAATAGCCAAATGTAAGTTATATACAGAGCTACCATTCTAATCCACATTTTTTCAAGATTAATTTCCCAAATTTTTTCAAGAATGCTTGTTAGCGGATTTTTAACTGTTTCTTCGGTGTGTACGTATTCTCCATTTTTTATTGCATTTTCTATTTTTTCCTGTTCAAATTTTTTGTCTATTCCATATGTTTGGAACATTTGGAGAATTTCAATTCTAGGGTCACTATAGTTCTTTATAATTAAATTGTGGAATGCATGTGTTTCAATTTGAGGGAGGTGTATTGGCTTTTGTAGGTCGAGTGTTAATTCATGTATTTGTTTTTCATTTATTTCTTTACTTTTTCCTGTCTTTTGATCAATCCTCAATAATTTTTTCCCAATAAATATAGTTATAAATCTCTCATATGAGCAAGGTGTTTCGCTTGCTTTCTCTACTATAGTTAATGTTTTTGGTTCAAGAAATGCTTTTATTATTTTTTCCTTTAACGTGACATTTACTGGAATCTCTTTGTAGCATTTTTCATTCGGTAGAAATGTGATGTTCTCATAAGGTATTGGAAAGCATGTTCTTGTTTCTAATATTTCATTGGATATCCATTTACCTAAGACATATGGTGTATTCATGATTAACTTAGCTACAATGTTGCTGTCGGTTCCACTTATTAATTTGTTTTGGTGTTCTCCGTTAATATCTTTGGCACAAAGGATACTAGTCAAATGGTTAAATACTTTTTTAACTTTCTCTGTAGAGAGTATTTCAGTGGCTGTTAGTTCTGCGGCTAATTGGTTACTCAAAATTAAACCGCTTCTTGTGTTTTTATTTTCTCGCTTTCTTCTTATTTTTTCTTTTAAGCTCAATATTTGGTATTGCTGCGCTGGTACTGCATAGCCTTGCTCGCTTATGATTAATTCTTTATTACAATCTATTATTTTTGTGGGGTTATTTGTAAATGAAATTCCTATCTCTTTATTATCAGCTAACCAAATTCTACCCATCCAAGTGCCTTTCCATTTCCTAACTCTTGAAAATTTACACATTTTTTCGTTTTTTTCTTTATTTTCTGCTTCCCAAATAATCAGTGAATCATCTTCTAAAAGACAAGCTGCGTTTTCATATCGGCAATGTGAAATATCAACTCCTGGGGAAAATATTGAAGATGAATCTGGTTTAGCGTAAATGCTTATTTTACTTAGGAAACAATTTGATTCGCTTGTTTCTTGATATCCGATTGACCAATAAGAGTATTCTATTTTCGCTTTATTATTTGTATGACTTGTATTTCTGTTTCCAGTTAATTCCCCTAATCTACATTTTGATTTTTTCCATATTCTGTTGCATTCTTCTATGCTTATTTCTTCTTTTCTGTTTGTCGAAAAAATGTGTGGTATGTTTAATAAATCCTTTTTGTATTTGTAATTTGTGCTTAATATGGAGCAATGTGCAGCTGGTATTGGAACAAGGTCTATATTTGGTTGATAGATGTCAAAGCTGTGTGTTGTAGGGAGAGGTGGATTTTCTGTAAAATTCACACAAGGTTGGTGATTTTTCTTTATTCTCCAATACATTTGATTTTTCTGTCCTGGGCATATCATTGGAGATTGTAGGAGACTTCCCGGTAACATAATTGCGAGGATGCAAAAAAGAAGTATATTATCCATAACTTTTCGCTTTTTATGTTTCGCTCTTAGTATGCTACTTTGTTCTTTAATCACCTCGTTTTCTTCATTTCTTGGGATCTCTAGGCTGTATAAATGGTTAGGTGGTCGAATTAATATTTTGCCATTTCCCAATTTTAATTTTATTGATCTGTTTTTGTTATTTTCTATTACTTTTCCAATTTTCCAGCAGCCTTTTGGTAACTTTTCATCATAAATTTGAACTATCTCACCTACTTGCGGGGTTCCTTTTGCCGAAAATTTGGGATTATTATGTTCATCTTTTCTTTCTCTTAACATTATTAGATAATTGATTGACCAGTATTCCCAAAATTTATTAATAATAGTATTGTGTTTTTTCCACTCAAAAACCATTTTTTCAGCCGAATCTGCGTTTGTAAGATAATCTGGGTCCTTTTCTAATAATATTGGTGGAAATCCCTGATGAGCGAACGGGTATGTGAAATCAATCGGTCGTAAAATTATAGTTTCTGGTTCATCGTCTATTTGGATTAATGGTCTACAATTTATGATGGCTTCGACTTCACAAATGAGTGTGTTAAAATCATCATTGTCTATTATTTTTCTTCCTATTGATTTCCTTATATTGGATTTTATCATTCCGTTGATCCTCTCATAGACCCCTCCCTCCCACGGTGCAAGTGGCGTTATAAATTTCCAATTAATGTTTTCTTCAGCGAAATACTTTTGTAGTCCTTCGTCGATTATCTGATCCGGTTTAATTCTTTTCAATGTTTTTTCTGCCAATCTAAAACTGGAACCATTATCCGATAATATATAGTCTGGTCTAGTTCTCCTAGCGACAAATTTTCTGAAAGCATTTAGGAATGCGTGTGTACTGATACTAGTAACTACTTCGAGATGGATGGTGCGAGTTGATAGACAAGTTAATAGCAAGATCCACCTTTTACTGCGTTCTTCGTCAATGTCTTTCACTATTATTGGTCCCATGAAATCTAACCCTGTATTCTGAAAAACTCTAGATGGCGTTATTCGTGATTCTGGTAGTGGTGGCATTTTAGCTAATTGGTATGGTTTAAGTCGCTGGCATTTTTCTAGACAACTTTTTAGAGTATTTTTTACGAGATTTCTTGCTCTAGGTATAAAATATGTCAATTTTAAATTGGCTAATGTTGATTGGAGACCCGAATGCTGTCTTGATTTATGCTCATTTAGTATTATGTGTTTTGTTAATGGATCGTTTCTGGGTAAATATATTGGATTTGCAAAATCATAGCCGTTTGGTAAGTTCTGAAGTCTAGTCTTGCACCTTAAAATGTGATTTTCGTCGTAGAATAAATTTAGCGTTTCTATTTGTTCTGTAGGGAGATTTTCTCGCGCTTGTGCTTGCTTGATTAATAATATTTTAGCAATTTTAATATCGTTCGCATCGAAGTTGCCTTTTATCTTGATTTTAGAGAGCCATGGTTGCTTTATTTTATTTAATTTCGACCAAATAGTTATATTAAGGAATCTAAGTATGAACATAGTGGTGTATATGAGTTTCCAAAAAGAGCTGTATTTCTCAACTCTTGGAATAAAGTCATTTTTCTCTCCTACGTCTACTAATTTGTAACATAACACTGGAGTTTGAGGTTCGGGTTTAATTGTGAATGATTGATTGTTAGGCCAATTCTGTTCATCTTTTCCTAACCATAAAGGTCCTTTCCACCAAAGACTATTTTTAGCTAATTCAGGGCCCGACGAACCTTTACTTCCAATATCCGCTGGATTCTCGTCCGTGGGAACATATCTATACTCGATTTCTTTATTTTGTCTTATTTCCATTACTCTATTATTTATGAAGGTTTCTTTATTTTTACTAGTTTTAATCCAAGAAGTAGCAATTAAAGAGTCGCTCCAGAGTATTGTTTTTTCTATTGGCTGTTTTATCTCATTGGTTACAAAGGAAATAGCTCTGGTTCCTATAAGAATTGCGAGAAGCTCCAATCTAGGGATGGTCAACGTTTTTTCTTTGCCTTTAGGAACAATTCTATTTTTAGCAAAAATTAGGCTTGTATTTGTTTTATGGGGACATGTAATTCTAAGGTATATATTTACAGCGTAAGCTTTCATAGAGGAATCAGCGAAACAGTGCAACTGTAGAATTTCGGTGTTATCACATCCATGGATTATTTTTCTGGGCCTGCTGAATTCCTGTTCTACCCAACCATCTATTATTTGATTTATTTCATTTAATTCGTTTTCTTCTAATTTATCATTCCAATTTATGTTACGAGCACAAATTTTTTGATAAAGAAGTTTAGCTGGAAGTAATGTTGGACCAATCAATCCCAGCGGATCGAAAATTGAGTGAATCAGTGACAGGAGTTCCCTTTTGGTCATATTTTGATAATTACCACTTGGTAATTTTTGGCAATACTCATCTTTTTCTATTTCCCATTTTATTCCTAGGAATTTAAGGGATTTGGTTTCTATACTAGGGTGCTTGTCATTTTCCTCGAACATATTATTTCCTTCGACTGAATTGCAACAAAATTCTCTAACTCTCATTTTTGCTTTATTAAATATCTGAATTAATTCTCTATATTTTTCTTTTATCTCGTTAGTATTTTTAGCCCCAAGAATTATATTGTCCATATACAAATTTGTTTTAATTTCCTCACACAAAGGACTTTTTATATTCTCGAGATGATGTAATATTGTAGCTATAAGGAGAAATGGACTTGAAATGACGCCGAACAATACGCGGGTAAATCTGTAGCTGATTAAATTTGTGTAGTCTGGTTGGTGTTTTATATCTTTTACCCAGAGGAATCTAGTAACATCCCTGTCTTCCGGTCTCAATTGGATCTGTAAAAAAGCTTTAGCAATATCAGCGATCAACAGATTATTAAACATAAGTGTTCTGATCAGTATGCCGGGTAATTGTGGAAGTAGGACAGCTCCTCTAAGTAATTCATTATTTAATGGTGTTTTTCCAGAGCCTGCATCGAATACGACTCTTAATTTAGTGAATGATGAAGAACTTTTGAAAACAGGTTGGTGAGGGAGGTAATGGACTATGTTTGTGTTTTTTGGTGCTATTTCAATCATATTTAAATCCAACTGTTCCTTAATCGTTTTGTCAATTGTTTCCAAAACTTCGGGGTTTTCTCGGTATTTTTTCCAAAGAGATCTGAGTCGGCCTAATGAAACCCCAAAATTCGTTTGTAGTGTCCTTTTCGATTCGATTCGCCACGGCCAGCCTACTTCATAGCGTCCATCAGGTAATTGGTTGATTGACTCCCTGAATTGCTTCCAAGCTATTTCATCATCTGGAATGGTCAATCCCGGATCTCGAATACCAATAGTCTCTAGGTTCCAAAAATCTTTTTCCTCTACTTTTTCAGTAATTTCTCCAACTGCCGACATTACGTATTGTGTTTCATCTTGTATCTCAGCTTCCTTTATTTTCGCTCTGCCGCAGATTATAGGTCCTACTTTTGTGCGGAGCAAGAATCTCTGGTTGGATAAATTTTCAATATTTTCTAAGAGTTTTAAGACGTCAGACAATCCAAAAAGTATGTCAGGAGTGCGTTGCTTTACTTCGATTTCTTTATCATCGTGTAACCAAAATTCCCTTGGATCACTGGGACAATAGATTTTCATTTGATCTAAGTTGGGTGTAGTATACCCTTCGGCAGAAGTAATAGTTCCATTTTTCAATTTAAACTCGATTTTGATCCTATATGATGTGAAGCGGGACTTTTTACCAGCGTATCCATCTACTTCGAGTTCAGTTTTATGTTTAATTTCCGAATCTGAAATCCCTAGTTTTTGTGCAAATCGCTCACTAATCAAGGTACAAGTGGCTCCTGGATCCATTAGTGTGAAACCTCTAATTGATTCTTTTCGACTATTTAAGTATTCAATATTTTTAGTCATTAGCAATGTTTTTATATTTTTGTCTTTCAGCGAGAGAGTGTTGATCTTTTCTAATTCCCTGTTATTTTGTGTACTATTTACTTCCATTATGTCTATCAGGCAGTTCATATCTTCTTGGGAAAATCCTGGATCTGTATTTGTATTCTCACCTGTGTTTTCTCTTATATTATGAATATTTTCTCGTTTGATTGTGTTTTTGGGACAGACAGCAAAGTAATGAGGTTGTGTGCAACTCTGGCATTTTATCTTATTATTTTTACAATATTTGGCAATATGATTCCGCTCGAAACATTTGGTACATTTTCTCAAATCTTTCAACCTTTGTATTCTGGTCTCAAAATTTATATATTTTTTACATTGGACGGAACTGTGATTATCGATCTCACAAAAGACACATGGCCTTCTCTTTTTATTTGTTTCATTGGAATATCTATTTATTTCTGGTTTTGGTTCCCGCCAATTAGTGTTTTTATCCCTCTCTATATTATTAGTAAATACATTATGATTTTGGCGAGGAGGAGGGCGTCTATAATTCGATGAGGAACTTTGGCCATAAACCGCTTCTTTAATTTTTAGATGCTTGTCAATTGAGTCTAGGAGTCGGTTAATAGTCCAATTAGTGGGATTTTTATTTTGCTCTTCAAGTATGACACAACTAGCCCATCCCCCGAATTTGTTTTCAATTTGTTGTAGCAGTGCACCATTGTCGATTTCTTCTCCTAATGCCTTCAATTGCTGTGTGATTCGATGTACATTTATCCAATTTTGACGAACGTCTTCAGTTTTTAATGCCCGAGGACAAAGCTTATTTAATTCCCCATACAATGATCGTTTAACTGAGATCTCATCCCCAAATCGTTTCCTAAGATGGTTCACTACTAATGGATAATTTAAGGCTGTTATTGCAAATCCGCTCACTTCACTATAGGGATGAGGACGAGCGAGGGAGGCAAGTAAATACGTTAGTTTTTCAGAATCGTCTAGACTATGATTTTTATCTATTGAAACTTCAAAAAGACTCCAGAAGCTTGGCCAGTCCGAAACCTTTCCATTAAAGAGAGGAAGATTACAAACTGGCAGTCGAATAGAAGTCGAATGTGCAACCGATGTATTGGCGACAGAATTATCATTATGAGACGACGAGGAGACTTCAATCAGCTTAGCTTCGATTTCACAACTTAGATCCCTCGCTATTTCGATTAGGGCTATAAAACCATCCTCCCCCTCCGCGTGGGTGTTATAATCTTTCAACATGTCCTCCTTCCTATCCTGCGCCTCGAGACCTATGAGCTTCGCCCAGTCTGTATTGATCTGTTCCAACACTTCTACAGATCTAGCTAATTTCAGTTGTTGTGCTCTCAGACTCGTTATACTTTCGGGGTTTACTCCATTATCTGATAATTCTTTGATCGACTTTATATATCCAATGGTTCTTTTCCTGAGTGGACCTAATCTCATTTTAAGCGGTCCCGCGAAAGTGCGATTTGCCATTTATTATTTTAATTTTAAATACAATTTTTAGCTGTATATTAAATACAAAAAATTAAAAGCAATTGTGTGTATATGGATATTTAAATTAATGCAATTGTAAGTTTGTTTAAATAGTATTTAAATTAATTATTCTTTTATTCTTTAATTAGAGCGGCTAGACGTTCAAACAAAGATGCACAAGCACGAGAGGTTTGTCCAATTTGCGAATACACTTCAGCAAGTTGTGCTGCTTTACGTACGGACTCCCCCTTCTTTTTTGCTTTGGCTATTTTCTCTGCTTCGCGCTTTTGTACTTCCAAGATTTGATTTTTCACTTCGGGCTTCTTTTGAGAAAAATTTAGTAATCTTCTTAGAAAGACTATATTCACCTTTGGACACGTGACAGGAGTCTTTGAATGAACACGATTGGGAATCACTGCTTCTGCTCGTGTCGTTTGATGATCCTGCTATTGGAAGGATTAGATTTGACCAGATAGCAGTAGTAAGAAGTTCAGCCCTTTTTGTTCTCCCAGCGATTACAATTCGGGAGTTTACCTTTTTGTTATTGTTGTCGTTCCGGGAAGAGTATGGCCTTTTATGAGCAGCGATCGGCGGTGAACGTCTGGCACTTCCAATTCTTGGAGTAGAGGGTGAACGAGGCCTTCGGGGAGTTTGCTGTTCAGCCAAGGCTGGTTTTGTTTTCACAGCAGTGTCCGACGGTGGGTTAAACCTAATCCAATTACAAGGTACACAAAATTTATTAATGGGGCAAAGAGTTTTCTTTACAACAACAAACTTTTTGTTAGGTGGAGGCCAATCATCATCATCATCAGAAGTATCTGTTTCAGTTGATTTGATATCTTTACTTGGAACAGCAATTGGCTTCTGGTTATTGCCACGAGTTGGATTGGAAGAGCCAGCAGTAGAAGACGAGCTTGTATTAGTAGTTGTGGCGCGACCGGAAGATGTACAATTTAGTTTATTAATTGATCCAGAATTTGTAGTAGTTGCTTCAGGGGTAGAAACAAATTTTTTCACAACACAAATTAAGCAGTTGCAGTTAGTGTTGTCGGAATGCACGCCTTGAGCCGAGGCAAGGATTTGTTGAAGCACAGCAGGTTTAATGGATTCCGCCACTGAAATTTGAGTTATTAGTAAGGTTTAGTCGAGGTGCCTCTCCCGGAGCACCACTTTGTCAACTAAAGGCTTACTTTGACAAATAAATTTTTAGGGAAGCTAGGTCCCAAGAGTTATTGAATAAAGTGAATTTAAATAAAATATTTTTGTAAAGAATTAATGGAAAATTGAAAACTGAAGATGATAGGGAAGATCTGCCTATTGTTTATATAGGGGATTTAATGGACAATAGGCAGAGATTTACACAATAATGAATAGAGAAGTGATATGAAAAATAGTATTAACGAGGGGTGAAAAGACAATAGTTTCCGGAAAAAAGAAGAGAGAATAAAGGGTCAAAGTGGCAGCTTATGGGAAAATAATTTATGACATTGTCTGTCGTGGACAGGTGGAATAAAGGGAAAATTAGAAAGAAATATTTAAATTTATTAATAATTATAATTTCGTGTTCCTTACACGACAAAGTTCAAATGATTATTTTTATCCCGAATTTTGTTGAAATACAATTGTTTCAAAATTATAATTTCATTAAATTAATATGTTAAATTAATATTTAAAAGAATTATTAAATAGTTTGGAAATAAAATTAATTAGAAATTCAAAAAAATTATTGGTAGCGTTTTAATCATAGGGTGACACAAAAGTTTCTGACCACTTTTTAAATCTTACTTTTCTCATTCTCAATATTTTTTTTGATTTCTCCTTAATACATACATATTATAAAAATTTAATGCCATCTTTCAGTCATGCTTAGGTAATAGCGAAAACCCAGAAAAATTTCGTCTGCTTCGATACCATTGTCGTGAATTATAAAAAAATTCTAAAAACCTCTATAAATCCTCATTCTCTATTTAATTCTCTCTTATAAATATGTATAGTCGGTCATTTACTTTTGTGTTACACTATAATTTCTTTTAATCACCCAAAAATTAATTTAATCACCCAAAAAGAATTAGTTAAATCCAAATGATTATTTTTTTATTTTCCCGAATCTTGTTAAAACCCAAAATTTTCCAAAATTTTTCATTCTTTTCCCTTTATAATTAACTAAACGTTAATTATTTTTACATGCAGGGCAGAGGTCTCCGCCTTTCACGGCCATTTTCAAAGCATCAATTTGTTCATCAATGTCATTAACTCGCATAATAAAATTCTTTAAAGACTTATCTACTTCTTTTAAACAATCAGCAGAGGGAAGTTTTTGTATTTTAACTAGCAATTGCAGCATTTCATTATTTATTTGATCAATTTTTGGGCGTAAGTCTGTTTCTAAATCTCGAACTTTAATAGGTGGTATGCCATGTTGATTCCATAAATTAACCAAATAATTCTGAAAAATAATAATTAAATTTAAAAATTTGGAGTTTCCTTCCTAATACATATATTTATTCTACAATAGCAGAATTATTACTTAATTACTTTGATTGTTGCGGATTTGCGGCAAGATTCCTTTTTTGAACTTTTTTTTAACGAACCATTAATGTCTTAGATATTGTTTTTTTGTAAAAGCAACTTAACCAGAAAACTTGTTAAATAAAAATTACATATAAATAATTTATTTTGTTATTTCTTTCCCTAATTTTAAATTTTCTTTACCTGAAAATGTTTGCTAGCATTCATTTGGTCTTGGAATATTAAAGTAACATAATCCTCATTTAACGATAGCTTCTTTCCCTTACTTCTCATATCGTCCAAAAGTTGTTCTTCTCGTTTTAGATCAGTAATAGTTTTATTATTAACAACTTTATATAACGCAACATAGTCAGAAAGAGTTAAACGATCGTCTGCAATCTCAACAAATCGATCAATATCTTTAAATAAATTATTTAATAAAATATTTAATTTAATAATGAAATATTCCCCATAACGATCTTTGCAGGGATATTGGTTGATCTTTTGGTTGATCTTTTATAAAGGGTTGATCTTAGTGGGTTAGGTAAAGGTAAATCAAAATTAATATGTAAATACATATTAATTTAGAATTTAATACATACCTGGGTTAGTATCTGTATCACTCTTTACAATGTTGAAAAAGAGTATTACAATAAATAAATTGCAATAAAGCCAATTCAAAGACATTTAAAATTAAATATTTTTATTAAAAAGGTTATTTTCTGAATTTATTTAAAAAATTTAATTTAAAAATACATTTATTTAAATATTTTAAAAATGCAAATTATAACATAAATCTATTTTATAAAATTATTAAATTTGATTTTCGGGATAATTGAATAATTTATTTTGAAATCAAAATTTAATATTGAATTATTATACACATCACTTATAAATAGGCAAACTCAATATTTACTAGATTTGCTTTAATTTAAAATACGTTTTTGAAATTTATTGACAAATGGGTTGGTAGGGAGTGTGTGTGGGGGGGGGGGGGGGGTGAGCTGCCTAAAAATATTTAATATACCTTAATTAGAATTTTTCAGCTTTAACTATAAACCAGGTTCAACTTTATTAATTTTTAATACTAGATGGAGAAAATTAAATTAATTTTTGTATGAATATACAATAAGTATCTCAGGAATGGATCTACATATGAGAGTTTATTCAAAATTATTAAGGTTTTAATATCCAAAATAATTACCAAATAAAGCCAGCTATAAAAATAAATTTTAATTTTAAAATAAAAAAAGTTAAGGAAAAGTTAAGCCATCGGTCATGGATGAACACGCGCCTGCCTTCACTTACACCTCTGCAGGTGCTCTTCACATGTTGATTTATTTTTTCTCTCTATAGATCACTGTTAAGTAAACTATCCTTAAATAATTATAAAATTTAAATTTAAAATAAACCTCATGTGATACATAAAAAATTTTATTTAATAATTTTTGGTAAAAAAAGAGTAAAGATTTAAAACAAAAAAAAAGATTTTTATTTAAACAAATAAAAAATTAAATTTTTGCCAACAAAAATTAAATACTAAATTTAGATTTTTATTTATTCTTTTAATGCCTGCTTCTGTTGGTTGACGATTTTCTCTTATTGATTGTCAATCTATGGATGTTAACTGGAAAATTTTTTAAATATTAATTTAAATTTTAGGTGAGGATAAATCCAAAATATACATACTAAACAATTAAAATACGTGGTCAGAAATAAACAGAAAAAATCTGAAATTATTGAGATAAATTAACTAAAATAAAAATACTGTGTTATTTCTTAAAAAATAATTAAGCCTTTAAAAAAAGAAGACCTCTAAAGGCAGTTTTTTTCAAAATTAAAGGAAATTTAATTGAAGTTCATCACAAGTTGCATCAACAAGTATTCGAATTTTTGGCAAATTTTCGATAGATTTTTACAATTTATTTCGAAATTTTTGGATGGAGAATATTTGAAGTAACACCTAAAATTTCACCAAAATAAATTAAATATTTATTTTTAAAATATAAAAATATTAAATTATTTATTTTCCTTGTTTCCTTGGTGACAAAAAATTGAAGAAGATCCTTTTTCATATAAATTAAAGGTCTTATAAATTTATTGAAAATATTTTTTTTAATTTAGAAGCAAAATTTACATATTTTAAAATATTGTTTTTAAAAAGTATTTTTACTTCCTCCATCAATTAAAAAATGTAAGTTTATTTAAATTTATTTAAATATTTTAAATTATATTAAATGTGGAGAATAAAATTTCCTACAAAATCTACATACCGTATTTCCTCTATTAGAATGCCCCCCTCTGATATTAATGCTCATTTGGTGATTGAAAAATAGAATGTCCGGGCATTCAATTAGAGGAAATACATTATCTTGGAAAAGTCTCGACCAAGCATTTTTAAACTTTTTCAATTTGTTTTAGAATTTATATACCTTATCTTCTTGAATAATTACGCTTGGTAATTATTTTTATTCAAGTTTTTGCTCATTTTTATCTGAGTTTTTGGTAATTATTCTTAGGCATTTATCCGAGTTTTGAAATCTAAACATGCGGTATGGCGTTTGAGCGAGGGTAATTATTATCTCGACACCTATTAACCCTAAACATAAAATTAAAACCTTAAAGTCGTGAGAGATATCTAAAAATTATCGAGATTTTGCGAAATCTCACCATGATTATGTCTCTTGCATACGAACACACAAGAAAACATTTTTACCAATAAAAAAGCCGCCTCAGTAACGACTGAATTCGTCAAAAATTTTAAGACCGCCCTAGTCGCAATATCATCATAGGCAGGGCTATTAGCCATATCGTAACAATCTGCGTTCCATTAATTTTGATAATTTAAATGTTAAGTAAAAATATTTGATGTGAAGCAAAAGAGAAAATAAAATAAATAAAATAACACAAAATACCCAACAAACGCATTGCTGTCTAAACAATATTTCGTGCCCGCTCAACTCATCTAATCCTTAACTCATCCACACACCCAAAAACGCTCAACTCATCTAAACGGCTAAAATTCCTTAACTCATCCACACGGCCAAAAACGCTCAACTCATCCAATCCTCAACTCATCTAATGCTTAACTCATCTACACGGCCAAAAACGCTCAACTCATCCAATCCTTTGGAACGAGACTATTGAGTACCAGTCGTTTGAGTCCCTGGCCGTTTGAGTCTCTGGCCGTTTGAGTCTCTCGCCGTCTGAGTCTCTCGCCGTCTGAGTCTCTGGCCGTTTGAGTCTCCGGCCGTTTGAGTCTCTGGTAAGTAGGGTCCATGACCAGTTGAGTCCATGACCAGTTGAGTCCATGACCAGTTGAGTCCATGACCAGTTGAGTCCATGACCAGTTGAGTCCATGACCAGTTGAGTCCATGACCAGTTGAGTCTCTAGCCGGTTAAGTCCCTGGTCAGTTGAGTCCCGGCCGTTTGAGTGGTTGATTACCGCCGGTTGAGTCTTGGGCCGGTTGAGACTCAACTGACCAGGGACTCAACCGGCTAGGGACTCAACCGGCCGATATTTCAAGGATTGGATGAGTTGAGCGTTTTTGGGCGTGTGGATGAGTTAAGCATTAGATGAGTTGAGGATTGGATGAGTTGAGCATTTTTTGCCGTGTAGATGAGTTAAGCATTAGATGAGTTGAGGATTGGATGAGTTGAGCGTTTTTGGCCGTGTGGATGAGTTAAGTGTTAGATGAGTTAAGGATTGGATGAGTTGTAGGGTAGCCAAGAAAATATTGGGCAATATTTTCTTTTATATTTTCTTTCTTTTTCTCTCTCGTTTTCTTTATCTCTTTTTTTCTTTTCGTTTAAATATTTATAGAAATATTTAAAGTTTTAAAGTTATTTTCACATTAATTTTCGTAAATTTCTAATTTAGTTTAAAAATTTTATTTATGAAAAAGTAACTTAAATGATAAGGCTAATCTAGGCTATTATTTTACTAAAAATTTTTCCTCACCCCAATCCAAGTGACGTTACTTCCAAAATTATCTTGACAGATATTCTTGTTGTTTATGAGATAAAACTGAGGTTTTTATCTGGGATAGACTAAATAAAAGTTAAAAAACGGGAAAATAAATAAATATTTAAATATAGCGAATCTGTGTTTTAACTCCTAACATAATTAATGTTCTACTCGAATTTATAAAATCCCGGTTTCATACATTATCTAAAACTGCTGGCGATTCCGAAGGTGTCTCTCCAAAAATTATTTCCGGGTCTCTCTTCATCACTAGACAATCTCCACTAATTTAATAAAAATTTCGGTTCCGGTTCCGATCACTCTAGCTATAGCTCCTTTTTAATTATTTAAATTATTAAAGTCACTGTTTATTTAAAAAATAAAAAAATCCTTTTTACATTACTGTTAATCCTTTCTCAAGAGGATTTTCTTAAATCGAATAGCTTTTTATCTATTTTTATATTTTACGTACATATATTTATTACTAAATAATATTTTTTTATTTTGGGAACATTTTTAATTTTTGTTAATGGACGGATAAAAAAAATTTTTTTTAAACCGACAATTAATGAAAAATATTAAGAAAATGAATGACGTTAAAAATATTTTTTTTTAAATATTTTTTGTTTGAAAATATTTTCAATCTCTTTAAGTGTGTTGAACTATGTAATATTTAAATAAATAAATATTTATTTAAATATTTATATATCCATTTTTATTTAAATGGAGAGAAAAATTAGGAAGTTGTTAAATTTACTAGAAATTTTATTATAATTGTTAGTTATCCTTCCATGAAAGTTAGGAAATAAAGGAAATTTTTATATTCTCTTTAAAAATTATTCTAAAATTTAAATTTTAAAATTTTTAGCGACAATTGCTCGCTTTTGGCAAGCAAAATAGGGTGTCCAATTTCGGTTCCGAGGATGTCCTCACCAATTCAAACACTTTCTGCTTCTCAATATAAAGCACAACATAATGAATTGTTTGTTTTTTCCTCTCAAAAAGTTTAAAAGAAAATTTCCTTTTAAAGAAATGCAGATGTTGTTCTCGACTATTTACATACACATCCAGGCTTTTTAGAATCTTTTGTAACGGGACCTCAAATTTCTGCAGAAACATTTCAACGATGGACACTCAAAAGAAATAATAAATTACGTCGAGATTCTCGGCGTCAATTGCTTTCTGGGTTTTCGGTATTTTTTTGCCCAAAAATTATTTTTAAAAAATTTCCAAATTTTAGACTCCCGCCGGCCGAAAAAATTTTCGACAAATGCTTTCTGACAATATTGTAAATAGAAATCGTTTACTTTACGAATTGGCATTGAGCTGTGCACAAGTAGCACAAGTTGAACAGTTTGAACTTGTTGTTCCTGCATCTGCTAATGAGGCAAATTTTTAAAATTTTTATTGGAAGTATGAATCTTCCTCCTACTTCCGGCATTTTTGACCTTCCACTTCTTTCCTTCGTCTTTCCTATTCTTCCATTCCTAATATGCACATAGTACATATTTTTATTTTATATTTAAAAAAGGATGAGGTAAATTCAATCAACTCTGTGTCTTCAAATACAGGAGCAAGTGAAGATATTCCATCAATTATTGGAGGCGGAATATTTAATACTGGAGGTTTAATAAATTCTATAACTGATAATGTGGCAATGAATAACAACAATTCATCACCATCTACTTGGCTTTCTGTAATTCGATCAGATGACGAGGCTGGCACAATAAAGTTACGAAAAGTTCGCAAACAGAGAAAACCACCGGTGAAAATTTATCAAAAATTGAAGAAAATTAATTAGACGTTCAGACCTCAGTATATTAAATATTCATTAATCTAAATATCTTCTTTAAGTTTCACGGGACTTTTAGCTAACCCCTATCTCAGTAGCCAACCTCAATAATTACGATACTACATTATAAGATACGATTTTAAGTCCCTAATAGCGAGATTTGATTATATAGTGGATGAGAAATAATTTAAAAACCATCTCCAAATCTCCACTAGTCTTTAAAAAAATATTTTTAAGGTTCATGTTCTGAAATTATTCGATTGTGATGAAACACTTATTGGTGAATATTTTAATTAAATAAAAATATTTTCTGAATTACTATTTTTAGGTGAAATCCATTTCTTCTCTGTTGTTAATGATAGAGATGGACAATTTTTACAAGTTTTAACTACTTGGGCAGGTGTTGGCATTCATTTTGCTAAAGTAAAAATTGAAATTTTTATTTAAATAAAAAAATTTAAAGGAAGCTAGTTCAAAGCTTTCAGTACAGCCAACACCAATTATTGGTACATCACCGTCACCTGAAGATATGGAATATGTAAATAGACAACGTAAACTAAACTCCTTTCTTCTTGATGTTGTCAAGTAATTTTTACTTAAATTAAATATATTAAAAAATGAATAATTTTTCTTTTAGGTCCATCTTCCAAGATATTATCACAATGGATACAGTTATTCTTAAAGTTATGGTAATAATTTAAATAATTTATTAAAAATTATTTGTTGTTCCTAAAAAATTTCGATAGAACCTTGATAATTGTCTAAAATATTTAATTTTGATGGTTATACATATAAGAAAAATAATACTTAGGATCTCCAATATTTAACGGGAAAAGGTGTTATCGAATAAACTGAAAATAAGTGTGATGCTGTAATATCTTCTATTTATTATACATACATATGTATAATATTATAGTAATTAAAATTTAATTTTTAAATTTAAAAAAGAATTTTGCACAAAAACTTGTTGATGCTGATCGAGCTTCTTTATTCCTTGTTGATAATAAAACACAAGAGATTTATGCACGTATTTTTGATATTAGTCAGCCAGAACAGAATAATTTAAATAATGAAAATAATAGTCAAAATGGGAATGGAGAGATTAGTCCTCAATTAAATCCTGCACATGTTTACAATCAAGATGGACAAAAAGAAATTCAGTAGGTTTATTTTCGAAGAAAAATATTAAGAAATTTTTACCGATAGTTAAATTTAAAAATAAACTATTCATTAAATCTGTCAAGTTTATAAAATTTAAAATAGGGATCTAAATAATTTATATTACGGACAAACTATTGTTCTAAAAACATAAATTTTTTGGTAGTACATACACTGCTCCACAAAAGTATAGCGCCACCCCTATTTTTCTCGGTTTCAATACTGTAACCGTAGTTTTTATTTTAAAACTTTTTTGTAATGATTAATATTTGTCTTAAATCTGGTTTGTAAAAAAATTTTGTTAACAAATCAATTTTTTCAATAGTTATAGGCAAATGATTAGTTTTAGGGTTCCACAAAAGTATAGCGCCACTTTGAAATTTCGGGTTTCTAACATTAAGAAAAATCTACAAAAATTTAAGCTAGCATATTTATTGATTCTAAGAAAAAATCAAAAAGAATTAGACCCATATCTCACTTCAGTGTCGAGATCCAGATACCTCGAAAATTAACGTAAATCGGGGGTAAGGCTATTTAAAAAATATTTTCGACCCCTTAGGGTTTGTTTTAAATTTTCAATTTGGGCTCATTTGAAAGCCCTTAAAATTTGCTATAAGGTTGTAATGCTCATATATCTCAGAAAAAATTCAATAGAGATATACAGGACGTTAATCTTCCGGAGCTAATTTCATGGGGCATTTGGGCGTTTTTTGTGTTTTAGACATTTAAAACTTAGTAAGAGTAAGGTCAATCCTCCTAGTTAAGAAGTTCCCAGCTTTACTCAAAAATTTCCCAGTATCTTTTATTTTTTTAATCTTGAATTGTGGAAAATTTTTTAAGAATTGGACATTAAGTTGGCGGATCTGTATATCCGGATCCGAAAAAGGCCGGATATTCGGAAATTTCCAACTATCCGCCAACCTTATTGGACATCTAAAATATATGAATTAACATATAATTGAATTCTAAGATTTATTTTTTAAAGTTTTCCAATTGGAAAAGGAATTGCTGGACATGTGGCATTGACTGGAGAAAGTTTAAATATTACTAATGCTTATGCTGATGAACGTTTTAATCGTGAAATTGATTCTTTAACAGGCAAAGTTTATTTTAAATAATTTTTCAACAAATATTTATTAAAGGTTATCATACTCAATCAATTCTTTGTATGCCTATATTTATTCGTGGAAAGTAAGTGGATTTTGAAAAAAAATTTCAATTATCACTATTATCACATAATTTAATCAATCTTTAAATAATCTTTATAAGTCATTTCTTACAAAGCGAAAATTTAAGACAAAAATTACCTCAAAAATAAACATTATGATTGAATTTTAAATGTTTTTGAACAACTAATTAGCTTTAACATTAATTATCTGCCCAATCTCTCATAAATATTTACATATATTTTTTTAAATTATTTTCAAAAAGAATTTCAAATAATTTTTCACTAATTTCTTTTTAAAGTATAATTGGAGTTGTTCAAATGGTTAATAAAAGAAATGGTGTATTTACTCAAGTAGATGAAGAAGCTTTTGAAACTTTTGCTGTTTATTGTGGTCTTGCTTTGCATCACGCAAAACTTTATGAAAAGATTAGACGATCAGAACAGGTCCTCCTCTTTTGAAAAAATAAAAAAAAATTAAATAATTTTAAGAAACACAAAGTTGCTTTAGAAGTTTTAGCTTATCACAGTGTTTGTAATAGAGATGAAGTTAACAAATTAAAGAAAGTTAAAGTCAAGGAAACTATTCCAGAACTTGATCTGTAAAATTAAATTTTTTATTAAAAATTAAATATAACAAAAAAGGCCAAAATTTAAGCCCTCCATTAGAATAACACAGTATCTCTCAAATTGTACAGAGAACTTGCTTTTTGCATATTTATAACTTATAGTACATGCTCAAAAAAAACTTAGTTAATAATATTAGAAAAAATATTAGAGTTTAATCACAAAGATAGATGAGACTTGAGTTCGATAAATATAGTAATCCCGGGTCTGAACTGGTCTGCTCTTCGGCTCTAACCGGCAATCCTAACTTTTTAAACAATAAAAATTTTTAAGACTTTGAGAAGATTTAACTATTTTTTGAAATGAATTTGAGAATAAAAAGAACACAAATTTTTTAATTAAAATTAACAATAACCAATTAATTTATTTTTATTTTAGTTTTGAATTTAATGGAAACCGTCTCTCAGAATTAGAAAAACCTTTATATGCTGTTTATATGTTTAGAAAACTTTTTGATGGACAAATGTTTTTTAAATAGAAATTTATTTTTTAATTAATTAATTTTTAAAGTTCATATGATTGTGATGATTTAATTCGTTTTGTTTTAACTGTTCGCAAAAATTACCGAAAAGTTCCTTACCACAATTGGACACATGGATGGACTGTTGCACACGCGTAATAAATAAATAAATATTTTTAATTTAAATATATTTTTCTTTCCAGAATGTTTGTATTTCTTCGACAAACATCCATTTTCCAACCTTTAGAAGTTAAATTATTTTTTAAAATTTTATTTAATTAATTTAGGCTATTGCTCTTTTTATGGCCTCAATATGTCATGACTTGGATCACAGAGGGAAAAATAACCAATATATGGTAAAATAAATTTAAAATTGGGGGTCTTTAAAAACTAAAATTATATAGCAAGTTTGATCAAAATTTTTTTGAATTTGCCAGAAATCTTTAGTTAATATCAAAAACTATTTTTCTAATTAAATTAATATTTTTCTGATTTCTACTATATTCCTTTAACGACATTTCTCCTTTAAATTTTAAGTCTTATATTAGAATTTGATTAGTCTACTAATTTATTTTAATGACAAGATTAATACAAAAATATTTTTGAAATATATTTTTTAATTTAAGAAAAATATGAGTACCCCTTTGGCTAATATTTACTCAACATCGGTAATGGAACATCACCACTTGTATTTATTAAATACTTTTTTAAAAAATCATTTTTTTAATTTTTAGTAATCAAACTGTGACTATTTTACAACAGGTATTAATGTAATAATAAAAATATTTTTAGATAATTTTTAAAAATTTATTTATTGAATATTCGATACTCTGTTATAAGTTAAGGAACGAGGAATAGTTAGACTCGAAACTTTTTCTTGTGTGTTTTCAGGGTTGGGGCTAAGTCTTGAACTATTTAAAATAATTAACTTTATGTCCAATTTTAATTCTATTTTCGGATATTTAAAATAAAATTAAAACAATTTTAATATTTAAAAAGGATGGCCACAACGTACTCAAATCCTTAAATTCTTCTGATTATAAAAAAATATTGAGCACAATTCGTCATTGTATTTTGGCAACGGATTTGGCACTTTTCTTTCCAAATAAAGCCCAATTGAGTGCTATAATTAAAGAAGGAATATTTAGTTGGGATGACACAAAACATCGGTAAAGAGGCATTTTTAAATAAATTTGCTTTATTTTTATCCAATTTAAGTAATTTGGTCCAAGCAATTCTAATGACTGCTTGCGATTTAATTGCCACAGCAAAACCTTGGCAAGTTCAGACTGAAACTGTAAAAGTTATTTTTGAAGAATTTTATGAGCAGGTTAAAGGAAAAAATAAATTGAAAGAAATATTCTTTTAAATTTAAAGGGAGATGCTGAAAGAATGAATGGGCGAGAACCTATTGCAATGATGGACAGAATGCGTGCTCATGAATTACCTCAAATGCAGGTAAATATACAGTCATCGACATAAAGATAGGGGCAAGTGTAACTGAGATGGAATTTAAGAATTATAATTATTTTACTACAATTTTTAAAAATATTTAGAACATTTAATTTATCTAAACTTAGACTTTATTGCAAATATAAGGAAAATTTCAAATATATTTAAAAAAAATTTTCCTTGTATGAAGTTACCTTCTAAAAATTTTCTAATGTAAATTAAATAACTAACTAGTTGGACATAAATGCAAAATATTAGTTAATATTTTAGCAAATTTGTTTAGAAGAATTATAAGACAAAATATTTTTTTTAATTTTAAAGGTTGGCTTTATGAGAGGTATTTGTATTCCTTGTTATGAATTGTTGGCGGATGTTATTCCCGAAGCAGAAAAACTTAGGGAACGTTCAAGGTTTGAAAAATAAAAATTTCAAGAAAAAATTTATTTTTAAAGATGTAATGCAAATAAATGGGAGGAAATGTCCGAAGAACAAAAACGTGTACGAAATAATGAAGTTATAAATACTGAATTAACTAGAAAAATGGCAGAGGAGGAAGAAGAAGAAACTGCTCTGGGAAATGGAGATTAATAGAATATAAAAAAATATAAAAATATCTTCTCTATAGTAGATACTTGACAAGTCACATCTAATTAATAATAGACGTTTTGTGAAGTTAATATTGCTGAATTTCAATTTTCTCGTATTTCAAACAGAACTGGAAAATCCTGGGAAATATTAGGATATTCGTACAGAAAAGTTAAATATCCAGACTTTTTTGGATCTGCCAACCTTTTTCTTATTCTCGAACTATAAATTGATATCAATAGAGATTTGCTTTTAAAAATCCTTAAAACTTTTTAAAACTTTATCTACTACTATAGAGAACCGAATTTTCATAAATTTAATAATCTGTAGTAAAAAATAATAATTAAAAGACTCAAATTTAAATTTTAAATTGATTATACTTTAATACCAAAATATAATTTTGCAATTTTTTAGTTGATAAATCGATATAAAAATATATATTTAAGTTGCTTGGATCAATGTTCTTTTACTTAGCTAAGAATCAACCAACCAGCCTTTTCTTTTACCTGATAAATATCCTCCTATAAATACATTACCACACAGATTCTCACATTTTGTTAGCTTAAATTAAAAACAATAATATTTTTACTTTTACATTTTCTTATAGTGAGGTTTATTGTTGAAATTAAGTCAAGGTTCGATAATTCGACTGTAATAGATCACGAAAACAAAAAATTTATTCTGACACCTTAAAATTTAAATTTCTCAACTTTGGTAGTTTAAGTGAGATATCTACACTTCAATTTTTTAGGGTTATTTTAATTACATATTGACATTAAAAATAATCATTAGGACTTTAAACATTCTTATTAAATGATTAAAATTTAATTTTCTTTGATCTATTTAAAAATTCGAAAAATTCCATCAAAATTCAATAAATGAATAATTAAAAATAAAATATTCTTCAATATATAAAATTTAAAATATTTATTCTAAAAAAGTATTTTTTTAATTTCAAAAATTTTAATATATTCTTTGCATCCTTAAAATGTAAAGAATCTTTTAAATATTTTTTTGCACACTTATCTGAACTTTTATTTCTTTAAGAAACAACTGTCTAATAAAAATTAACAATTTTATTAATTTTATACCAACTGACTTTAGAAATAATTTATTAAATTATTTTATTGGTAATTTGTAATTCTTTAAAGTAATTCAGTTCAAATAAAATTTAAAAAAAAGTTTCTAGAACACAACCATTTTGAAGTAAATTAATTCTTAAAGATTAAATTTTTATTATAAAATTTCTATAAAAATGTCAACATTACCAATTCAAAGAGCTCGTCCTGTTATTGAGCTTAATTTGAATGTTGAAGAGGCTATGATTGAAACAGTTGACTTGCTTAGAACAGTTTTGTTTAAACTAAATATATTTATAGTAAATTAATAAAATTTTAAATTTTAAAGTTTTTACATCAGTTCCGTTAAAATATTATTTTTTAGATTAGAGTGCAGCTAGAGGCAATAACCGGCACTGTTAATGAAAGGCTAAATCGAACATTCACCGATGTTTCTTTTTTTAATTTAATAATTTTTAAAATTTTTAACTAAAATATATCGAGATAAAAATGCCTCTCTCATAAAAAAATTTTCAAAAATATTTCAGGCAGGTGAAGATCTTACAAAAATAATTCACAACGTAGAAACTTTGTCAAGTAATTTGGCTGATTCTACAGGGCAATTATATCACCCTATCATGTTTTCACTTATCTTTTTATTGTTTTTATTGGTTTTGGCTGCCACTTTAGCTTGTATTCTTTGTAAAATAAGTGGAGAAATTCAAAGACGGAAAAGGAATCAACAACCTTACGAATATTTTATAAAATCAGGCACATCTACTACATCAACAAAATTAAAAAATAAAAATTTTAAAGAAGACAGTCAAGATAATAATAATTTAAGAAAAAAGGGAAGAAGAAAGAGACTGATTGGATGGTAATTAAAAAATATATTTTTGGCTATTTCTAATTAATTAAAATAGACTGTACATTAATAAAATAAGATTTCTCTTACAATTTAATTAAAAATCTCAATATTTTTGCATATTTTGGATCTTGTTGCATCCGTATATCCGAATCTTTGGTTCCTGATATCCGAAATCTTCGGTTCGGATATCCAGAGATTTCCCAGGAACCGCCATCCTTAATGCACATTTTAATCCATATTTTGATGTTTTTGGGGAAAATAACACCTTGCATATTTTCGTGTATACTTTGGTATTTTTTCATTAATACTTTAGGCTGGATAGACTACGCCGTCCAAATACAAAAACAAAAGGAAATAAAAACAACGAAACCGAAGAATATTCAACTGATATTTTAAAAGAAGAAAGTGGAGGAATTCAATCATTTGCTTAATTCCGGCTTTAGTAACGAATATTTTACGAGAGTCCCCAACTCAATTTATTGCAATGTTAATATATGCAGAATTCGTTAATAATACGTATTCTCTACAGAGAGCAGGAATTATAAATACTTTTGAATAATTGAAAATTTTTAAATTTTGAAATGTTACTTGAATAATTGAAGTATATGTAGCAATATGCTATTTACCATATAAAGAATAAATATATTATTATAACAGGAATGAAATGTTTATTAATTAGAGACTGAACTGAGACGAAATTTCGAATAAAAATCTCGTTATCGAGATAGATATTTTTCGAGATATCGTACGTCCCTCTTAGTCCGGTCTCTAGTATTAATATAATATGAAGCTGATTTCAGTTACAGATCCCCTATATATATAAAATTGTCGAGATGTTTCTAAATCTTTATACGAAAAATGCCGAGTAAAATGAGGGTAGGGCTATCAATAAAAATTATATGTGTTAATTAGCTTCTTAATTAAGAATATCTTCTTTCAAATATATTTAATAACATTTAAATCAAAAAGTTTAATTTCATTAACCCATTCTGATTTTATAATGTTTTTTCCATACTTTATTCTGTAAGAAAATTCAAAAAGTTTTTCTTTCCCTTCATTTTCAAATATTAAATAATTATTTTCATTATTATTTTTAAAAACAATTCCAACAACCCAAACATTACAAATCCAATCATCATCATTTTCAGATTTGAATTGATCCGAACATTTTTGGTTATTTAAAAGCTTTTTTGGATTTATATGGCAATATTCTATATTTTGTAAAATTTCAATAGAAAAAAGTAATTGTAATCGAATTCTTGTACCAGCATAATCACAAAATAAAGAGCCATATTTACTTTTAGGTGAATATATACATATTATAGCCAAATAATTATGATACTAGAAAGAAAAATGAATTTTAATTCTCAAAATTTAGTCAATTTTAATTTCAAAGTGATTAAGACCTATAATATCTCTATCAATAGTAATAAGTTTAAATTTTGTAAATATATATTATATGAGATTCGGAAACGCTTAATTTATAGGGTTTCAATAAAAATTTGTATACAAAACTTGAAAAATTGTGACGGAATTAATTATAAATTCACTCAAAAACACAAATTAATTTATTAAAATACCTTATTTTCAAAAGGACTTCCTTCGAACAAATTTTGCCATAATATTTTTAATGGGATTGGTGGTATTCTTCCATTTTTAATTCCCTCTATTCTATTTAAAATTAAATTAAATTTCCATAGACCTTAATTATATACATATTAATTTTATTTAATTTTTGGAAACAATTTATGCCCCAGAAATCTTTTTTCAAAAATAAATTTAACAAAAAACCCAACCATTTCTCATTGTTTCTTGAATAATTTTGGCCGTCGAAATATTCATATTAAAATTTGAATTTTGTGTAGGAAATCCAGGTGTTATAATTGGCCATATTGGATATAAATTTTCTTTTAAATTTTGATGGAAAATTGAAGGAATTTGTTTTGAACGATTTATATGCTCGTTTGGAATATTCCAATCCAAATATTGTCTAATATTTGGATAATCAGTATTTAATTCCAAAATCATTGGAACAGAGCTTTAAATAAATAATTTTATTATAATATGTATATCCGTCAGTGGTTTATTTTATTTTTCCCCCTTCTTTGAAAACTCCCACAAAATGTTATTTTTTAAATAAAATTTATTTTAAATTAGAGTTGTACCAGACAACGAACCCTCCCATTTAACTATCTAGAAACACTGTACCACGACACACCCGCGCCAAGCGCTCGAGGTAAAACACAATTTTAAATGAAAGGATACATAAAGCTACTCCTTCACCAATAGCTTTTGTCAGGATTTCCAAAGACCATGTCAACCAGAAACACCGACGAAGTATACCCGTCCTAAGATATTGGAAAGCCTTATTTTTTACCTTATTTAAATAAAATTAAAAAAATACTTTATATTTCCATTAATATCAACAATTTGTTTATTTGAAAAATATTCAAATATTTTCCCAAGTAAATTTATAATTGTTGTATTTGGATTAGATATAATAAAATAACATGCCAAAATAGAAATTGAACTACCACTAAGAAATCCAAAAGTATTGCCATAAATAAAATTATCTGTTGAAAAGTAAAAAAATTTTATGTTTGGACTTAGAATTATAAATATTGTATGGATGATTCACCTAGCCGCATTTAAAACGCGTAGGCGGGAGCTGAACTATCTAAAAAGGGGATTAAACGATCTAAAAATCTATCAGTGGTAGAGCATTTGCATTTGTGTTAGTTAAAATTTTTTCAGGAATTATTTAAACATTTTTAGGATTATTTAATTAATTAAATATCCACACAAACTTTTTGCCCAAACTTTCAAAATTAGCACAATTAATTGAAAGTTCTTTTTGTCTTTTTCATTAATTAATTCCAAAATACGTAAATTTGCCCGATAACCTAAAAAATAAAATTAATTTAAATTCAAATTAATTAATTAAAAATAACCAGACAAAGCTAGCAACATCCCCAAATGTTTAGATTTTTCATTAAAAGTTGAATAACCTCCAACTAATTCAATAAAATTAGCAATTATTCCATCAAATATTTTAACAGATAAATTATTTTCGTTTAATTCTAAAAATATTTGTGGAGGTAGAACAACAAGAATTAAATCAAATTGTTGTCCCAAAAACTCTAAATTTATTGTTGAAACTCTCCCAGGAATTTTACGAAGAAAATTTGTTCTATAATCCTAAAAATTTTATTTTAAAAATATTTTTTTCCGATCAAATTTACCTGACATAATAAACAATAAAAAGAATTATCGTTACAATTTCTTTCGGAAATATTACAATCTTCTAAATTACTATAAAATTGTTTTTCGTAAATTAATTCCAAATTAATAAAATCTTCAGATGGAATAATTATTATAATGTCTATATCTGAATCTTTTGTTCTTGTATTTAATAAATATGAACCTCCAATTAAAATTTTTGTATTGGAATTCTAAAAAGTTAATTTTTTTAAATTATGAAAGAGTCAAGCAAAAGTTTTCCACATGGCAGGATTCGAACCTGCGACCTCCTGACTTAATTTACAGAGTAGATACATATCTAAATTCTTGTAATAACTAAAAACATTTTATTTAATTAACACAAAAATATACCCATAAATATATAATTTTCACTAATCCATCAATCACATTTTCAAGTCTATATTCTTTAATTTGATTGTTGTTATTTGAAATAATTTCATAAAACTAAATTAAATTTATTTAAATTAAATTTAAATAATCCCAAACCATCCAATCATTATTATCAAAATATTTTTGTTCTGTTATTTCTCCATTATTTTTAGTTATTGTTTTCCAATTAGTTTTCTCTAATTTTTGATCAAAAGCAGAAGAAGAAGAAGAACTACTGCTACTTTCTTCTTTTGTATTTTTCAAAATAATAATTTCATTATCAAAATGTTTACAATTCTGAACATTCTTTTCTAAATTATCTTGAATAATTAAATCATTTTTAGCAACAACAACAGAAGTGGAAGGCTTTGTAGAACATTCCCCTTCAACAGAAAACCTTCCACTTTTAGATGATGATTGACTTGCTTCTTCAATTTCAGATTCCAATGAATTTTGTGAAAGCTTTAATTTATTTAAATTAATTCTTTTTAATTAGAGTAAATGGCTTAGCCCATCTGGATGGGACTTGGATGGATGGGACTTGATCCTGTGAGCCCATCCCAAAAATAACGACACCTCATCTATTAGTTACCTCCTCCAATGAAAGGTTAAACAGTGATTCTCCCTTAAAAGTACTTATAATTAGTCTTCCTAAAATAACCTCTATTAATTACCCCACCCCTATCAAATACCCTCTCAAGTGAGAGTTCGAAGCAATAATTACCCAGGGTAATTAATAGAGTATATACGGTAACCCATCACAGAAAATAGCAAAAAATTGGATGGGACTTGATACTGAGACCCCTCCAATGCAAACTTCGCCAGCCTAATATTTTAACATATTTTCACCAAAATAAAGCTGAAAATTATTTTTAACATTCTCAATGAGAGTCTAATATTTTATAGAAAATAATTAAAATATCAAAGTCTGTACATACTTCTTCACTATCCGTATTCTCATTTTCCTCAGCTAATAATTCATTTTCACTATCAGAAGAATTATTATTTTCTTCTTCTAGTTTTGTTTCTGAAACTGATTTATTTTTAATATTTTCATATAATTTTGCATAATTTTTAATTGCCGATTTTTTATTAGATTTTTTATTTTTCTTATTTTTATTCTTTTTTTCTTTTAAATATTTTTTGTTATTTTTTAATTTTTTTGAATTATTTTTATTATTAAAAATATTTTCATTCTTTATTTTATTTTCTTCTTCTTTTTCATCCAAAACTGTATTACTACTTTTGCTTTCAATATCAAAATAATCACTATCATTATTTTTTTCTTCAAAATCGGCTGGGTCAAATTCTAAACCCAACACTTTTGCTATTTTCTCCAAATCTTCAATTTTATCCCCAACCATTAATGGAAGTGATTTTCGTAATTGTTCGCTTTTAAATTCTTAATTTTATTTTATTTAACTTAGATCTTTATTCTAATACGTACTAGTAGAGACTTTCAAGACCGATGATTTTCCACAACTCAAGCCAAGAGTCTTGGAAGTCTCTACTACTAGAAGTGTGATGGACTCCAGATCCTATTGTTTACATCCCAGTGGTTGAAATCAAATCAATCAAATAACGATTTCAACCAATTTTTCATTAATGAATCGTTATTTGAAGTATTTTTAGGCTCAGTATTTTTAGGCAGTTACTCAATTTAAAATTTCCATATTACACTTCGACTAGGTTGGCTGATCCTGGAAATTTTTGAATATCCGGATATTTAGACTCAGGATATCCTAACTCGCTAACCCTATTAACTAGTATTACTCTCCTCACCTAAACCTTTTTTCTTGGCTTTCCGGTCTAGACTTGTATCATGGTTTTTTACAATCTCAAAAATTTCTTTAGTTTTTCTTGACTAGCCTTTTGTAGTTCGGAATTGCAAAAATAATTTTAATTAAAAAAAACCTCCCAACCTTTTTTCATTTTTTGTTTAAAATATTCAATCACTTTTTCAGTCGAATATTTTTTGTCATTATTTTCATCTAAAAATTCTAACAACCATTTTAAATTTAATTCTTTTATCCAATTTTTATATTCAACCTTTGCTGTTTTCCAATTTTTAATATTTAATTCTTCTTCTTCAAACAAATATTTATTTAATAAATTCTCCCAATAATCAAAATCATTTTTATTTTCAACTTTTTTTGTTTTTTTATTTTGTAAATTTAAAATAAAATTTCTAATTTTAAATTGTATTTTTAACAAAAATTCTTCAATATTTTCAAGTCTTTCCAATTGTTTTTCTTCACTATCTTCATCATTTATATCAAAAATACAATCATAATTATTTATTATTTTCGATTTAATTTCTAATGATTCCCAAATTGCCAAAATATTTTTATTATTTTTTTCACAAATATTTTTAAGCATTTCATCTACCCATTTATACCAATTAAAATAATTAGCAGCTATTCTTTTTGAATATGCAAAGGATTTATTTTGCTCAAATAATGCATCGTAAAAATGTTCTACATGAGTTTGGCTGATTAAAGCTTAGAAAATTAAATTAAAAATCATAGGCACTTTTCCGTTATATGCCCACAGATTCTTTGGCTGTAATTTAGCCAGTGGCCGGTTCCAAAGTCATTCGATTTATATATCATTCGACCTTGTCTCATAGGTCTAAGTCGAAAGGTAACAATCATTTTATTTGGAATTCCAGGGGACCGAGATAAAGGTCCACGAAAATTGAAACCCCATTTTTGGAGTAAATCTTTGAGATAAAACGTTCAATGATAGATCATTCAACTCAGATCCTCGAGATAAGTCGAATTACACCAAAATAAGCTGGATTCAATGACTATAGTTGGCTATAGTACGGCCAAAGAATTTGTGGGTACCATAAAAAGTAAATTTACCATTGCTATCATAGAGCATGTTAGTAGTAGATGTTAGTCTATTTATTCTGCATTTTCTTCCAAGATGTTTTAGATAATCATTTATTTCATCATTATTCTTAAGAAAATTAACGTGAGATTTCTCAATTTCTTTACGAACCAAATCCAAAGCATCTTCTTGGTCTTCTTTATTTTCGCATCCCTCCCCTTCCCATAATTTGAATTGAGGAATAGTTAATTCCCGTTTGTGAGAGTTTTTAGTATTCGATATTCTAATAATATTTCTATATCCTATTGTAGTAACAATTAATCCAAATCTAAATTTTTCAAATTAATTAAAACACCTTTAAGAAGTAGGGAAGGTATTTTCATCTTAAGTCGGCTCAATTCGTTCCCGAGACTCCCTTAGTTTTCAATTTCTAAAATAAGATTAATATAAAATTATTTACCTATTCAACAAACAGATGGTCTTTTTAGAAAATTGGTCGTTCTCAAAAATTTTCGTTCTCAACCATTTTGTTTTAATATTTATAACCTCACATAATTTTTTATTTTCTAAAATTATTTCATCATCAAATCTTTCAATTTTTCTAAATTGATTAAATATAAATTCACTAATTATTCTATTTTCGGCACTTTTAGATTTATAATTATTGTGATTATAATTGAGATATTTTTTATATAAATAAAGCTTTGTGGATTGCCCCATCTGATCTAAAAATAAAAAATTTTAAGATTTTAAAATTGCCCAAAAGTTATCTCCCCGAAAGACACGAGGCCGGTCGGAAATAAAGGTTCCGACGTTTTTTCTTCAGATTTCGACTTTAAAATTTCCGACTAAACTTTGTCTAAGGGATGAAAGATAACATATTTATTTTTTCAGCACACATACTTAATTTATGAACATAGGGGTGTTGCATTTCTAAAGCCAAAAGTCCTTCTTCTTTAATTAATAAAACAAGTTTATCCTTATATTCAATATCAGCTCCACAAAAGAATTGCCTCGCCTCTTCAAAACTATTTATTAGCCAAGTAATACAAAAAATATGATTTCTTTCATTTGATGTTTGTGACAATAATTTTGATGAAATTTCTTTCACAGATTCTTCATTATCACAATTGATTGAATTTTTGTCAGTAATTTCTATGTTGATATATTTATTCTAAATTTAATATATTCAAATTTAGACTTAGATTTTTTATATTTATTAATATGATGTAACGTTAAAAAACAATTATTATTAAGTAGAGTTGGACAAGACGAGACCGATACCGAGATTCTCGGCTTTTTTCCAATATCGGTCTCGGTTTTTTCATTCTCGTTCTCGAAACCGATACCGATATTCTCGGTCCATTTCTCGGCGAGAAACGATACTAACTCAAAGACCCCAATTTTCTTGTATTTTTTAATAAAACTGAGGATTTTTGACCTTCTGAATTTCAAAAAATTTTCGCCTGCGGCGCTGAAAAGAGTGAATCTTTATTTGCCTTACAAAATCCGAGCATTTCACTAATCCCTCACGAGTGAGTTCGCATGACTGAGTTGTCATTTTATCTAGCTCAACTGAGTCCCAGTAATTTAATAAAATTAAAAGGCTTAAATACAATACTGGGTTATTTGGAGGGATTTGGGTGTTTATGGGGATATCAATGGATTTGGAGGGATATCGAATGTAAGGCGGTAGGATATCGAATGTAATCGAATGTAATATACTTGTGGAACAGAGTGTATAATCCTTTTACCTATAAATCCTCTATTGTATTTTTATGAAAAAGGATGTTAACCATCAATCGAATCGGATCCAGATGATGAAGAGTATTTATCTGATGATTTGGATGATGAAAATAATAAATAAATTATTTTTACGCGTATTTTTTGACGTAAAATAAAATTTTCTGTTAGTCTCGGTCAGTATCGTTTCTCGGTATCGGTCTCGGCTCAAAATGTTGGTATCGGTCTCGGTATCGGGTTCTTAAGTATCGGTTAATCTCGGTCTCGGGTTGGCCGATACCAGTATCGTTTTGCCCAACTCTATTATTAAGGGCTATTAAATCATATTTGAATCAAAATTTCGATTTCCTACTTATCAATTTAACTACGATTATATGTAATATAAAAAATAATTCTAAAAATCAGCCTAATTTCCTATGGATTAAGAATATTAATTGTTTGAATCCAAAAATAAATTATGTTTTATATAGAGTTGGGCGGGATCGGGATCCCGGTCGGGATCGGGCGGGATTATCCCGGTTTTTTTGAATCCCGATCCCGATTTTTCTGATCCCGAACCCGAAAGACAAATCCCGATCCCGGTTTTGGCCGATCCCGATCCCGAGCCGGGATCGGGACCGGGATCGGGATTAGCAATCGGATCCCGATGAAATCGGGATTTTATAAATTAATGAAAATATATATTAATGAGCTGAAAATAAAGCAATTTGGCTTCTACACCATCCAAAATTTTCAAATTTTCGCCTGCGGCGCTAAAAATGAAGATTTTGGCTTGAGAATCTTCGAAATTTTTCAAAATTTTTGCCTCCGGCGGTGAATAAGAAGAGACTCATTTATAAACCTATCGATGGAATGGATTTGAACGGATATAATGAATATCCTAGATGTCCATCTAGATCCCAATATCTCATTAATCAACGATATCCCTCTTAATCCATCAGAATCACCTTATCGTTAATACTTTATCCCTCCTCCTTAATCCCTGATACGCCAAGAACAAATGCGCGCTGGGACTTAAAATCAATATTTCAGCACAGCAGATAAAAATTATGGAATTATATTGAGGTATATGCAATGTAAATAAAAATTTAAATTTTGAAAATTTTTTTTAACTAAATCCCGATCCCGATTTTTCAATCCCGATCCCGAGTCGGGATCGGGACCGGGATCGGGATCATTACTCCGAATCCCGAACCCGATTTCGTCCAATCCCGATCCCGCAGTCGGGATCGGGACCGGGATCGGGATCATCATTCCAAAATCCCGATCCCGATTTTACGTCGGGATCCCGATCCCGCCCAACTCTAGTTTTATATATAAAAGATTATAAAATAAACAGAATCAAGGACAAGTAATTGCTTTAGTGGGTAGGCTGTTGGTGAATGAATAAGATAAAAAATAGCGAAGTAACTATAAGGATACTTAAATTTTCACTTACCAATTCATTTATTTTCTCAGCCAGTCTAGGCCACCAATTATGATGTATAATTAAATATTCTGTTACAAATATATAAATTGTACATAATTTTTTAGAGCTTTCTTTAATTCGTATATTATCCTCATTTATTTCGCTCCATTTTCTCAAAACTAATATCGTCACATATTCACCCAAACCTTTATTTTTAGCTTTTAAATTATTTTTAGAATCCAAATAAATATTTTTAATTATTTCGCTAATTGTTATTGTTAAATAACTAGTTAAAGAAATTAATTGAATTGTTTGAATGTTTCTGTGAGAATAGACATTTGGACTAGGGCCTTCAATCAGAAATTCTTTGTATATTGTTAAAAGGAATAATTCTGAAAAATTTTTTTAAAAATATTTTATTATATGTAGTTACCGTATTTCCTGAAATAAAACCAATGCTAAATTAGAGCCTAAAATAGAGCTCCAGTTTGGAGAATAGTTGAAAAATATAGCCCCATGGGGTTTTATTTTAGGAAATACGGTATGTTTAAAATTGAAATAGTTATTTTTACGTTTCGTTTAGTAAGCGATATAAGAAATCTTTCGTTTTTAAATTAACAGGGTTTTTAATATGACAAGTTACTAATTTTTTTAAAAATAAAATTTCGATTTTAAACTAGACATGGACAATCATAGAAACAATTTTTAAAAAGTAACCTTTATTTTCTTTATTATTCTCGCCAGCTTTGGAATTTTTTGGACAATTGTATGTAACTTTGTCGTATTCAATCTATTTAAAATTTAAAATAATATTCTTAAAAATAGTTTTGCTTAATCGAAATTAAATGGCTAGTCCCTATATTATTGCCTGCATATTTATTATTAATTAAAAAATATTTATCTAAACCTGATCATTATTTTCTTGCACAATTTCTTTCTTCTTTTCTTGTTTTTCAGATTTACCAATTAAAGATTCAAATTTAGACTTTGCTTCACCTTTCAAGTCTAAAATAATATTTTGAATATATTTATTTAGTATATATGTATTTTTTATTAGAAATTTTTTTAGTAAAAAATTTGTTTAACATTTTTAACGTTATTCTTTTTGTGTTTCATGCTTATTTATTTGTATCGCAGTAAATAAAATAAATAAAAATTATTATTTTTTATAATAGTTTTTAAATACGCTCTATTTCCTTTAATTATGATCAGAGAGAGTTTTTTTAGGTTCAAAAAACCTGATAATAGGTACCTAAAAGGTTCGAAAAAAAGGCTTAAATAGGTTGAAAAAAATCCAAAAAGTGGCAAAATAGGTACGAATTTTTAACAAATAGGTTCGAATTTTCAGAGTTTTTCCGATTTTGTGTTTTCAATTTACGATTTTTCAATATTTACGAGCCTGTAATTCGGGCCTGCCAAGTCAGAATGTGCTGATTTTGGTGTCATTCGACTTTACTCGAGCAGATCTTTCGAATGAGTTATCATTCGAAAATCGAATTTTTCATCCCAAGGATTGCATACACCCCTATGTTTTTTCGATTTTCAGGGACCTGTAACTCGGCCTTATGAAGTCAAATGGCGTTGATTTTATTGTCATTTGTCTCAACTCGGCAATTCTTTCGAATGAGACAATTTGACAATTCCCTTTCAAAAGTCAAGGATTTTGCACGTTTTTGGCATCGTTAAGTATTTTACTCTTTTTGACAATTTATGGGGTTTTGGCAAGATATGATATTATAGCATTTTGGCAAGATAAGGTTTTTCAATATATGCTTTTTTGCTCCTTTTGACAAGAAAAAGAGCACGGAATTTGCGTGAATATGACTTTAACACACTAACATTCACTATTTTTTAAAAATTTTATGCCAATTTTGCAAAAATAAGGGCGATTTTTATGATTTTCTTCAAAAAACCTAGAATAGGTTCAAAAAAGTCCAAAATAGGTCGCAAATAGGTTTTAGGTCCAAAAAGGCCGAAATAGGTTTTTTAGGTTCGAATAGGTCCAATGTAGACTCATTATTTCGACCCAAAACAGTGTTTTTTGTGCTTATCTCATCATAACTAGTTCGCAAAAAAAATAGGTAAAAACCTAAAAAAACTCTCTCTGATTATGATTTACCTACCTTTCATTTCTGCTTTAAAATCGGGCCTTTCTTCCAATAATTTTAAAATCATTTCTGAATGTAATTGGTTTTGAAAAGCTAATATTCCTTCATTTAATGAAGGTTTTGCAAAAATTTTTTGTTTTAGAATTTCCAATTCTTTTTTTAAATAATTTTGAATTGAAATTTCTTTTAAAGAAAAATCTTTGAGGGAATACAACATATTTTTACATAAAATAACTCTTGATTCGTTATAATTTAATATTTCATTTTTCATCTTCTCTAAAGCTTTTATGTTAAATAAACTGTCAATCATATGTAAAATAACTTGTTTAAAAATTTCCCATTCCTTAGATTTTTCAGTTTTGTCAAATTTTTTATTCAAATAATTAATTAAAATTAATAAATCAGCAATATATTCTTCCAAAATTATTTTTGGTTTATTTTCTTCTTTAAACATAATTAAATATGTTTGCTCAATTAAATCCATCAACTGATTCTCTGTTAAGTCTAAAATATATGTATGTGTTTATTCCGAGGATTCGATATTGCGGATTTTCCTCTTTTGAAGTTTTTTGATAGGTCAATGAGGGATTATTTTTTAGGAATTTTTGTGGTCTTTTCAAGATTATGAAAGCTTTTTATATTTTCTTGTTGTTTTTGAATGATACCTATGTCATTTTTTCTTGTAAGGCCTTCCAGAATTCTTAAAATTTTCGCCTGCGGTGCTGTTCGGATTTTCATAAATGGTCATTAGTAATAAAAAATTAGTTGGAGTCAAAAAA